GAGCCCACATGGTAATGGTTACCTGGCTTCTAAATTTGTTGAAACCGATGAATTGACAACAAATTAGGATAAAGTCACCACTGACACAATTTGGGTGTCTGTGTGTAAAGTCATATGATATGAGTATTGTGAGTATGAAATGTGTTCACTGCTGATGGCACAATATGTCACAAAACCTCTTATCTTAAGTAAACAGTGTTGCATATGATCCATTCTTTCTGTTACACCCTTTTTGCATATGAATAAACTTTTCTCTCATGACTTTCAAACAATTATTTAGTTTCTCCAAAACTGTCTCATGGCTGTTATGGTCTTTATGATTGAACATTTAATATGATCTTGACACTATTTTCAGCTTGGAGAATGACTGATGGTGACTGGGAGGTGTATCTTTGCACATACAGCAGAATCAGAAGCCTTCACATCCAATGTTGTGTTTCAACAAGTCGGTCTGATGTTGGCAGTGTGTGCACCCTCCTTTAACCTTGATATCCTCTACCACCTTGAACAAGTTGTGGTACTTTTAACATGTAGGTACATACAGTACATTTAAGTGCCCCAGTCCAGTTAAGGCTGTATCTCAAATTTCATAACTCTCTCAACCTCAGCCATTAGATATTTCTGATGAATAATAATCACTTTTGGGCAGGGTAACTAATAAACTTCAGTTATCTGGATTTTTCATGTTGTTTTTCATATATGAAATTGGCAAGTCTAGCATTCTCAAAACAGCAAACAGTGAATTTTTTTATTTCATGGAAGTATTTCAAGTCTTAGCTTGATGAATTGATAGACTCATGTGTAATTTCGTTTCATGCTGTGGTCTCAAAGAGCTTTCATCTGTTTCAATTTCAATTTCCTGGCTTTAACAGGCAGTAGGGTTCTTTGGTCAGTGTTTCACATTGCTAGGCATATTCCAACCCCTTACTTTTATACTTTCTGGCAAAATTCATTATTCAGCCTTACATATGTCAGGACTTTAAAGCTGTTTAATGTGACCCTGGCCAATTTCTGGCCTGAATTCTGTGCTTTCTAACTTTGAACAATGTTTCTGATTCCTCTCCACTTAGATCACCAGCCTACATCAAAAATGCTTACACAAATGACTTTGGGGATAAACAAAAGATCAGACACTGGTGTTAGCCCTCTCATAAATGGTTAATCAAACCTGGACTGTTGTTTGTTTACAACATAAACAATGCAGGAGTGTGTGTGTTGAAACAGTTTTAAACTATCTCAATCACATCAGGTCATGAATATCAAAACCATATTCTATTAATGTAGCAGACTCTGCTATGATTTGATGATGTCAGCAGAGGAAGGCAAACAACTGACCATTAATGAACAGGAGGTTGCATAGTTACTAGTTTTGAGGTTTAAAGATTTTCTGTCATTCTAAATATGATGTTGCATGAAATTATCCCATGACACTCTTTTATGTGACAAATGAATAAACATCCATGGTATCTGTATGATTATAAAACATTCTTTATTAATGCAGAAATACATTTTGCAAAACATTAATAAAATAGACATAATTTATCTCTTACAAGTTTTTCAGTGTAACAAATCTCTCTGTATCTTGTGCCATATAGACATATTGGACAGGGAAAAGTATTGAAGCTTCATCCAATTCTTTTAAAAAATTCAAGTGACATGTACACATATACAGGGCATGGGGTAGCCCACTGGTTTAAGTTTGCTTCCCAGGTCCATTCCCACATGGATGAAGCCTATATATGGTGTCCCCTGCCGTGATATTGCTGGAATATTGCTAAAATTTGACATAAAACTAAATTCACTCTCACTCACATGTACACATACAGTACATAAAACACAGATTTGCCTAGTGCAGATGTCTCCATTTTTCAACATTAAGACCTTTCTGTATGTTTAAGGGCAGCTGCAGAAGGGTCATAAGTACACATATAAACATCACATAGGAAGACAAGGCATTATTGACTCATGTAGTTTAGTGATATTTCATGCAACATGTAAGTGCATGTAAGTATCCATTTCATATTTCATATTTATAATAACCTGAAGATTACAGCAAAAAATATATCAAAAGGAAACACCAGCTGTTTATCACCTAAATAATTTTCTTTTGCAAACTGCTTTGGAGAATACCACATGTGAAATATTATTTAGTTGCCATGTCATTTACTCTGTTCAAGGTTAGAGCATGTAAAACACATTTTGGACCAAAGGCCATTTTGGATGTATTTTGACTAGGTGCGGTGAAAGTCTGACAATATAATTATGTTCACAGCTGAGTTGGCTAGATCACTGACTTTGTATGTTGGCGATTTGGTGGAGAGAGTGGGTTCAAATCCTGGATGGGACTGAACCCCAAACTTGTCTAGAATGTGTATTTTACTGAGAAAGTGTAATCTTGCATATAACATGGTTTCATGTGTACAACTTGTATAAATGTGATATGTTTTGACAATTATTATGTATATTGAAGAAAGGATTTAATGGATTTGAAGGACTATATATGGATAATAAATGTTTCTTTTCCATTTTAAAAGGCTTTATAATTATTATGATTACCATTAATACATCACTGAGATGTACTACCACTTCAACAAGTAATCCATCCTAACAGTGCGTACAGAACCTAGCCTTTGTTTCTTAGTTAGAAGATAATTGTTAGTCATGTTAGTGTCTCATTTGCCCTAATTCATAATCAGCCACATATTAAGTATAGGCAGCAGCTGAACTATTTGGAGTGCGATTACATCTTGATATGGTATGTTAATAATGGTGTGCATTAATATAGTGTTCAGTTACTGTTTATGTGTTTCATATGTGTTTATTACGTTATAATCTATTGTGCAGTGATATGTTCATTGTACCATACTGTCAGTATGTTTACCCAAATAAACTCTACAGAGTAATCTTAATGCTGATGAGGCAACCACATTAAAATATGTTTTACCTCAGTTTGGTTTGTCTTATTCTTTTCATTTTTTGTGGAATAACACTCCATATAGAATAAAGAGGGTCCTTGTGTGTACCTTTTTGTATTGTATACATTTGTTAATAACTTTTTGTAAGATAACTCAATAAATTATATAACATTATTAACATTAATCACATAATGTGAGATAAAATAGAAACAAACATATGAGGGTACAATTGAACCTAATGATGGATTTTGATGCATTTCAGGCTCAACCTTCAAGAAATAGAAGCATTGGTGTTCTTTCAAATGACATCACGACTGCCTTAGATTAAAACTTGAAGGAGGTGACATTCCCCAGAAAAGTAAGATTGTCAAGTTTTATCATTTTTTGTAAGAAAATGAACAAGTTTGATTTACCTTTGAAAGAAATCCACAACCCTGTCCATGGAAAATACAGACTGGGAAATTATTGATGGGGACAGGAAAATAGTGATTCCTCAGTCTGGACTTCATAATGTCATATTCACAAATATACACAGCGTTTGTTGGGTTCAGGATCCGAAATTCCGAAAATATTAGAACATTGATAAACCCGGTATTATGCTGGAAATTCTTAGGAATCCGTTACAGGAGTTTATTGATAAGCAGGGTGACAGGCAATTTGTTATCCCAAATTTCCTAATGAAGCAAATTTGAAACCTGATATAGAAAACACCAGTGGGGCAACATACCATTGACTTTTGTGGATCAACTACATAGGATCTACCTTGAGTATGGATTGGGAAATCCAAGAATACCACAATGTGACCAAGGCTCTGAGTTTAAGTGAGCAGTCAACCAATTATTAGTGGTGGTCTGATTAATTGAAATAATCGAAGATTATAAGCCCAGTGACTAAATGTTAAGCAATCGAAAATGTTTTCTCATAATCAAACACAAGCAGTTTTTGGAACACTTGTTTGCATTAACAATATTTTTTCACAAGGTTGGTTTGTCTGAGTCATTTTATTTACATTTCATAAGCACTACAAGCTTGTTCCAAGTCATGATTGAATTTATCTTAAAGACTCCTGGAAATTTATGTTCCCCACATACTAGCCATCCTTTAAATATGTGAAGTATGAAAATGCATTTTGTGCAATTTACCCCAAAACCCAAAAAGAACTACATGGGTTTTGTAAATTATTTTGTGCATTAACAAAGGTAACAGGAACATTTGATAAATGATCCTAACCAATTATTTTTAGATGATTGATCAGTTGTAATGGACCAATGATCAATTTTAACCAATTCCCAACACTACTAATTATGCATTGAAATGGGAACAATAATTGTCATAAGTCTTAACTCACCATCCCTAATATCAGGGAAGAGTAGGAGATAAATAACAAATAATATATATGGGATCTGAAATATGATATGTAATCTATAAAGGTCATGTCACAGATGTAAAGGCATCTTACTGATGCTTGATATGAAGGAAATTATTGTTGGTGTAAGTTGGAACATATCAACGTTAGGGCAGAGCCACAAACACAGAACAGATGTATTGGACTTGCAGGCTCCCACTCAGTGGTCAGGCAATAAAGGCTCAGCTTTTTTGTGAACAGTTGGTACCACCACAAACTGGTAGTAATTCATGAACACTGTATGCCATAGTCACAATCAGACAATTGACCCCACTTTTGTTAGGATTATAGAGATATTTTGCTAGTTTCATTTGCACATGCATGGCTGAAGATGTATTTGTTATTTTTCCATTGAGTGAATCAATGTATTTGACAGTTCACATCTTTCTGTCATGACTTTATAACAGGTATGCTCCTTTTGGCAATGTTATATACTGTAGTTAGACTTTTTCTGTTTTGATGTTACATTTTAACCTCAATTGTCAAATAAGGCATTTTTAAGTTAAATCTCAACATCTGTGTCTATTTTGTGCATCCCTTCATGGTTACTCAGAAAACATCAACACATGGATGCAGTTATTATTTATATTATGGCATTAAAACAAATGTTTGTGTGTATAAATAACTTCATATGTTTACAGGTTGTTCACCATACCATCCCATGTTGGGCTTGCCCCAGTCAGATCAACAGTTTGTTGAGGAAAAGCTTGGAATTCAGTTGATGCCTATTCTTGCTGTGAAGAGGAGCAATCTGAACTGTATGCAGGGGGCACTGTTGAGATTTTTAGATTTTAGCATTTAATTAGGCAAGTGGGCACATCTGTTATCCCATGTCATACAACAGTGCTGTATCTATATAGGTGAAAATAGATCCCCAGGAAAAATCCCTATGTTGGAGTCAGGTGACCAGGCGGTAGTCAGTCTTGGTGACCTAGTTTATAGTACAGCTGGAGTAGTCTGGGATGTTAATTATAATGCAGAGGCAATTAAAAGAAAGGTACAGCATCATACAAACATTAAAGGACTGATGAATGCTACATTATTATGATTATTATTATTATGAATGTATGACTTCAGTCTTTGCTGTCAAATGCAAAACTCAGTCACTGAAAAGTACCAGGGTACCATTTCTAATTCATGGCATTACAAGATATTGAAAGCTTTAAAGAGTAGGAATTGAGTGAAAGATTTAGGTGTAGTCATTATTATGTAACTTGTGCTCATATGCTTTAGGATTAATGGTATGTTCTCTTATGTTTACACTTCTGGTGATTTTATGCACCATTGAAAGGAAAAGGATGTAGATTTCTGTGCCCTCTTGTTACTGTTTTCACAAAAGCTATGATTTAAAATCAGTTTGACAAAGTGTATTCATATTGTATCTTAACATTCCCATGTTTTTATGTATTTTTTATTTGTTCCTATAGTCAAAAGGTATGCAGTAACAACAAACACAGAAAGGTGTAAAGATGTAATTATAATTTGTTGCTGAATATTGGCATGAGTGAATTCCATTTAAGACTTAAGACTGAATTTATCAATTTCATTGTTTCCCTTGAAAATAAAAGTTTTGAGCGGAAAATATCTCTTTTGATGCCATTTTATATTTAATGAATTTTGGAATTGATTTTTTAAATTTACATAAATTGATATGTTTTTGCAGAGATAATGATTTGATTTAGTAATACATCATTATGTAATGTACCAAACCAAATCAAATATTTGTAATGTTTATTTTTCATGGTAAATAGTTATTAATTGATTTGAGATCATTCCAGAATTTTATGGTTTAACAACAGTCCTAATAAGCACAACAATTGCTCTCAGAAACATCATTGCAAACTAGCGGTAGACAAATCATTGTCAGTCAGGTTCATTTTGAATAATTATATTTTAGTATAAATAACTATTTGCAGAAATGTGTATTGAAAATTCACAATCATTGAATATCATTTCCCATTTTAGTACAAATCTCAAGTTTGTCATTTTTAGAAATACACTTGTCATTAAGTAATCTTGAACCCTTTGAGGGTTTTAATATATATTTTATAACTTATCCTATCTCACGGTATGCACCATCTCTCTCTTCTACTGACCATGTGTGGAAGCGTGCTGTCAGCTAAGTTGAGTCAAATCTAACTGGCCTCTGACCAGCCCTGACCTCTGCCTTCACCCTGACACTCTCTATCTCATCTCTCTCTCTCTCTCATCTCTCTCATCTCTCTCTCTCTCATCTCTCTCTCATCTCATCTCTCTCTCTATCATCTCTCTATCTCATCTCTCTCTCCATCTCATCTCTCTCTCTCTCTATCATCTCTCTCTCATCTCATCTTTCTCTCTATCATCTCTCTCTCTCTCTCTCTCTCTCTCTCTCACACACACACACACACACAAATTCTAATTTCTAATAACAAAAATTGCTTTTCGACTGATTTTTATGTCACTGGATGAACATTAGTTGATGGTAACTTAGTGGTAAATAAAATCATCACTTTTTAAACAAGTTCATGGTCAGCACAGGTATGGATGGTATTTAGTTCCTAAATGCAAGAGGTAATTCGTTTAGAGTGTGTGATGAAGCATTTGTTGATATTTAGCAATTTCTAGGAGCCAACAAAGAAACAGTACATTTTAACCATTTACAATGATCCACTCTTATATGAACCCATGAAGATCACGGGTTAGAATTGATCTTCAGTAACCCATGCTTGTCGTAAGAGGCGACTAACAGGATCTGGTGGTCAGGTTTGCTGACTTGGTTGACACGTTATCTTATCCCAATTGGGTAGATCGATGCTCATGCTGTTGATCACTGGGTTGTCTTGTACAGACTCGATTATTCAGAGACCGCTGCCATATAGCTGGAATAGTGCTGAGTGTGGCTTAAAACTTAACTCACCTACTCAGTCTTATATGTACCCTGAAATGAAAACATTGCTGATGCCTGGATTTGTACCAAAGTAGGTAAAATATCATATTTTTTCACATGTATTGTCCTAACAGACTCATTGCCAGATGCAAAAGAAGGAGAAACCCATGACAAAAAGGTTATTACAATTTGAGACACTTTTTAAAATATTATAATGGTAAGCATTGCTTTATGCTAAAGGAACATGTTTGCACTTGGTGATAAATAATTTTACTTTTCAGGAAGGGAGAACAGACTCCAAACAAGAGTAGATGTGATGACACCAAGAAAGGTATTAGCTGATGGGTATAGTATATGGTACTAATAAACTCAAGATGAATCATAATTTGGTATGCAAATGCTAAGATGAGGGATACTAGAAGGTACAAACTGTAAAAGAACTGGAGCTATAGGCCTCATTTTGTGATCTTGAGTTTGAACAAGAAGGGCAGCTAACTGCATATCTATTGCACTGTCTCAAAACCACCAAAATGAGATCAGTTTTGAAACATTTTTTAAAAGAAACATGAATGTTTTGTTTTGTAACAGTGTAATGATGCAACATGTTACATCTTGGTGCAGAATAGAAAAAAGTGGATATGTAATGTCTGTTTAAGGGAACGTGTGTGTGTGTGTGTGTGTGTGTATTTATTTATTTATGTGTGTGTGTGTGTATTTATTTATTTATTTATTTATTTATGTGTGTGTGTGTGTGTATTTATTTATTTTTTTATTTATTTATTTCTTTATTTTAATTATTTCTTTCTTTCTTTCTTTTCTTTCTTTCTTTCTTCTCTCTTATTTATGTATGTATGTATGTATGTATGTATGTATGTATGTATGTATGTATGTATGTATGTATGTATGTATGTATGTATGTATGTATGTATGTATGTATGTATGTATGTATGTATGTATTTATTTATTTATTTATTTATTTATTTATTTATTTATTTATTTATACCCCTGTGCATTCATTAGGCACCACCCTATTTTGAAAATAAGATGTGATGCTTCAGAAAAGTTAGGGTATAGCCATCAATTTAATCAACCTGTAGTTACAAAACCTTTATCCACTGACAGTTTACAGATACCATAACCTTTTCTCTATTCTTTATGAAAGAATATGTTGATTAAAATGTGATTGGACTGAAATTTTACCCAAAATAATTATTCATCTCCTGCTCAAACTACACAATTGAATTACATTTTGACTAAGAATAACAATTCTGTTATATACCAAGATGACATTTACACATCAAGTAAGCTTTAATTACGAATAATCAGGAAGAACCGAGATGTCAAAGATTCAGACATTTTTCCAACAATTCAGATTGCTAATTGACAAAACTGAAAAAGGCCACATTAATAAGATTTTGGAATAAATGTTTTATGATTTTGAGTTTATTGTAATGAATAAACACTTCCCCTTGCCAGATACTGATAATTACAGCTAAAATCTGTTTGTTTTGTTTGTAAAGCAACTTTTAATGCATTTTAAAATTTGCCTTTTTTGGTTTGACTGTAACTTTTCCTAAATCTTAGTTTACAAACTTTCATCCATTCACAATAAATAACGAATGTATAGGCCACACAACAATCAATTATTACTTTCACTTTTCAAAACACCTGTTTTTAATATGGGCATTTATCCTAATCAAAATTCAATGATGTTTTCGTTTTGGAAATGTTAAATGCTTGCTCTATCAAATCATAAAGGTTATTTTTTGGAAAGAGTTGAGAATTTTATTTCAGACAAAATTAATTTGTAGAAATAGAGGGTGGGTTGGTTGGTGGGTTGGTTGATGCACAGAGGGTGGGTTGGTTGGTTGGTTGGTTGGTGGGTTGGTTGATGCACAGAGGGTGGGTTGGTGGGTTGGTTGGTGGGTTGGTTGGTTGATGCACAGAGGGTGGGTGGGTGGGTTGGTTGGTTGGTGCACAGAGGGTGGGTGGGTTGGTTGGTGGGTGGGTTGATGCACAGAGGGTGGGGTTGGTTGGTGGGTTGGTTGGTTGATGCACAGAGGGTGGGTTGGTTGGTGGGTTGGTTGGTTGATGCACAGAGGGGGTTGGTGGGTTGGTGGGTTGGTTGGTTGATGCACAGAGGGTGGGTTGGTTGGTGGGTTGGTTGGTTGATGCACAGAGAGGGTGGGTTGGTGGGTTGGTTGGTGGGTTGGTTGGTTGATGCACAGAGGGTTGGTTGGTTGGTTGGTGGGTTGGTTGGTTGATGCACAGAGGGTGGGTTGGTTGGTGGGTTGATTGGTTGATGCACAGAGGGTTGGTTGGTGGGTGGGTGGATGGTTGGTTGGTGGGTGGTCGGGTTGGTTGGTTGGTTGGTTGATGCACAGAGGGTGGGTTGGTTGGTTGGTTGGCTGGCTGATGCACAGAGAGTGGGTTGGTGGGTTGGTTGGTGGGTTGGTTGATGCACAGAGGGTTGGTTGGTTGATGCACAGAGGGTGGGTGGGTGGGTTGGTTGGTTGATGCACAGAGGGTGGGTTGGTGGGTTGGCGGGTGGGTGGGTGGTTGGTTGGTTGGTTGGTGCACAGAGGGTGGGTGGGTTGGTTGGTGGGTTGGTTGATGCACAGAGGGTGGGTTGGTGGGTTGGTTGGTTTATGCACAGAGGGTGGGTTGGTTGGTTGATGCACAGAGGGTGGGTTGGTTGGTGGGTGGGTTGGTTGATGCACAGAGGGTTGGTTGGTGGGTGGGTGGATGGTTGGTTGGTGGGTGGTCGGGTTGGTTGGTGGGTGGGTTGATGCACAGAGGGTTGGTTGGTTGATGCACAGAGGGTGGGTGGGTTGGTTGGTTGATGCACAGAGGGTGGGTTGGTGGGTTGGCGGGTGGGTGGGTGGTTGGTTGGTTGGTGCACAGAGGGTGGGTGGGTTGGTTGGTGGGTTGGTTGATGCACAGAGGGTGGGTTGTCGGGTTGGTTGGTTTATGCACAGAGGGTGGGTTGGTGGGTTGGTTGGTGGGTTGGTTGGTTGATGCACAGAGGGTTGGTGGGTTGGTTGGTTGATGCACAGAGGATGGGTTGGTTGGTGGGTTGGTTGGTTGATGCACAGAGGGTGGGTGGGTGAGTTGGTTGGTGGGTTGGTTTGTTGGTTGGTTGATGCACAAAGGGTGGGGTGGCTTGGTTGGTTGGTGGGTTGGTTGGTTTATGCACAGAGGGTGGGTTGGTGGGTTGGTTGGTGGGTTGGTTGGTTGATGCACAGAGGGTTGGTTGGTGGGTTGGTTGGTTGATGCACAGAGGGTGGGTTGGTTGGTGGGTTGGTTGGTTGATGCACAGAGGGTGGGTTGGTGGGTGGGTGGTTGGTTGGTGGGTGGTCGGGTTGGTTGGTTGGTTGGTTGGTTGGTTGATGCACAGAGGGTGGGTTGGTTGGTGGGTTGGTTGATGCACAGAGGGTTGGTTGGTTTATGCACAGAGGGTGGGTGGGTGGGTTGGTTGGTTGATGCACAGAGGGTGGGTTGGCGGGTGGGTGGGTGGGTGGTTGGTTGGTTTGTTGGTGGGTTGGTGGGTTGGTTGGTTGGTTATGATTTTAAGGGGAGAGGGTCACCCGTTTTCTTCTGGGAGGTAGGGTAAGTCGTTAATTTTGTACACATGTACCAGAGGGGGTAGCCATTTTGTACATAATTATATTTAAATTATAAATATACAAATTAATGTGAAGAGGCGAGGGAGGGGTAATTGTATTTGTACATGGGAGGGGTCACTTCCTTTGTACATAAATTTTAAGTTACTCAGATTGTACATGCTTCTCCATAAAATCATCAAACTCCTCTCCCCCTCCCCTTGTGATTTTGTTGGACTAAGTTTGTACTGCCAAAGAAAATTAGGTTGCTAATGCTATTATTATCTCATTGAAACTGACTGTTGCTATTTTTAACAAGCATAAAATATTAACTGAGTTAATGTATCTCGGTTGATGTATAACACAGTTTCCCAAATATGACCAAATATTGTGATGCAGGTACATGATATACATTTATGGTAGTTCACCTTGTCCAAGCATTTGTTCACAATGGTACAAAATTTTATCAAAACGTCACACTTATAAAATAAAAAAGGTTGTTGTCCATAAAAGTTGTTCAATATAAATAAAAACACTTCTATCTTTTTGTACTTTAGAGCAGCCACATATTACCTCGAGAGGTTAACCAGAATGCAAATCAACAGAATATGATGCTGACCAAGTACCAGGAAGAGGTGTCCCCATCACTGTAGATGACAAGTGATGACAGTTATCTTGATGGACTACAGGAATGATTCAAGTGCATTCATTGTGCAGTTTACTGATTTGTATGATGTATTTTGATAATTGTTTTGGCATTCTGATGTCAGCTGAGTAACACCTCCATAATGGAAACAAATTAAGGAACTTCTGTTTTGAAGCAGTAAAATAGTCTCAGCAATAATTTTTATTTATTTTGCCAGCAGAACAGAAGTTTCCATTAATTTTCCCACACAAACATTTTGTGCTTTTCTGTTCCCCATTTGTGCTTATTGTCCTGCTGAACAATTAGACCACCTTTTCAGTGACATTTTTTTTTACACTGCATGACAATGTGATTTAGAAGTATGATTTGATATAGTTTGATGGTTTGATATTAGTATATGTGGCATGTAGTAAACAATGGAATAGTAAAGTTATGCCATATTTCTTGTATTTCATGATACTGGCTGTTATATTACTTTTGTGATAGTTAGTATTTAATTAAGGCTTTACATACTGGCAACTAAGTCTCTGCATGTCTGCCATGGAAGGCATGTAAAACTGTTGCCCTTTGCCCAGAACGAAGAAAGTTTTATATGTGTAATTCATGATATGTGAATAATGTCTTACATGTGATGTTACATCTAACTATTTAATGTGTATGCTGTTAGTCTTAGAAAAAAAAATTACCCCATCTTGAAATATTCAGCTTTGTCAGTTTTGTTGCTCCAGATTTTGCCATATTTTGTTTCTGGAGGACATTTTGTTAAATGTAGTTACATTATCATGGGTTCATACCAAATCATTTGATAAAGGTAATAATTTATAAACAAGATGTGCAGCCCAGTGAAACAGTGTTGTTTCCATAATGACTACAACACAAAGATTAATGAGATTATTCTTCATTAGTCGGGGAATTGTTTTGGTAAAATGTTCATGTCCCAAGACAACACAGGTTCTAAGAAGGAATTCACACATGCATAATTAAACATGACATGTGCCTTCTTCTTTCAAATGGATACCCTGTTCTTTGAAGGTTTTGGTCATGATCATTAAAGTTGATGTCAGTGTTCATGTAGCTGTAAAACATGTTTCACTTATTATTACTCATATATGATGCAAGGTATTCCTTATTTTCATGTCTGGTTATAATTACTGCCATGTTTAATGTTAGTGCTATGTCAACATTCAAGGTGACATTTGAGGTGATTGTGAGTGAGTATGGTTTTACACCACTTTTAGCAATATTCCAGCAATATCACGACGAGGGGACACCAGAAATGGGCTGTACCCATGTGGGAATCAAAACAGGGTCTTCTGGGTGATGAGCGAACATTTGAACCACTAGCTATAGGCTAAACCACCACACACCCCACCCTCCCCAGAGATGATTGTGAAATGTGACTGTAATACTTGTATTTATATCATAGACTTGGTTATTGTTGGATTTTAATCAGTTGTATGGTTTTAAATTATTCTTGTAACACTTGAAAATACTTTAAGGAATGGGGTGTAGGGAATGCTTCTGTTTATGAAAATATTTTCAAATAGCTACCTTGGTTTGTTTACTAGTTTATATTTTCACAAATATGATGGGTGTAATGTTCAATGCCATATACATGTAACCTCCACGTATTTACACATTTCACGTTGGTGAGCCAATGGCATTACTTCAATTGTTTGTAAGAGTCTTTTCAACAGACATAAAGATATGTGTGTGAACCAACTTAATGAGTTCGGTACTACATATAATTACATTTCATAAAAATTCTTCTAGCCTGTCCCATTTCAAGACAGGCTGCTCTGTATTTTAGTAATAAAACATCTTTAACAAAACTCATTTCTTTTTGTCATTTTATGGGAAATCTGACAATGGTCAGTTTTATCTGGTCAGCTGATGCTCTACAACATTTCTGAATACACAAACAACTAACACCATGCAGGATTTGATGGATGTCCATACTTGGACAGAAAATGTCCACTGTGACATGTTCACCTTGCACATGCTTGTCTATGTTCAGCTGCATAAACTTATGTGACGCCTCAGGCATTGGTTTGACTCCCTACCCCAATGCAAATATATAAAGTTGATGCCCTTGATTGGGATGTGACTGGTATGATACTGATAGAGGCATCATAACCAACTATCTCTCATTTCACACTATTTCAAAGATGTCCCAAATGTTTAAACTTCTGATATCTTAAAAGTCACATAACACATTTGCATCTTTTACCTTTAGTAAACTGTGCTAAAGGTGTCCTGTATACATTGCTTCTCATGCATACTGTATAAGCACACCTATATTTCAAGTTTAGACCAGACCAATTCTATTTCTTGTTTTACGTATCCTCCAGTTGTATTTTTTTCCAGAATACGAAAAGAAATAAAAGTGAATTTTCCCCGCTCAAAAATAAAATCCTAATGTTTTTATTGGTCAAAATGTAAACTTACAAGAAATTCTTCTGAGGGACAAAAATATGTAAAACAAGAAATACATTGGTCTGGCCTTATTGATAAAGAACATGGCACATAACCCAAGAATTGATTACCAAACACCAAATTCAGTTCCAACAGGGAAGACCTGCAGACAACCCACCACCCTGCTAAAAGACTGAGTATGGGTTTACACCACTTTTAGCAATATTCCAATATTATGGCGGAAGACACCAGAAATGGACTTGAAACATTGTACCGATTTCGGGGAATCGAACCGGGCCTTCGGCATGATGAGAGAACACTTTAACCACTAGGCTACCCCACCCCACCTAAAGAGTAGAATTCACACTCTCCCAGAGAGAGAGAGAGAGAGAGAGTGTCATCAATTTTGTATACATGTACATGCACTTTGTGTGTTTTCATGAAGGAAGAGGGGTGGGGTGGGACTGTTATTCACATTGTACGTGCTTCTCCATAAAATCATCATCACTCGATCCCAGCCCAGCTATACGTTATGAACGGTCCCTTGCAAATTTTCGATCGAACTTTTAACAAACATTTGAATATTGCTATATTTTCTTTAATATTTATAAATGGTAACTATGGAAGGAAATGGTGTTTTTTGTTATGTTGTAGGGAAAATGCACTCTCATTACACGCTATTCAACTTTACACGACTCAGCAGAAGTAAAGACACTTCCGTGTTCAAGAGAAGTAGTGCGTACGAAACACGTTTGACGTGGGCACATAAGCTCCGCCCACTCATGTTTATTTATGATTTCTGTGCACTTAAGACCATTGTGCGTTTAAAGGGCACAACAGTGGTCTGTCGTCAATTTTGTACATATACATATTTACAAATTACGCTTAAAAATATTGAACGGTCCCTTATTTATTCCAATGAAGAGCAATTGTATTTTTCGGCAACAGTTAGTAAAACTTGGCAAAGTAGCTACCAAGCCTTTTTAGCGAAGTTAACACAATTTACCAGCAGTCCCTCTTTCCATAGCCATGCTCCAAGTGAATGTAGAGGCGGTGGGGTAGCATAGTGGTTAAAGCGTTCGCTCGTCTCGCCGAAAACCCCAGTTCGATTCCCCACATGGGCACAATGTGTGAAGCCTTCTCCTGGTGTCCCCCACCGTGATATTGCTAAGAGCGGCGTAAAACCCAACTCACTCACTCCAAATATATGAATGTTGTGTTCATGAAAGCCACACGGAGTAGGATGGGGTCACACATGCCATTATGTAGGACACTTATGACGTGCCCTTTCCTTAGATAGATTAAATTGATACACACGAGTAAATGAGCTCTTAAACCTCATTAAAACGTAATGCTGATCACAAACCAAAGTACCCAGAATAGATTGTTAGCACCCATATTTACAACACTATTCAACTAGTCACTACCTGGCGGTGTTTGAAATACTTCTATTTTGTACCTCATAACATATTGATTAAAATAATTTTAAGTTTTTTTTTTTTTACAGTACAGGCTAAATTGTTTGTGGACAGGCCCAGGGAGTGGGATATTTTAGGGGACGCTTCATTCATTTTACATATCTTACGATCGCAATGAATCATTGTCTGTTTTGCATCGTATTCATTTTTATATTTTTGTAGAAAATTTTGATACGATTATATGTCTATGCAAGGAACGATAAGCATGGTTTTCAATAACTGGATTGTCTGGTCTTGACTGTTGTTAGTTTTAGACCGCTTTCAGATATTGCAATAAACACACACAAATGGAAACATAAAATTGAGTGAGTATGGTTTTACGCCGCTTTCAGCAATATTCCAGCAGTATTACGGCGGGGGACACCAGAAATGGGCTTCACATACATTGTACTAATGTGGGAAATCGAACCCGGGTCTTCGGCGTGACGAGCGAACGCTTTAACCACTAGGCTACCCTCAAATGAAGAAATAAAAAGCAGTTTGGAGAATAGCCATCCCCCGTTTCAGTGATAAGTCTTCCAGCTATAAAGACTGGCTAACTGACTGACTGAATAAGGTTTAGTTAGGCCGCTTCAAGCAATATTCCAGCAACATCACGGCGCTGAACACCAGAGATGGGTTTCACATCCATACAGGGAATCGAACCCGCAAGCCAAGTTAAAGCTACCAAACCGCACTGTATGTAGTAATGTTCACTGCAAAATAGTGGTCGGATGAATGCAGACATTACATTGACGTCACTATTAGTGGTGCACTTCAATGCCAAAATAAAGGTCCAAGTCATTTGGCGGTGGGTAGTCCAGTGGTGAACGCGTTCGCTTATCACGCCGAAGACCCGGATCCGATATGGATGCAATAAATGAAAATTATTTAACAGCGGTGGTGTGGCTGAAATCTTTCTAAATGAGGCAAAAACCCTCTCTCACTCGCTATTAGTTTCTGAGTATCTGTTTTGTTAAAAAAAACACACCACGAAAAACAATTCGAGACATTGGTGATGAGATAAATGGCGCGGACAACTTTCTGTCCAAGTAATGAAATAATCCTACCCCAATCCAACGAGTTGTATAATAACGTCATGTGCGTGTGCGTGTGCGCGTGTGCTGTTATTGTATCTCATACTTATGCAACAGTTAGAAGTTCAAAACCGCGTGTCGTATATTAAGCGGCACAGACTCCCTTGAAATTTGATAGCTCAATCAAACTACCCCTGGAATCACGATCTCATTATATTCATGTCGTTTGAGCTGCCTGTACATTGTGCATTAAAGTATGCATAGCCCGTTAAGGTGGATCAAATGAGAAGTTAATTTGTCAGTAAACTAGCAGTTATCGCATTATCGCTTATTGTGTTTGCCATGGGCCACCCTGTCTCCTTATTCGGCGCCATTCTCCAGGGACGGGTGGTTAAAGCTTTCGCTCGTCTCGCCGTTGGCCCGGGTTCGATTCCCCACATGGGATGGGAACGTACAGTGTGTGAAACCCATTTCTGGTGTCCCCCCGCCGTGATATTGCTTGAATATTGCTAAAAGCGGCGTAAAAGCCACTTACTCACTCTCCATAAGGAGTTCTTTAAGCGTGCCAGAATCCTATTGTCAAGGGTTCGAATCCCATATTTGCCCTTATTATGTGACTTGGTATGTCAGCACCATACCCGTGCTTGTGAGTTTCACCAAATTGAGCGAGTGGGTTACGTTTTACGCCGCTTTAGCAATATTCCAGCATTATCACAGCGGGGGACACAAGAAATGGGCTTCACACATTGTACCCATGTGGGGAATCGAACCCGGGTCTTCGGCGTGACGAGCGAACGCTTTAACCACTAGGCTATCCCACCGCCCCTTCACCAAAGTGGCAAACGGTAAGACCTGTATTACTTCGGGTTTCCTCCCACGTACAATGACACGCCGTGATATATTCTTGAACGCGAGGTTGACATTTCCCATAACCCTAGTGTGTCTCACAGTCCCCGAATCACATCATTTTCCGTTGCGCCCAGCCATTTCTGTAATGCTAAAGCCCTTAACGAAGAAAGTCTAGATTTCCTCTGGTTCTGAATTTCCCTTCTCGCTGTGGCTACTTTTCAATTTAAAAGGAAATGTTTGTTTCTGTCAAAATTATATATATTCAGAGACTATGCTTTAGTCTACACTACCTCCACAATCTGAAATGAATCACAGATCACAGATCTTAGATAGCCCATCTCACAGGGGTTCGAATCACTGTTTGGACAATAATTTTAAAAATAAAATTTCAAATTTGAACGAAATCGGTGAAGAAATGGATTTTTTAGAAAATTCTCCATCTACACTTATTACAAATTTAAAATATAAGTTACTCATAACATATAAAAACAGTGTACGGTTTTTATTTCTAAAAATTATTGTCCATAAAGTGATTCAAAGCCCTGTGGCCCATCTACGTTTCCTTTGCAAGCTGTTGCGCTAAGTTTCTTTTAGTTTTTTGAGTGAGTGGTTATTGTTTTACGCTGTGATTTTGCTGGAATATTGCTAAAACAGCAATTTTGCAGCGGGAAATCCCAGAAATGACCTTTATTGTGGGGAATCGAACCAGGGCATTTCGCGTTGCGAGCGATCGCTTTAACCACTAGACTACCCTGACTACCCCAGAACCAATACTACTACTTCTTTTTCGTAATCAGTTCTTTTGTTGTGGTCTTATATCCAATAATTAACCCAATTACATACTGCTGAAGTATGTGGCAACATTTCCAAGCGGAATGATCCAATAGGCCGCTTAATTAACCGATGCGTGAACAGGATTAACAGGTCATATGGATTTGGGTACATTAATCCTTTTGTCATTGCAATACAGTAATCACCCCGGGTGTACCCTTATGTCGGCAACCATACCATGTTACAGTGTTTGTGTGTTCCCAGGGCGTTCAGGCTAAAACGTCATCGCCAGGAACGTCAGTCCCCTGAACGATCTGAGCTGGTATGTTGTGACCCAGGGTCTGTTCAAGACGAGATTCCAGCTACTCACTCACTGTGTGCTACTTGGTGGGTGCTACTTGGTGGAATCTACAGTGCAGCGTTATGGCGATCTCCAGTCTGTGTTGTGGTCTTATAACGCTGTGGATGTTAGGTTTCCTTGGTAAGTACTGCCCAGCTGACAGGGTTAGTTACCGAAATGATTTTGTGGGTGAGAGCTAGGCCCTTATTCTCGAAACGTTCGTAGCCCTAAGAATTCTTAACTTTGATCGTAGCCAATGTGTTAAGAATGTGGTTAGGAAGTTCGTAGGGCTACACACGTTTCGAGAATAGCTAGCCTGGAATAATATGTTCCGGTTTTATGAATTACAAAGATCGTGGGGGCGATGGGCTAGCTTAATGGTTAAAGCGATCGCTCGTCACGCCGAAGACCCGTGTTCCATTCCCCACATGGGTACAATGTGTGACGCCCATTTCTGGTGTCCCCCGCCGTGATATTGCTGGAATGTTATTAAAGGCGGCGTAAAAGTAGATTCACTCACGCCTGAATTACAAGAACGCTGCTGAGTCGTGATTAGTTACTGTTACCTCGTCTACATTGATGGCATCGACGGCATTGTGTTTAACCATGTGCTTAAGATGTACATTAACACAACATTGACGGAACCATTGACTGCGTTTATAGTGTCTCCCAGTACACTACCGGACAAAATCATGTACACACCTTGCCTGATGATAGCAAATACTTAGCAGGAATGGCTTTCCGATGGTGATGCATTTCATACGGAGTATGTAAACTGATGTACAAAAGAAAGTACACACCTGGTGTTTTGGGATTATTTGAAAAGTGTTGTGATTTTGACTGGCAACTTCGCAATTGGGCACGATATCTGTGATGTTTTGGCAACATATTAGGAAAGTCTGTGACTTATATATCATTGTAAAAACTCTTTTCAAAACATTTACGTCGCTTTTTGGAAAGTAATCCAAAAGCACCGGGTGTGTACTTTCTTTTGTACGTCAGTTTATGTTTATAATATCAAGTTTGCATTGTCTCAGCCAAGTAATGTTTCAATAACGTTTGTAATTGTTTCGGTCAAATCCAGTTTTCTTGTGTGTGCTCCCCTTTGCTCTGAAGCTTTTGTATAGATACAGTCTCAGACCCCCATCAGTATATACATAATACCTATAGATGGATAAAAGGTAAAAGGGACGCGCGATGATCTTGAATAATCCCTGCTTGTCGTAAGAGGCGACAAAAGGGATCGGGTGGTCAGACTCGCTGACTTGGTTGACACATGTCATCGTATCCTAATTGATCGATGCTCATGCTGTTGATCACTGGATTGTTTGGTCCAACTGGAATATTGCTGAGTGCAACAAACTAACTAATATAAATCCCAAATACAAACAATCTGTGTATCGATGACGCTGACTTTAACAACTGACTATCCATTAACGTTCGGTGGCTAGAATAAATATAGTATGACCAGAAATTATTGAGAATTTTAGGAATATGTTTAATTGGATTTCTAGTATAAACAACCTTGACCAGCTATCAAGTGCTTGGTTTCATTCAAGAGAGACAACTCCGTTAATCCTTTTCATTAGTTTGTGAAGAGTTATCCCCTTTGTTTACTTGCTAGCAGACGACATTTTCAGTGATCCCTCAGTATGGATGATTTAGAGAAGAGGAAGTTGATTTTGGAGTATTATAACAAGGACATCAGATCAGCTAAAGTGATTTCAAGTAGAACAGGCATCCCTTTGTCCAGTGTGTATCGTGTTTTGAAAATATTGCAAATGGATATGGCATTGAGCACCAGGGAGGCGCAGGTAGGCCCAGAAAATTGACTGTCGGTGACAGGAGGCGGCTTGGTATTCTTGTTTCTAAAAACAAACGAAGGAGTTTAGAAAACTTAAGGCTGGATATGATTGATAGAGGAACTGTGGCTGTCTGTAAGGAGACAATTAGAACTGAACTGCATGCAATGGGTTGGCAGAAAAGTCGAGGAATTCAATCACCGATCATGAAACCTGAACAAAAGGAGCGAAGATTGAACTGGTGCTTACAGCATAGAAATTTTAACTGATTTTCTCAGATGAAAGTTCTGTGTGGCTGTTTCCTAATACACTGAATTTCTGGACCAAACAAACTGAAAAACCTTTGTATCAGCGCCCAAAGTACAGTCCGAAATTTAACGTGTTGGGTGGCATATCTGTGTTAGGGGCAACGCCCCTCTGTGTATTTGAAGGGAATATGAACAGTGAGCGGTACACAGATATTCTCGAGGGACATTTACTTCCATCTGTTCACGTGTTCTATGGAAATATTGCTGAAATGAAAGAAGAGGTGGTCCGATATTGGGACAGCATGGACCACGACTTTCTAACTTCTTTGATCAGTAGTATGCCCCGCCGCATTGAAGCCTGCATTGCTGCCCATGGTGACTTGACAAAATACTAACTGTTCACCTGTCTTTGAATCTGGAGTTATGTTCTGCTCATATTCACATTTAATACGCGAGTTATGAGTGAAAAGAAATACAATCTTTAAATTCTCAATAATTTCTGGTTGTACTGTACATGTATGTTTTATATATGATTCTTTAGAAAAATGCCGGATATCCATGATTGGTCCTTTACCACTACGGTAAAACAGAAATAATGAGTGAGTTTGGTTACGCCGCTTTTAGCAATATTCCAGCAATATCACGGCGGGGACACCACAAATGGGCTTCATACATTATGCCCATGTGGGGAATCGAACCCGGGTCTTCGGCTTGACGAGCTAACGTTTTAACCACTAGGCTACCCCATCGCCCCTAAAACAGAAATAAGTTGGATTGGTTTAACCGAATGCCATAACTCAAACATTTCAGTTCCAGATGTTTGTGCCGCTACCCGATGCAACTACTACAGCTCCTACGGCTACTACACCTACCGCTACTGCACCTACGGTTGTTGCGGGAGTAGCTACGCCTACGTGTGCTGCTCCAGTGCCACGAGGTAAGTAGAGACTCTTTACAGGAGTGAGTGAGTGAGTATGGTTTTACCCCGATTATAGCATTATTCCAGCAATATATGGGCTTCACACATGGTTCCCATGTGGTGAATCGAACCCGGGTCATCAGCGTTACGAGCGGACGCTTTAACCATTGGGCCACTCCACCGCCCCCGCTTTACAAGAAAGAAAACATTATCCTTATTGACGCCTTTGACGCCTAGTATAATATGTAAATGTAATCTCTCCCTGATGATAAAGTTGAAATACGTAGGAGTGAAATACTATGTACTCGTCCACAGGCACTGAGGGTTTATTGCCCGAAGTTCTGTATCCTGATAAGTGAGCGAGTGGTTTAGCTGAGTGAGTGGTCAAGTGAGAGAGTTTAGTTTTACGCCACACTCAGCAATATTCCAGCTATATGGCGGCGGTCTGTAAATGACTGAGTCTGGACCAGACAAGCCAGTGATCAACAGCATGAGCATCGACCTACGCAATCAGGATACAGTGACATGTGTCCACCGAGTCAGCGAGTCTGACCACCCGATCCCGTTAGTCGGCTCTTATACGACAAGCATGGGTTACTGAAGATCAATTCTAACCCGGATCTTCACGGGTTTGGAGAAAGTGAGTGAGTGAGTAAATATGTGAATGAGTGATCTACGGATAGAAACGGAAGATAGGCAGCAGAAGGATATGCATGGTTTAATTAAGATATTATATTTTGATTTGTAATTTCAGTTTCGTGTTGTCTGGTGGTGCCATCACAGGCATTGTGATGGGAGCTCTTACTGTAGCTGTTGTCATCTTCATTATCTTGATCATCTTGAAGAAAAAGAAATACTGGAGAGGCAGGAGTGTTGTCCGCCACAGTAACATCGTAGGTGAGTGTCACCGTCTCCGTCAGGGATATTCCGCGAGTCATGCATCACCAATGGCCAAAGATTAACGTCAGTCACGCCCACCGTCAGGCATGAACCTCTGCCGTGTATTACTCCGAAAACGCATTATCCACAGGCATGCATTGCTCCAAACCACGCATTGTCCACAGGCCTACATTACTCCGAACTACGCATTATCCACAGGCATACATTACTCCATACCACGAATTATCCACATGCATGCATTACTCCGAACCATGCATTACTCACAGGCATACATTATTCTGAACTACGCATTACGCACAGGAATACATTTCTCAATACCACGCATTACCCACAGGCATACATTACTCCATACCATGCATTATCAACAGGCATACATTACTCGATACCACGCATTATCCACAGGCATACATTACCCCATACCATGCATTATCCACAGGCATACATTACTCTATACCACGCATTATCCACAGGCATACATTACTCCATACCACGCAATCATCATATTATCCACAGGCATGCATTGCTCCGAACCATGCATTACCCACAGGCATACATTACTCCAAACTACGCATTATCCACAGGCATGCATTGCTCCAAACCACGCATTATCCACATGCATGCATTACTCTGAACCATGCATTTGTCACAGGCCTACATTATTCTGAACTACGCATTACGCACAGGAATACATTACTCCATACCACGCATGACCCATAGGCATACATTACTCATACCACGCATTATCCATAGGTATGCATTACTCCGAACCATGCATTACTCACAGACATACATTACTCCGAACTTCGCATTACCCACAGGCATGTATTGTTCCGACCTGCGGATTATCCACAGGCATGCGTTACTCCTAACTACGCATTACCCACAGTCATACATTACTCTAAACTTCGCATTACCCGCAGGCATGTATTGCTCCGACCTGCGGATTATCCACAGGCATGCATTACTCCGAACTACGCATTACCCACAGGCATGCATTACTCCGAACTAGGCATTACCCCCTGTCATACACTACTTCGTGTGTTCACTACTACACATTATCTTCCTTCATACATTATTCCTAATTATGAGTTATCCTAATTATACATTATTCCTAGATTGAATCCCAGATTTGCACCGATTTCATTCCAGTTCCAAAGTGGTTAAATCAAATATCCGCATCAGGGCCTAGATTTTCGAAGAATTAACATTAACATTAACTTACGACTATCTTGTTGCTAAGAGTGCTTCGAAAATCTAGGCCCTGGTCGTGATACAACTGAAAGTCAGTTCATAATACCATCTCTAACTGCATGACTTCAGAATTCGTTCTCTAATCCGGATTACTATATATTACCTAAACACACTTGACACGTAATCAAAAGACACAGAACAATGGTGTAGATCAACGTAGAGTCAGATGATCACATTACCTGTAACGGTTAACCCTTTCTGTTTCAGTGAGCAGCTCCTCCACAGCTACAAAGCCTGTCAGTACCGTCCAGGTGGGACCGTCCGCCCCACACAATCCCTACCCTGCATACCCACCCCCAGCATACCCACCCCGGCATACCCTCCACCACAACAGCCCCCATCCAACAACCAAGCATACCCTCCACCCCAACAGCCCCTACACACCCAACAGCAACCCAAGCATACCCCCACCCCAGCAGCCCTACACACCCAACAACCCAGCTTACCCACCCCCACCCCTGCCTACAACATAACGACGACATCCCATGTTTATTAATAATGCTGCTGTTGTCAGCCAGTGTGAAATGATATATATGGTGTTTTGGCAACCCGTACAGAATATTTGTGACTTGTAAATCACAATCAAAACACATTTCAAAAATTTACTTTCAATTGGGGAGATGAACCTCAATGCACAAGGAGTGTACCTCCTTCTGTACTTCAGCATTATATTTAGACAGACCGCTGGAAAATTATTCTGGAGCAACTTTCCCACTGTACATAATAAATTCACCCACTGTTATCTCGAAACGCCAGCTTCCCCGAACCCATCAAAACCATACTTCGATTCTCCCGAAGGACGCTATCCGAGCAGTCACGATGTTTTCCGAGCAGTTTCGATGATATCAGAGCAGTCACGATGTTTTCCGAGCAGTCACGATGTTATCCGAGCAGTCACGATGTTTCCGTATAGCCAGACATACAGGCACCATCTGTGGGGAAACTCAACATCTGTCAAATTCCGTACGCCTTATTCTTTAACCCAAATCTTTTATTTCAATATATTTTCTTATCGTTTGCATTGAAAAAGGTTTGTACAGAAAAATACCCAAATACATTCGACATCGAAAAGAGATTGTTTGACGTGATGACCAAAATAGAATGTGTCCACATTACCGTCCAGAACTGTACATTCTAGAAGATGTGTAACAAGGGAATATATTTTACATATTTACATGAACAAATAAAGATTTTTCAAAGAACAATTACAAGATTTATTGTGTTATTATTTCTGAACTGCTACCCAATCAAAACATGGCGTGGGTGGCGTCTACTATAATATGAGTGCTGGAATGAAGCCCAAGTTTACGTATGTCCAAATCATATTTACTTTGGTGTGAGTGTTCAGCAGTTCCGATGTTTGTATCTCAGAGGCTACATGTATTACTGTCTACGTATCATGTTTTAGATCAGGGGGTAGATTAGTGGTTAAAGATAACGTTCGTCACACTGAACACTCGGGTTTGTTTCCCCACGGAAGTAAATTGCAAAAAGCCCAATTCTGGTGTCCCTTCTAGTGATTGAATAGTGCTAAAGGCGGCGTAAAACCCAACTCACTCAAAAATTACTTATTGTTAAATGTTGTGTTATTTTTCAGTTGGTGCAATGTTCATGTTTTCACAAGGTGAGTTTATCTGGGATTTATTAGTCCAGGTAATTTTCGCGGTGAATGTAGCTTTTGATACAAAGAATGTACATGAATACATAAAAAGTATGACTGATTTGAGCTGAATTTGTGAAGCATGGTTTGTAATTGAAGATTATTACATTTTCCAACCTATATATACAGCAATGTGATCTCCTTGGAGTGAGTGAGTGAGTTAGAATTTATCGTCACATCGGCAATATTACAGCCATAAAAAGCTGTCTACGAAGGACAGTAAAATAACTAGATTATCACAGAGACGAATTTAAAACTAGTAATTTAAATCTAAAACAGTTTAACTATAGATGACAATACAATATAAAAACGGGCTATAGATTGCCAACAACTGAAGGTAGATGACCATACTAGGAACCATGGGGGACGATCTCCTTGGAGTGAGTGAGTGAGTGAGTTTGGTTTTACGCCGCTTTTAGCAATATTCCAGCAATATCACGGCGGGGGACACCAGAAATGGGCTTAACACATTGTACCCATATGGGGAATCGAACCCGGGTCTTCGGCGTGACGAGCAAACGCTTTAACCACTTGGCTACCCCACGGCCCGATCTCCTTGGAAAAATACATGCAACAAAATCCTTTCCATATTCACGAGAAGTCTCTGCCGATTCCAACCACATTATGAGTACATGTTAATGAATGACCATCAAATAGTTTGGATATCCGGTGTTTATAAAACGGTGAGTGAGCGTATCCTGCATCACGGGTGTCACCTGTCACAAACACTTGCAAAGGCGAGAACACGAGATCAGTTGTTCACCCTGACTGTAGAACACGAGAGCATGTTACAAGTCAAAACTGGGAACTGCATCAAACATATTTGTAATCTCTGATGGAAACGTCATCCATCGGTCTACTATTAATCATGTTGAAAACGTTTCTGAGGCCTTGGATGTTAAACCTTCATAATGCTACTTCTATGCAAGAGTGGGGCTCCTTGAAATCGTTGGAGAAGGAACATACTTGCTTGTCACTCACATCATGTGAAATGTAGACACGTGAATACTGATAGAAATGAACAGACAAATTGGCCACAGGAGTGAGTAAGTGAGTTTAGTAGGTGAGGATATTCTGCTCGCAATGAATAGCGACCTCGGGGTTTTTTAAACCTTTTTACCCGACATCACGCCGAGTGTTTTTTCATATAGACTGGAACATTCTTCTTTTTATTACACAAAAAATATATATACGATAAACCATGTTTATAACAAACTGACTATAATTTCAACCAATCAGTGACGTACAGACCCGTGCAAAAAGTATTCGGACCCTTGACGTAATTTCCATAGACTAACATGTTATTTCAGTGTTGCATAGATAATTTTCATGAAGTGAGTTTAGGATGGATCTTTGTAAAATTGGACAGGCAAATTTGAAATCATCTCTGCTCTGCGCACATAATTTCAGTTCAATTTTCCGACCCTTAATTAACAAATGACATCACATTTATCAACTTACGTATGGTTCCACAATGCACAATCCCATAGGCCGCCATGTTAAAAGAGTTCATGCACTGTACACATGTACATTAAATTGTTGCCATTCGATAAATAAGCAACGGAAAATTAAACAGAAATTATGTGATTGTAGGTAAGAGGATTCCTCACAAATGTGCAAAATTTGACTTGGATCTTACGAAAATTACATTCATGAAATTATTTATGCTACACCAAATTAACATGTAAGTCTATGGAAATTACGTCAAGTGTCCGAATACTTTTTGCACGACTCCGTAGATGCGTAAGTGTGCGCGCGCGCGTTGATTAATGTTCCAGCCACATGGCGACGGTCTGTAAGTAATCGGACCAGATGAGTCAGTAACTGACATGAGTGAGTGAGTATGTTTACGCCGCTGTAAGCAATATTCCAGCAAATTCACGCCGGGGGACACCAGAAATGGGCTTCACATATTATATTATACCCATGCCAACGAGAGGAATCGAACCCGTGTGATTTTGCTTGACAACGCTTTAACCACAAGGCTACCCCACCGCCCACTGACATTATGATCAAAGACCTGTGCAGTTGGGATATGATGACATGCATGAACGATGTCAGCAGGCCGGGCCACCAGTCAGTCATCACCAACGACAAATATGGGTTGCTGAAGACCAATTCTAATCCCCATCTTCGCGGGCTTCTGTGTTTGTGCAAGTGGATGTTTAGTTTACGCCGCTGCTAGTATTATTTCAAATTCGCGGTGGACACCCATGTGGAAATCGAACCCTGGTCTTCGGTGTGACGAGCGAACGCTTTCACCACTAGACTGCCCGACTGTCCATCAACCCAAAAAGTTTATTTGTTGTTTAACGCTGCACTCAGCAATATTCCATCTGTGTGGCTGCGGTCTGTAAATATTCGAGTCTGGACCAGACAATCCCGTGATCAATAATATGAGCATCGATCTACGCAAATGGGATACGGTGACGTGTGAACAAAGTCAACGAGCTGACCACCCGATCCCGTTAGTCGCCTCTTACGACAAGCATGGGTTGCTGAAGACCAATTCTTACCTGGATATACACGGGTACCAAAGGAAGGATCATGCAGTCCATTATGAAGCTTTAAAGGCAAGACCCGTGAAGGTCGGGTTAGAATGAACCTTCAGTAAACCATGCTTGTCGTAAGAGGTGACGATCGGGTGGTCAGGCTCACTGACTTGGTTGACACGTGTCATCGGTTCCCAATTGCGCAGATCGATGCTCATGCTGTTGATCACTGGATTGTCTGGTCCAGACTCCATTATTTACAAACCGCCGCCATATAGCTGGAATATTGCTGAGTGCGGCGTAAAACTAAACTCACTGACTCACAATCCATTCTAAACTCTGTCAACCATATAGCTGGAATATTGCTTAGCGCTTCGTAAAACTAAACTCACTCACTCAAGTCAACACTGATCTTGCCACCGTTGTCATCTGTTTAAAGTTCAACTTGACACTAAATTCCTGATATAATAACCAGCATGTAGAAAATATCCAACTCCAGTCCATAATACCAAAGCAACAGATTTTGTTGATTTTTTATTACTTAAATATACATACTGATCGAACTGTATGAATAAAAATCCGTAGCAAAAATAAATATGTTGAATAAATTAAAACACATGTACAAATACGCATGCACATGTTATATGGGGGGATTGCACTTGGTTGCTAATAAATACTACAATAATAGGAACTTAATACGACAGTTGTACAAATTAGCTAAGAGATAAACTAAAGTAAATGTTAGTCACATAGCAGATAGTTGCTCTAAAACTACAAACACGTTAGCACAAGAATGTACACATTGTTGACAAGGATGATTTTTCTGCCCCAAATATACTTCAATGTCTATTAGTCACTATACGATGTTTAGCACTTGTGGGTTTTCAATTAGTGGTAAGTACGTCACACGCGTCGTAGACGATGTTGCAATGACGTCGCTTGAGTTACTGCTGCTTGTGGGCTATGAATGAATACAGCCTCTGGACCTGACTCTGTTGGGGGGTTAGTTGTTGGTGGGGGAAGGTCGGATGCTGGTTTGGGGCACCGGGTAGAGACCCCCCTGGGTGCATCATAGAGCCAGGGGCACCTTGGGGGTAAGGGAAGATTGGGCGTGGCATCATCTGGGTTGCCTGTCCGGGGGCCATCATGGCGTTCGGTGGGAGGAAGGAGTACGGGGATGCGGCCGACATGAGAGCTGACATAGGCTGGGCGCTGTACGGATTCACTTGCGGTAATGGGGTTGACTGCTTGTTCTGTTTAGCTTGGCGTCTCATCCGGGCACGTTTGTTCTGGAACCACACCTGGAGCAGGACCGAAATGTTTCATGAAGAGGATATAATAAGCAGGAAACGGGATACATCAAGAAAATGTTATCGTAATAATGATATTTTATGTTACAAACGAGTGGGTGAGTACTGCTTTACACCGCTTTTAGCAATATTCCAGCAATATCATGGCGGGGGACACCAGACACCGGCTTCACACAGTGTACCCATATAGGGATCGAACCCGGGTCTTCAGCATGGCGAGAGGACGCTTTAACCATTAAGCTACCCCTCGGCCCCTGTTACAAACGAGCGAGTGAGTTCAGTTTTACGCAGCTTTTAGCAATACTCCAACAATATCACCGCTGGGGATACCAGAAATGGGCATCACACATTGTACCCATGTGGGGAATCGAACCCAGGTCATCGGCGTGACGAGAGAACGCTTTAACCACTAGGCTATCCCACAGCTCCTATACAAACGAAAGACACTAAGGAAACTAAGAAGTTGCTTAGCAACGTAAAGAAAATATCAGATGCTAACCTTTCATATGAACTAAAGCTTAGTCGACTGCGTTCGTCACCCATACAGATTCACTTACAAATACATGTCTCAGGTAGTTTCAGTGACATAACTTACCCTCAGCCGCTGGTCAGGGATGTCCAGTTCTCTGGCCAGTCTGTCTATGGTGTCACACTCAGGGTAGGGGTTCTCCATGTAGACCCTCTCCAGCGCCCGAAGCTGACCAGGGGTGTAGCTGGTGCGAGACTTCTTCTTGTAGGACCCCATGTCAGGGTCGGGGTTGGGCCTCTTGCTCCTGGGGGCGCCAGTAGACGACGAGGATGATGCCGTGGAGGAGATGGAGGTGTCGCAGATGGAGCTGGTAGATGAACACCTGGATCTCATCAAGGAGGTGTCACTCAGACTGGAGTTAGAGTCCTCCATACAGGGTAGCTGTGATGTGGTGAGCTCGGGACTACTTCTGGATTCAATGGATGAGGATGGAGAGTCAGTACTGGAGTTGACGTCGATAGCAGAGTCATCTGAAAGGACGATGAAAAATAGAATCGTTATATTATTCTTGAGTTCTTAGTACGAGATTTGACTCTACTCTCTTGTGTGATGGTCTACCTGTATGTCGTTAACACTTCAAGTACGGTGAGTGAGTTTAGTTTTACGCAATATTTCAGCAATATCACGGCGGGGGACACCAGAAATGGGCTTCACGCATTCTATCCGTTTGGGGAATCGAACACGGGTCTTCGGCGTGACGAGCGAACACTTTAACCACTAGGCTACCCCACCGTCCCCATTTCAAGTACAAATACGATTAAATACTTGGGGTGGAAAGGGTGCCCAGCGACCCCTGGCGGTCTTTATAACTGAAATGCTAGTCGTTATGTTACAATAGGTGACCAGCCACATATGACTTCGTACCAATAGAGCGTTTGTCGTTACTTGTTTGACATGCCCAGTTTCAATTATTTGTAGGTCTCTGTGATATATGTCATACTTTGTTGACGATCACATGAAACATCTGTACACCCTCTACCGTTATTGCTTTCTTAAAAGAGAATCCATTGAACATACCTTTCCCAGTACATGTTGGACTCGGGTTTGAATCTGGGGATGATGAGAAGGGAGGTAACTGCGTGTTGCCTACTGGTATCTGCTGGGTGAAGAAACTGGGCGACATGAAGATGTTGTTGGAGAAGATGGATGGGTTGACGGGATCCCGCTTCTCTGGTGTTGGTTGAGCTGGAACGTTGGACGGTAGACTCGCAGTGAAGGCATCTGGTGGTTTTGATTGGTCGTGGAGCCTGGAAACCATGTGCTGGTGCTGGAGGTTCGGTTGACTGTCCATGGACTTCGGGAACTCACTCAGAAAGTAACTCAAAGCATCAGCCTGGCTTTGGAGATGTGGTTCTGCTTTTACTGTCGGGACGGGTGACTCCTCTTGTGGGGGCTGCTTATCGTTGGATTCAGACGGGACCTTTTCTTCTGTAGAGACTTGTGGCATTTGTGGTTTGGGATCTGATGCAAATCCTGAGATAAGGCTTGAGTTAAATGGGTGCTGGAAGGGCTGGCTGTAGGGTGTACTGTTGACCCAGGGTAGGGAACCGGGTGGAAACATTGGCGGGTATCCGTTGGTGAGTCGCACTGGCTTAGGGTGAGCCAAACCACTTGAGGCGATCTTGGCAGATGAGACATGCTGTTCCCAGAAGTTTACTGGATTTGTAGGGGGGTCTTGGTTGGGTAGGGAGCTGTAGGGATGATGTCCCGAACTGGAATCAGATGGAATATTATCGGAAACAGATTGTCGGTCGTCATCGCTGGTGTCGGACTCAGATGACTGGCTGCTGGGTGGTTGAGGGGTGTTGGGCTCGGAGTGCGAGTCCGTGGACTCTCCCTCGTGCAGCAGGAGACGTGTGGAGTGAGTCTGTTGAACTGTTTGGTGAATCGGAGGCTGTGGGACTGCTTGGCCGTAGGCGATGGTTGAGCTGTGGTCAGCTGAGGCCAAGTCGGGCACCTGTCCGTCGTGTTCTGTCTTATGTGGCATCCCAGATAGAGTACTATTGATCAGATTGTTCAGCTGCATCTGGAGGTTGGTTTGGCTGACATTGTCCTCGCCGGCCGGAGACGGGCTTGACTCGGAGACCTTGTCTTGGAAGTGTTGGGTCTCTCTGTTGTCTTTCGGTTCTGCCACACGCTGTGTTGACGGTCGGGCTATGATTGGTTGTACCAGATAGTTGGAGTTACGGAGGCCTGCTGGCAGCTGGGGGTGGTGTTGAGCCAGAAGGGGACTGATGAGGTGACTGGGCTGAGGAACTCGAGTGGGCTGTGGTGCCTTGTGCTGTGACAATGAACTTTGGACTTGGGATAACTGAACAGACTGGGTCTGAGACTGGTGCGCAGACTGGACTTGGGACTCGGGTTCGGACTTGACTTGGCTCTGGATATCAGACTTGGGTTGATCGTGTATGACGGACTGAGATGTAAGCTGGAACGTATTCCAGGGCTGGATGGAATGGTGAATCTGTGTCTGACTGGGAAACGGTCTTATTTGTGGCTGGTTGTTTGATTGTGGGGGGAGGACTTGGCTGCGATTGGGCCTCGGGGGTCTGGGGCTGTTGCTCTGGTTCTATCACTTCTTGATCCCGGGGATGTTCGGACGACTGGGGTTGGTGAGTCACAACTTGTCCGCTTGACTGAAAGTGAGGTAAATGATGCCTGAAGTTGGCGTAATCTGCAGCACAGAACGTGAAGGACTGTCCGGGGTTGCCAAACAACGTATTCTGCACACTCCTTTGAATATCCGTGTGAGAGGGCACCGTCACAGGCGTGTATGTCATGCTGGTGGGAGGAGCGTAAGTCGTGCCAGACGTCGCAGACAGATAATCGCTGTAGAAGGTTGCGGGGGCGACGTCTTTAACAATGTCAGACATCGTGGTGATGTCGTCTATGGTCTTCGCGTCCAGAGTTAGGTGGTCGGTGTTCTGGGTCCAAATCGTCTGCTCGGTTTCCTGGACACGAGGAATGCCCTGTTCAGTGTCGTCTGCTTTGTCGCCCAGAATTGCAAGCCATGGCAGGAGGTCGGAGCTGTTGGTGTAGCTGAAGTGAGGAGCTAGTGACGCTGCAGCGATGGACGGAGGCTGAAACATTAGAGTTCAAGATTTAGATAAATCGGCCGAATATTCGCTTAATGGCGAGTGAGTGTAATTTTACACTGCTTTCGGCAATATTCAAGTAATATCACGGCAGGGACACCTGGGCTCTACACAGTGTAGCCATGTGGGAAATCGAACCCGGGCCTTAGGCATACGAGCGAATGGTTTAACCACTATGCCATCCCACCGCCCTATTCGTTTAATATTACATCGTAATGTCAAAGGTCTTGTATATTGGAAAATATGTAATGTAGAGCACGATTATGTGCATGCTGCGTTGTGTGATCATGTAAAGTGCAAAATACGTAATGAATCTCAAGTGGTGAAGCGTCATTAAATTAGCCATGTACATTTTCAGATATTTGAACGATCAGTTTTACCTCGCAATGTAAAATCCAGGAAACGAGATATTGAGCAGCAATTACAGATTGGTATGATACTATTTCGTATTTTACACAAGTAGCTAACAAAAACATTAATTCTTGGACAAAGTGGAAATATTTTGTATTTCTTTGGTAAGAACGTTTTAATGCAAAATTACGATTGATCTCATTATGAAATTTCTGTACGTGTTATCTTATCATGAAATTCATGATCGGTCCTCTAAAATATTATGTGTGCTGGTCATTTTGAGTTGATCTTGGACAAAAGCTCTGAAGTTGGCGATTCAGTTTTCGTGCTGCATGTCCACGAGCGCATGGAGACAGCATGCATCTCGGGTGTAGGGGTGGTGTCAAAAGCAGAAAGTGATAATTATGACTCGTTTGATATCGCTGACAATGCTTTGATTTGATTTGAGTTCAAACTCTCCCCGGACAAGTTCAGCTATTATGATCATTCAATAATTACACCACTAGAAAATGCTGAACGTGGAAGTGACTCAACTGATGAACTCATTTCGAACGCCACCATTACTGAATCCGACTTACCTGGCAGATGTTGACACCCGCACCTTCGTGATGAGATTGAAACTATAGTCTTTATCTGATAACAATTACCATTGGCCCAAACCAGTGGTTAGTCATATCTTTACTACAAAATTAACCGAATTTATGTTGAAATAGTTTTTGCACTGTTCATGCACACATTACAGAAACAGTCAACGAAAAATATTTTCGGGCAATTTCTGACACAAATTATTGACATCCATTTTTAACCTTGAAGGGAGATAACTCTGGTAAATTCAGTTGCTGTTATGAACAGATACCAAAGATATTTTATCATATTAACAATAAAGTATGTTTATTGGCTTACCTTGTGAAATTGACGATAAAAGTTAACATATTATGTATATGACCAAAATATCCAGCAAACGTATGATGTAATAATCCAGACGTCAGCCTGATGTAAATCCAAGTCAATCCCCAGGAAAGGTCAATACTATTTACATCATGCGCTGTCACCCACATTTTTATTAGCCAATGAAAACCGAAGAGACAACTTACCTCGCAGTGCTCTTCCATTTGGTTGGTCAGAATATTTCAGCTTGAGCAAGTGAGTTGTTTTCGAAGTGTAAGAAATCACAAGTTGAATGCTTGTTGTGAACTCATCTCAAATATTTATACCCAGGAGGACTGTGTTGACATTTTCTCAAACATGTCACTTGGCAGATGAGTAAAATACCTAATGGAGATGATTAGAGTCGTGTTGTAATTGATTGGCGTTTCGCGAATTGCATGAAGTGTGTTGTTATAACGGCCATGTCAGAGATTAGTGTATTGTTTACCATCATCTCAATAACACTGTTACCGCCATTGTGAGTTAATCTTGTCAGCCGAGATGTTTTTGTATGAGTAACTGGATGATTGATAGAATTAACAGAAACTTAGCATTGTCGGTACAGGCCATTTTTAAACAAGGTGGCAGGCTAACGTAAAATATATCTTGATATTTTCGCAAAATATTTCGTATGATATTGTTCATGGAATTTGACATATTTCATCATGAAAGGAAAAATGTTATTGTATTTTTCTTTAGATTATTTACTAGCGCTTGTTAAAACGTTTTTAATCAACATATTGAGAATGAATTTTAATCGTTATCGTCAGGAATGGTCGGGTGTTGTGGGCGATGACTTTCACTATATTCCCGTGAAATGAACACGATACCCCCGAGTGACTCTGCACGTGCAGCATGACTTTATCGGGCTGATTGTGGGGTCGTGAGGGAAGATTTCTACAACCGGACTGAATCGGTGCAGAGATGTATCAACCCCATGAACGGTTACACTGTCACACTGTGACGATAGGTTTACTATATTTCTTTGTTTTAAACATTTATTTCTTCACGAGAGTTAATTATGATTGGTGAACAAGCTTTACAGCTTATGTTAACACCGCTCCCATGCAACATATATAACACAAAGTAAACTGAAGGATGTGACGTCATCGATACTGATTATTATATAAATAATGTATATTTGTATTGCATCAAATACAAATACAACTATTCTCTAAGTAAACAGAAAGTTACGTTTTGTGTGTCTAACGAGCCATTTGTAAAAATGTAAATTAATCATGAGCTTTTTGTTCAGTTAATTTCATTATTTTTATTATAATATTATTATGAATAATACTAAATGTTATTTACTAGTATTATGTTTCTTTCGAAGAAGCAGGTAGCAAAGGTACTGTAAGTCCCCATGGTCCCTAATATGGTGATCTACCTTCAGTTGTTGGCGATCTATAGCCTATTTTGATATTGTGCTGTCCCCTATAGTTGAAATGTTTTAGATTTAATTACTAGTTTTAATTTCAAATCTGTGATAATCTAGTTATTTTACTGTCCTTCGTTGACAGGTTTTTACAGTTTACCATTACTTACTATGAAGAAAATTAATTGTTCTCGTCACGATATGGCTGAAATATTGCCGATGTGACGTTAAATTTTAACTCACTCACTCAATCACTCTTTCGAAGAAGGAATATCGTTTAGCGAATAGACACAACATAAATAGGTTGAGTATAATTGGATGCAAAGCCCTTCGCTGTAGTACACATACACTTTCTCGTTAGATATCATTCATTTCCAAAAATTGGTGTGGGTGGTGGATCGGGTGTAAACTAGGTCTTCAGCATGACGAACTGATGCTTCAACCAGTTACAAACTAAGGGAACAAAGGAGTATGTTCTATTTGGGATCACACTTTCTTGGTAAAATACAGATTCTATTAGTACTTTAGTCCGCAGTCCAGACTACCAGTTGTCCGACTTACATTTTTGCGGAAGGGACGGTGGCTGAGCGGGTTAGGCATCACACTTTGAGTGCTGGCGATTAGGTGTGGGTTCGAATCCAGGATTGGACCCAATCCAACAAAAGTACAAGAATCTGTACTTTACTAAGAAAGTGTGATCCCAAATATAACATATACTACATTTGACCAGATGCTTGATTGGCATTTTAGAAGATGATATTTGATGAACATAGAGATGTTTTCTGGGTTACATCTTCTTTTTATTCTCGAGTACAACGTTTCAGGGCTTGTTTTGGCCCCATCATCAGGTAAAACTGAACAGTAACTGTTAACTCTGGCCGTGACGTCACAATGCTTATGACGTCACAATGCTATGACGACACAATACATGTGGTGGTCAATAGATACAGATGACATGGCTAATAGAATACATGTTATTATGAATATATAAGATGTCGTTTAATTACTGCAAAATTAAATGGCATTGTGTGATCATAAGATAACAAAGAAGTTGCTTGGAAACGTAAAGAAAATATCAGATAGTTCTCCAACATGTTCCATTTGTATTATGACAAACAGCAACAACAACCAAACCCACAAGCGCAAGCCCCAAACAGTATGGCATCAGTGCATCTTCATGGGCACACTGAGATTGGGGGATATATGGGACGCTTCACATATTTTATGTTGTTTCAAGTGAGTGGGTTTGGTTTTACGCCGCTTTAGCAATATTCCAGCAATATCACGGCGGGGGACACAAGAAATGAGCCTCACACATTGTACCCATGTGGGGAATGGAACCCGGGTCGCCGGTGTGACGAGAGGACGCTTTAACCACTAAGCTACCCCACCGCCCCATGTTGCTTCGAAGTCAACGGAAGCTGGTGTCTTTTTAAGATCTCATTGAACAATTCTTTTATCTTGGGAGCTTTTGAATTATTTCTCCGAGCAATACCATTATCTACGCCTCAGGTTACTGTGAAACACATAACACAATATTGAAGACTATAACTTTCTGTTTCAACTGGACTCGTTGGGATACCTGTTAGAAATGTGTCCCCCAACAACCCCAGCTTGTCTGAAAATGGGGGCGGTAGTGTTACCTAGTGATTACAACATTCGCTCGTCACACCGAATTCCTTGGTTTGGAATTTTTGGAATTCCTCACATGGGCACAATGTGTACAGCCAATCTCTACTGTCCCCCACCTTGTTATTACTGGAAAATCGGCGTAAAACAACATTCACTCGCTTGTCGCTAAAAGTAGACTGAGCTGATCAGATGACTTCGTGGATTGCGTGTCACTGTAACCCGACGATGCGGACTGTTGGTTTGTGTGGCCCAGACTCGGATCATTTACTGACTGCTATCTTGAAGCTAGTCTGAATACTGGAATATTACTGCGAGTGGCCCTAAACATTAAACTCAGATGCTGTAGGTGTATAAGTATATGGTCATTCACTTACCGACATGAAACAGAAGGCAACTTACAAAGAAAACAAACAAAATCAGTAATTAAAAAAATTCTAAGGACAAAATATGTTCTAGGTAATGTAATAAACGCACACGCACACACACACAAACACACACACACGATTATTTCGCCCGCAATTCATTTAAGAAATAACTTCAAACACACATTAAGGGAATCTGTAGTTTCGTCAAAAGGAAATCAATGAAACAAACAGAAACAAATAATGATAGAAGTAATAATACTCCCACTTTAAATTACATCCTATATATACACATGTGTGCAGTATGCAATCAAAATGCTCACATAAATCTGATGGTGATTTAGCTCCATGTGAAGCAACAAATGACGCTCAATATCAAGTGTACAGGCGAGTACCAACATCGTTTGGTTTTAACTGTTTGCACACAATTTTAGTCATCTCGGAGAAGGCAAGTCCAGAGAGGTACAAGACTTTGCTGTATACCACTTTGGTGAGACCCAGTAGTACAGGGAGACCCAGTAGTGCAGGGAGACCCACTAGTGCAGGGAGACCCAGTAGTGCAGGGAGACCCAGTAGTGCAGGGAGACCCAGTAGTGCAGGGAGACCCAGTAGTACAGGGAGACCCGGTAGTACAGAGAGGCCCAGTAGTGCAGGGAGACCCGGTAGTACAGGGAGACCCCTCTAGTACAGGGAGACCCAGTAGTACAGGGAGACCCAGTAGTACAGGGATGGCGCCATCAAACCAAGGATCATAATCAAGACTACGAGATTCGAACCACTGGTCAAAGGATCCTACACACCTTGGTGAAACAAGTTTGATTTTCATGTTAATCTGGGATTCGAACCAATGATCAAAGGATCCTACACACCTTGGTGAAACAAGTTTGATTTTCTCGTTAATCTGGGATTCGAACCAATGATCAAAGGATCCTTGCACACCTTGGTGAAACAAGTTTGATTTTAGTAGTTCTATACTGACAACGTACGTGTAGCGACAGTCGATATCACGATAAACCTGTAAACACAAGATGCCTCGTATTCGATAACGTAGGACACTCAAATTCATATAAACTGAGCATGATCAACCCTGTCAGGTAAAAACCGTACTTCCTCTAATACAGGTGTTATCAAAACCACGAACAGCGGCCGAGGCTCTCCTGTATGGATATACCATGTTAGTGGCTGTATCATGTACTTATTTTTGCATATTTAATGCATTTATGGCGTTTATGTATGCAGTTATGTGTACAGATTGCAAGGACGCACGCGTGTCTGTGTAAGGTAGGCCTCCTATTTTTGACGCAACGCAAATGAACTCGCATGAGGAATTCCCCTAATGACGTCATTCCTATAAGGTATTTCCCCAACACGTTGACAATCAGGTAAGGTTATTTTCTCATCTTTCGATAAAAATATGCGATTCCAATTGCAGACAGGCTGAGATATTATTTTAATGTGTTTCTGCGCCTGTCTGTGCATAACATATACAATAATATGACAAACCTTTGATAAAATTTCATTCCCAGAACAAGCTACTTCAAGATGCTTCTAAAAGTCTCATGAAAAATAAAATTGCCCCAGATATTTCATGAGGCTCAATTTGGTTCACGTCAACAGAACCCTCAGAACTATGTTCCCCAGGGAAGTTAGTACTGCTCAAATTCTATATATGTGGAATTAGTAATGCCTGAGTGTATGAGAGAACAATGTTGGTATGAAAGTAAATATTTTCTACATACCTTTAGTTCAATATTTCGAAAACACATAACAGATTGATGTTATTTAATTCCCTAATAATTCCCTTATAAGACGATTATAGGCTCTTTCAAGTAATCTTTGTTGGTTTAAGGGATGTACCCACCATCTCCGTGTTCTGTTCTCCTCCTCATGCACAGAAACTGCCAGAGAAGCTCGGATTTTTCCTCCATCTTATATTCATCCGTCTTATATCGCAGATGACCGCACCTAGTGTATTGGAAAAAACGCACTCGGTAACGCATGCGTAAAAAAACGCGGACGTAGTGTAAATCCAGCCTAAGAGTAATTTGACCATGTTAACATTATGTTGTATTTTTACAGTGTAATGGTGTCTCGTTGAGGTCATTGAAGCATTAGAAGTTTGGGTCAAGTAATACAATATCTGCACAAATGCCTGCTCATAAATTTATGTCCAAGCAAAGTACACACATGGTAGCATCTATAGGGTAAATCCGGTAAAAACGTAGGCATTTCTTCACCCATAAAGACGAAGTTAAAGTGGGGAGTTATTTACCCGCCTGGCTCATAGATCTGTAATGGTAGATAAAAGCAATGACTCAAATACTATCTGTGCGATTTACTGAGCCCGTACCCGGAAGTACCGTAAAACATAGCTCCGTGCGTGCAGTTCGTCGGATTAGGGTAGAATAGTCTCAGTACCCTCGATACCATGGAGTCGGACTACAAGATCGTCAGGGAGCTGGGGACGGGGGCGTTTGGAACAGTGTACCTCATCAAACACAAGACAGAACCGGAATGGGTATGTACTACTGTTACCAAAGTCTTGATTCTGATCCTTGGTTTGATGGCGCCATCCCTGTACTAGTGGGTCTCACCAAAGTGGTATACAGCAAAGTCTTGTACCTCTCTGGACTTGCCTTCTCCGAGATGACTAAAATTGTGTGCAAACAGTTAAAACCAAACGATGTTGGTACTCGCCTGTACACTTGATATTGAGCGTGATTTGTGACTTCACATGGAGGTAAATCACCAACAGATTTATGTGAACATTTTGATTGCATACTGCACACATGTGTATATATAGGATGTAATTTAAAGAGGGAATATTATTACAACTATCATTATTTGTTTGTTTGTTTCATGGACTTCCTTTTGACGAAACTACAGATTCTCTTAATGTGTTTGAAGTTATTTCTTAAATGAATTGCGGGCGAAATAATCGTGTGTGTGTGTGTGTGCGTGTGCGTTTATTACATTACCTAGAACATATTTTGTCCTTAGAATTTTGTATTTATGGTGCTTAATCGGGTGTCATTCGATAACTAATCAACGGATAGATGAAAGAAAATTATGTACACGTAGCTGAAGATGATTTCAAAGATGTGTGCAAAATATCAAAATAAAATGACTTCTACTCAATTTATGAAAATTATTCTTGCAACAGTTAATTAACATGTAAGTCTATCGAGATATCACTAATGATGACTCACTTATGGCCAACTACTGTGTGAAGTGAAGGTCGATACAAGCCACAGGCAGGTGTCAGACCCTCCATTACTCAAGTATATATCACAATACGTTGTTGAAGATCGGCATTGCGCCAACAAACTTGATCACGGAACATTGGGTAAGATACCCAGTCCGCTTGTCTTCCATTAGTTAAGTATAATTCACAAGGCGTTGTGTTGAAGATCGACACCGCGTCAACAAACTTGATCAGGAAACTTTGGTAACAGTAGTACATACCGTTGATTAGTTATCGAATGACACCCGATTAAGCACCATAAGTACAACTTAATTTTAATCTATCCCATAGACAGCCACGTCAAACCTGATTGGTATGTCTAATATTTGTTGTTTTAATAGTTGCAGTTTTCTTATAACCATAGGAAAATTGAATAGGAATTATGTGTATTTGCAGCTGGTAGATAAGTATTGAAAGTAATTCGACCCAAACTAAATTTATGAAAATTATTCTTGCAAGAGTTAATTAACATGCAGGTCAGTGGGAATTTCACAAATGATGACTCACTTATGGCCATATACTGTACACTAACTGTGAATGTGTTTATTTGCCATTGGAATAGAAAACCCTGTTTCTCATAAAATCTATAGCTCCCATATGTTATATCCCGATTTGTTTTTTTTTGTGTAGTAAAGTGTTAAAATAGCTCGATTTCTTTGGCATGTCAAAAACTGATTGAGAAATGTAGCGTGTTATAAATTCGTTTTCCCTCAGAACGCATAATTGAAAAGAAATTCATTGTATTACCAATTATTTCTCATATGGACAATAACTATCTCACAGAAAGTATGACGTAAATGCTGGCAATGCTTTAAAATCCTGATTGGTTATACCTGTTGTCACGTGCCTTCGGAGCCCTGAAGAACTAGCCTGGAACTGGGTGCCGTTGCACAAAGCGATCTTAGCGCTAAGGTGACCGTAACTCCCATACCTTAACAAAGAAATAAGGTAACCTTAGCGCTAAGGTTGTTTTGTACAACGGCTCCCAGGTCTTTAGCAACCCATGCATGTCGTGATGATCCTGATGTCAGTCACTGGATTGTCTGGTTCAGACTCGATTAATTTCATATAATTGTTTGACGTTTTACGCGTTCTATAACTGTAATATTACTGAGTTCGGCGTTAATCAACAGACGAACACATGTGCCTTGATATTTGTGTGAGCACAACGTGTACTGGCCATGTCCGCCCCTCTCGTCGTGACAGACAGTTCGACCATGCAGGTGCGGATATGAAGTTTCCATGACTTCGAGGCGAGGTGAGGTGAAATTGGGTTTTACGTCGTGCTTGAGAATATTTCGCTAATATGACGACGTGCATGCGTGTGTATGTGTATGTGGGGCTGCTTGTACTAGCCAAGACTTGCTGGTTTTATAGTGCTAGCCCACTGAGATACCATGCCGCAGTGAAGCATGAATACCCCATTCAGACACATTATACTGACTCCGAGCCGACCAGTCCTTGTTGTACCCATTAGTGCCGAGCGCCAGGCAGGGACCAACAAGTACCATATTTTAACGTCTTTTGGTATGATGCGGTCGGGGATCGAACCCGCGACCTTCCGCTCTCCGGGCGGACGCTCTAACCACTACACCACGGAGGCGGTCCCCATGACTTCGAGTCGAAGTAACAACATCCTAGATCTGTGTCCATGGTGATAGCGTCTGCTCTCTTGTTATGCAAAGAATATATGCCCTTGACTGATTGAACGGATTGAATTTGAATACCTGGCTTCGATCCCCCTTCCCATTTCTGCTGTCTCCTGCCGTTATATTGCTGGATTGGTGCATACAACGGCATAAAACAACATTGACTCACTGTTTGGGGTGTTGTGGTCGGCCAAACATGCACCAGTGCCAAGAGAGAACCTACAAATGAAAATCAATGCTGTGGAATGTGTACACGCTTGAAATAGAAATAGCAACATACATTCCAAACAGGACACAATTCCCATGAAGTGATCGTCGAATGCCTGCTGTACGGTGATCTGCTACTGGCCTCTTTGTCATGGTTGACTGGACGCGTGAAAGTGGGAACACACACACACACACACACACACCCCCTTCGGTTGACATATCAGTGTATCTCCCGGCAGTGCTGTAGCGATGCATCGAACTATCGATAGATTGCAATTGTTGCGGCTCCGAAAGCAATTAATCGATGGTAGAAACGAAAAACTATCGATGCATCGATAGTTTCTGTGACTATCGATACCTTAGTAATTGACTTCCGTAGATAAATGCGCAGCGCCAAATACAGGAAATTCACTTTGATTTGGAGTGATCTGCCCCTGTTACCTCTTAAACAAACATGGTGGCAAACACGGCATGTGACTAGGAGTTCGAAATTGTGAATAACAATAAGTTTATGTTTTAAGTGTTAACTTGATCTGTGCTTCAAGTTTCTTGTCAGTTATTAAAAGAGACCGAAATTACTTCAACTTGTTTTAATTTCATATAAACTATACATTCATTTGAGAAATGACTCCAAAGTGAGACAATTCAAGGAGAAAATAGTTGGTCGCAATAGTATAAGATAAGATAAGATAAGATAAGATAAAATAATACTTTATTACCCAAGGAGGGAATTTTGTGTACAGCAGAGGTATATGACATGTTAAAACAGAGAGTACAATACAAACAGACATACAAACCATGGGCGGATCCAGGAATTTTGAAAGGGGTGTGTGTGTGTGTGTGTGTGTGTGTGTGTGTGTGTGTGTGTGTGTGTGTGTGTGTGTGTGTGTGTGTGTGTGTGTGTGTGTGTGTGTGTGTGTGTGTGTGTGTGTGTGTGTGTGTGTGTGTGTGAGGGGGTTAAAACCCCCTGAACCCCCCATTGGCTCCGTCAACGCAAAAAAAAATCTTCAATGTGGTCTTAAGTCATTTTTCAAAGAGGGGGTGGTGGTTCGGACCCCACCTACCTTCTGGATCCACCAATGCAAACATAAGCAATAATTAAACACATGCTATGTTATGTTTCAACAGACTATCGCTATCACAATAGTTGTTTCCCTTCAGTACTCATGATCACCCCTATCTCCCGGTGTTCGTGTTTCATGCTGGTGCAGTGTGTGTGTCAACACAACAGGTACATAGTAGTTATTCTCAGTTATGTGGACATGTTGTCCAGACACAAGTGAATGTTTATCCCTACAATCTCTACTTACGTTCGATTCCAAAGCCCCGGACGACCCTGCATGGTGAACCGCCGCACTAGATATCAACCAAAATAAGGTCATCTTTTGTGTGTTTTTTTATCTTCAATCTCGAGAGCTTAAAAATATAATTCGAACATATTTTAAAAAATGTCACTAACTGTGCAACTTATTTTTGGAAATTAAGAAATTTTAGATCACTTGGTAATAACCATTAAATTAATTTATGATGTAATTCAATTGCATTGGTTGGGAATAAAAAATGGTTAACAGTAGTAAACACGTATAAATATATGTATACCTAAATGGGTGATGGTAGTATAAATGCGTACACATTCTGATTCTCGTCTGAGAAATTGAACATCCGATTGTTGACATAAATATTATAAATTTAGCATAAATAAACCATATCATACATCAAACTTTTATGATTTCGCAACTCTGTGTGACGTTGAATTCACATGTATTTAAAAAAAAGATACGACAGCTTCACTCAGTTGTGTGTTACAACCATACACTGTTGTACTCCTCCTTCAACAAGCAGTCGTGTTGGATTTCACTATCGGGCAAAAGTATACACCCGATTTGGAGTTAATGCTGAAACGCACGTAGCTATGCTTTATCTATGCCACGAGTGTCTTAAACAATCCTGTTTGGGTAAACACGATCCTGACTGTGTGGCACACTCTGCAATATACTGGTATACGAGGCCATGACACAATAAAATCATGGCGAATGTGGGATTCGAACCCAGAATCAAAGGTTTCGGACACGCCCAAGGGACGCAGACTATGTTGGCTGTCCAGACAAACTGAGACGAAAGGGCCGCCTTTGTCCCAAGTGCGGATGTGAAGAAGCCATGTGTAAGAAGTGAAGCAATCCCCAAGTGCAGGAAAACATGACTTTAATCACGATCTAATGGCCACTTTGTGAACATATCACCAGTGATATAACGACCAGGTATGACTCATGTACGTAAGAAAACAACACCCTCCCCCTAACCAATAGAAATAAACACACAAACCCCTGCATGCGCCCCCGGAAACAGCACGTCGATGTAAGTTGCTGAAAAGCAGCCTTTGCAATTGTCACTCAATAGCTACCTTTAGCCCCAAAGTATTGTAATTGTCACATTGTTAACCAGTGCCTCATGATCAGTCGCTCATAAAGACATTATTTTCCCTATCGTCAGTTCGCCCTGAAAACTGTGGATTTGTCAAGAGCAGACTCAAAAGAGAGGGCCAGTGCCGAGAGGGAGGCCAATCTGATGCGAGAGCTGGACCATGATCACGTGGTGCGGTACGTGGCGTCCACCTTTAACGGGTCCACCCTATTCATCTTCACGGAGTACTGCGAGGGCGGGGATCTGTCACACTTCCTGGAAGACTCCAATGGGAAACTGCCTGAAGACTTGATCGTGTGTTGGGTGTATCAGACGGCTTCAGCATTAGCGGTGAGTGGACGAGTGTGGTTTTAGCTACTGTATATCTCTGCGAAATACTCATGTAGGTAATCGAACCAGGGCCTTCGGCATGATCAACAGACGCTGAAATCCACCCCCACCTTCCTGGCATAATGCATCTGGAGTGATGTGGATATTTATATGATTATTAACTGAGTTCAGAGGTGAGGACTGAGTTAGGTTTTGTGAAAACTTACAACCACTTCTCTGCCACTGATACTTTTTATTCATGGGTTATAGAACTCCCAGAATTTACAATTACTTATCGTGTGCCGGGAAACTATGTTGCAGTACTTGCATCAGATGAAGATCCTACACAGAGATCTGAAACCCCAAAACATCTACCTCACTGCTGAGGGGGACATCAAACTGGGGGACCTCGGTATTGCAAGGTATGAATACAATGTACTTCGAACACTCTTGATGTCTGGAAACAATACATTTAGGATTGCATGGCACACCTATGATACAGTATACGCGGGGCTGGTGTTGGAGGTCGATTCAGCACAAGAACGTTGACAAAACAGTGAACATTCTCATTGTAGGGTCCTCGATAAAGGAATGGGCATGGCGTTAACAATGGCAGGAACCCCGTTCTACATGAGTCCCGAGATATTCCAGATGAAAGGATACGACCACAAGGTAGCTCTCTTCCTTAACTTTATATACAACTTGTGACGTCAAACTATTGTTTTGTAGGGCCCTGGTTTCGCGGGATAGCTTTTCAGCAGGCACTTTCAACTGAATGTACCTCTGTCCCTGGGTTTTTCAGCAGAATATACCTCTGTATAGGGTCTTTCAGCAGAATATACCTCTGTCCAGGGTCTTTCAGCAGGATATACCTCTGTCCCAGGGTCTTTCAGCAGAATATACCTCTGTCCCAGGGTCTTTCAGCAGAACATACCTCTGTCCCTGGGGTCTTTCAGCAGAATATACCTCTGTCCTTGGGGTCTTTCTGCAAAATATACCTCTGTCCCAGGGTCCTGGGATCAGTTTGTTCCAGGGACTTTTAACAGAATATTATGTTTCTCTGTCACTGAAAACAATATTTATTTGGTCGTAGGTTACAACTCCGAAAAAACACATGTAAAACAAATTAACAAAAGCAACAGTAAAAATGAAAGGTGAAAATCTAACAAAGAAATATGCATATTTGAAGGTCCTGCTAAAAATGTTCGGCTCTTCCAAACCATTTGGCAAGTCCCTTATCTTCACACTTTTATTTCAGACCGACATCTGGAGTTTCGGGTGTGTGGTGTACGAGATCGCGGCAGGAGAACATGCTTTCAGCGCCCCAGATATGTCATGCCTCGTTTTTGCAATCGTCTCTGGCAAAGTAGGTAAACTGTATTAACAGTAAACCAAAATGATAAACATTTTAAACCGTTTCCAGAACACCAGGAAGAATAAATGTCATCGTTCCTCTGTCATAGGTTCCTTTGATACATACATCTTACAGTGATGGGCTGCGTCAACTGGTGAAGTCGATGATGGACAAGGACCCGGATGAACGACCAAGTGCTGAACAGCTGCTAGACCGTAGACCAGTCAAGGAATTCGGAAACAACACTCAAAGTGTATGTACACATACGATTGTCTGCAAACTGGGCAGATACAAAAGTGCCAAGTTTACGCTGGCGACCGAAGTGTCTAGGGAGCGCCACTTACCATGGCTGTGCAGTGTTGCAAGAAGTCTATGATCAAGGATTCGAAACCCTGAAAATTCTTCTTGCTTTGTCAGCATCATATTGCCAATTTGGAAAGCATATAAGACCTTGACAAGCGAACGCTTTAACCTCTATGCTACCCTACTGCTCACTCTCCTATTTTCAGCCCATGATAATTATGAAGAAATTCAAGTTCAGGACCAAGTGGGGAACACATGACTCAAGTGTAGACGTTTCCAAGATGTTCACGACGGCAGAGCTGAACCCTCCTCCATGCTTCGGAGAACATGATATTCGCATTCCTAAAGACTCTCTACTGCTGCACAGGAAGAGGTTGGGCCGACCTTCGCCCTCGGATATCAGCGAAACTGTCAAAGCGAACAAATACCTTCCTGCGATGAGGGTTAAGGAGGAGGCGATTGAGCTGAACCTGAAGGAGGACCCAAGCCATGCAGCCGTCATGGAGTCAGTAATGCGGGGATTAATGGGTGTGATGGTTGATTCTCAGGATGTGAGTGTTCATACTATGTAGAGACAATAATAATGTAGAGCGGTCTAATCAAAACTAGTGGTCAGGGTCCCCATCCACAAGGCGTTCGTAACGTTCGAATGGCCTAGTTTGTACGTGTACTTCTTCAGTATCACGTTCAACAAACGATCGTAGCGCTGTCAGTGTTAAAGTATGATAGTTACGATCACCTTAGCGATACGATCGCTTTATGGAACGGGCACCTGCTCTCCATTGGTTGTCTATGTTAAGGTCGCATGCAGATTCCGATACCTTTCGGTATGGACTTACCGAAACAAATCGTCAAAAATGCAAATTCAACTTATAAAGTTGAAAAATAACGCGATGAAAAAAACCGCGCGAAATCGGAGTTCAAACGTTTCACTAATTTTCCCCCGACTTTTCTGGGGAAAACTGGTTTCAACAGCTGGGCTGCGCTCATAGCACGTGCGCAGTGAAATAGGTTCGCGCAACTTGGAAGCGGGCTGTCCGGTGAATACTCGGCGAAGGCTTTGGTGTGAGCTATTTTTCTAATGTTTTGTTGATATCTCACAGGCGCGAGCTTTTTTATATGTTATGACAGTAAATTAACTGTTTATATAATTTCATTTGTCTATTTCACCACACGTTCTTCTTACCGAGTCACTTTCTCAGTTCGATACTTAAAAGCAATGTCATTATTTAGCTTTGACAGAATTTCTAACTGTGATATAGATATGTCGTTGTCACAGACAAAACTCAATGTCTTGTTTTATTGACACCTGTGTGTCTGCCTGCCTGCCTGTCTGCTAATGACAATATTCAATACACAGCTGCTATCTCTGACCACATGCAATTTGAACTTAACACCAATCAGGCTATACACCATAAACAAAATGCATTGATTTATGGCCCGAGTTCGGTCTCTGTCACATTATGTAATTACACAGACAGACAGGTGTGATACTTGAACACATGACATGTTATGATGTCTGTTGATTGTAAAATGTTATACACAAACAATGAGCATGTATTTACAAAACCCAACATCTCTATATGTACACACACAATGAGCCGTCAGGGCATCTGCAAATGAACCAGCCGTTACACTTGAGTGCACCCTCACCCGCTCTGACTGGGTTCGGTATCCCGGCTGCTTCGTTTCTTGGGAAGTAAACCCAAGTACACAATTTTGCAATTTTTGATTTGCGATTGTACGGTTATAATTTTGTTTATATGTTTTTTCATAACCAGCAATGTATATTATATGTCATGAATAAGTGATAATTGTGTTTCAATTATGTTTGATTTTTTGGTTGCATGTGACCTTTAAAGTATGGTAGTTACGACCACCTTAGCGATACGATCGCTTTATGGAATAGACACCTGCTCTCCATTGCTTGTCTATGTTAAAGTATGGCAGTTACGACCACGTTAGCGATACGATCGCTTTATGGAACGGGCACCTGCTCTCCATTGCTTGTCTATGTTAAGGTATGGCAGTTACGACCACGTTAGCGATACGATCGCTTTATGGAATGGACACCTGCTCTCCATTTCTTGTCTATGTTAAAGTATGGCAGTTACGACCACGTTAGCGATACGATCGCTTTATGGAATAGACACCTGCTCTCCATTTCTTGTCTATGTTAAAGTATGGCAGTTACAACCACCTTAGCGATACGATCGCTTTATGGAATGGCCTCCTGCACTCCATTGCTGATCGTAAGAGAGACCTGCTGATTGATGCAATACCGCGGATTGCTGTTCAAGGTTTGCTTGATACGATTAAGTAGCTCATTCATTTATTCATTCATTATCAGAAGCTAGTGAGTGTCATGTAGGTGATTATCCCTAATATAGTTGGTGTATATTTCAGCGCACCCTCAAAGCTTCAGCCATCTTGCCGGCTTTGGACATTGATCGTACAGGAGGCCAGGGGTCATCTACTGAGAAAGGTCTGCAGCATAGCATATTTACAGCTCTACGAAATATACGTAGTAAGACGAGGCCGATGGAAAATCCCACCTACGTGCCTTTCGAGAGTAAATACACTGATAAACGTTCTGTCGTCTGGATTTTTGAAAAATACAAAATAATACTTTTGGAAAAATTGACCCATATTTACAGAAATTAGAGAGTTCATTGGACATGGATGGCCTAAACATATTTTGGTTCCTAGTTTAAGGAACAAAAATGTATATTTCAAAGCTGAGATTGAAGAGAAATACACCGAGGAAACAAATAAGGGAACACCACTTCATGGCATCTTTTTGATGCTCGGATTTTCTCCCACAGCGCTATTCAAAAGCTGGTGATGAAAACTGGACAATATTTAAGACACGCCTGAAGTTTCCTGTGTTCCTTTGCTTGTTTCTCTCAGCATATTTGTCCTTCACAAATAGTAGAGCCTGTGGAACCATCGATACCTTATGTTGTTAGTTCATATTATTCATATCTTGAACGTACGCTGTCCCAGCAAGGGCTAGAACATGGGCTCCTGCTGTCTGTCATTCATTTGTCAAGGGTTTCTTCGTCATGTCACCGAAAATCTTACTCTAATATGGATTATACTTTACTTAATAATTCATCAATTCAATACCGATGAAAATGATATTTTCATTTTTATTACATAAAAGAGATACAGAACTATATGTATATATGTGTTATACAATAAATATGAAGTTGCCATCTATAAACTTGTCTTATATATTCTCCATCTTCTAAATGCCTCTCAAGAATCTAATATAGAACTATCATTCAAATTACTCTAAAAGGAAGAAGTCATATGTGATGGAGAATTCATCTTTTTTATTTACAATTTCAGCAATAGATGCCGAATTTATCTTGAACCAGATACAGGTTTTACAGACGTGAGTCTTACCACTGTAGTTCTTTATCCAAGACCCGTGAAGATCCGGGGTAGAATAGGTCTTCAGCAACCCATGTGCTTGCCATAACAAGGCGACTATCTTGTCGTAAGAGGCGACTAACGGGATCGGGTGGTCAGTTTCGCTGACTTGGTTGACAAATGTCATCGGTTCCCAATTGCGCAGATCGATGCTCATGCTGTTGATCACTGGATTGTCTGGTCCAGACTCGATTATTTACAGACCGCCGCCATATAGCTGGAATATTGCTGAGTGCGGCGTAAAACTAAACTCACTCACTCACTCTTTATCCAAATATGTGACTATTAGGAACCCATTTCATTTGGGATTCTAGAGAAGAAGATCCATCGTTCATGAAATTACACATGCCACGTAACATCATTTGAACAATAGATGCATGTACGTGCTGTATCACATAGCAGTGGACGGAATGAAAGTAATACTTCCTGGCACCCAGCCACTCGTAATATCTTATTTCCTATTCAAGAACATTCTCGTTAATTGAAATCGTTTTGTAGATTAATTGGAAATAAGATACGATGTAATCGTGACCAGGGCTGTAGTTATGTTTTGTAGTGCGTGCGTGCGTGCGTGCGTGCGTGCATGTTAGTGTTGGTGGGTCGGGGTCTGGGTAGGCAAAGTTGTAAGAGTAGCTGGGTTGACACTAGGCTGACCCTATTGAGACAGCCTCCTTTAGCAACACCATTCATTATAGACTGCTTAAACACTGAAAATCGGGGCTGTGTGGTAGCGTTCGCTCGTCACGCCGAAGGTAGGGGTGCGATTCCCTATATGTGTAAAATCTGTGAAGGCCATTTGTGCTGTCCCTCGCCGTTATAATTGCTGGGATATTTCTAAAAGCGGCGCAAAACCATGCTCACTCACTGAAAATCAGAGAAATGAAATGATCCATTGCTGATAGTGAATATGATCTCTAATGCTTTGTATTTGAACAGAGACTGTGCTAAGGGACTGGGAGAGGACAAATTCAGGCGGGGCTTACTCCATCCTGGATTCCGTTCAAGATGCAGAGAAACTGAAGGTAGAGACAGAACAACGTAAACAGGGTACACTGTAGAATGTTTCGACGAACTGGACACACAACGAATAATAATGTTATGCAATAGTTTCAATGTAATTCCTTTGTAAAACTGCTCAATATGTTATTGATTTGAATGCAAACGCAACAAAGAACTAAATAAAACTCAAGACTACACAAGTATGTTGAGAAATAGTATTTGCTTAGTCAGAGGTCAATACGGATCCATGTTATGAAGAAATAGTTTTCGCTCACAAAACCCAATACGATCAAAACAACAAAATGTCAAAAAGGAATAGTGAGCCTCATAAGTATATATATATGTTTCGATATTAGAAGGTCGGTTGTCGTTTAACGCCACACTTAGCAATATTCCAGCTATATGGCGGCGATCTGAAAATAATGGAGTCTGGACCAGACAATCCAGTGATCAACAGCATAACCTACACAAGCTTGGATACGATTACATGTGTCAACCAAATCAGCGCGCCTGACCAGCCGATCCCGTTAGTGACCTCTTACGACAAGCATGGGTTGTTGAAGACCAATTCTTACCCGGATCTTTGGGGTTTTCGAATTTCGAATTTCGAGTAAGAATATGATAATGAGTATTGATATATGCACCATAGTATGTCGTGTTCATCCTGTAAAATATATATTCCCGGTCGAATATAACAGGCCGAAATATGAAATGATTCAGATTACAACAGATGGCTGCAATGTGGACAGATTTAGCCTCTTGATTTAAGTGTAAGTACAATCTTTAAACATGATGTGTAGGTATACTCTCCGTGAAATAGTACAACTACGTAAGGTTTGTTTCACATCATTGATACTTTCTCTCTTGCAGGGACGTCTCGTTGGCCTGATCGGAGAGGACATGTTCCGGGAATACAGCGAGAAGATAATGTGCTTGCGTATGTTTGAAAACGGATTACAAAACGTGGGATCTCAGAAACGATAATAACTCCACATAGAAGTAACTCAGAACTTGATGCAACAGAGATCCGGGGAATAACGTTATTAACATAGCAAAGTAACGCGGATCCCGGGCAGTACACTGTGGTAGATCCTTCGCGTACGGGTTTGCTGCTGATCGAGGGTGATAATCTGGGCAAATTTCATATCACGCTACCCGTTATTAACCTACGCACTATTTGTTGACATGTAAACTGAAGTTTTGAAGCAATATAATGCTACGAACAGTAACTCATAGATTCATCTTATCTAAGATTCATTCAAGTGCGTGGCATATTCACACACATAACTGCGTCTTGATCATTTGTGACATGTCCCCTCTTTGACGGCCCCAAAAGCGTGAAAAGATGGAATTTGTTGTTACCGCGCCTGACAATCAGCATCACGCAGCTTTTCTGAGACCATCTTTGATATCTCTTTAATAAGTGGTGTCCGAAAATCGAGATATGTAAAACCAAAATTTTGAAAGATCGAAGCTTAAAATATGGATGCACTGATCTCTGTGTATCTGTAGCGAAACTAAGATGCATTTTAATGAGAATAGACAAGCCTAAATTTCATCAACAAACGACTCAAATGCGATGCTAAACAATTTACGACAAAGAAACTACAACATGATAACTGATACCCTGAATCCAACCCCGAGCACGTCTGTGGGAGAGCGCAGTGTTTGGGGATAGAGATATCAGGCCGCGTAATTCATAAAGACGTGAAAGATGATATTTGTTATCAGGCACAAAGTCGGCTCGGAGTCAGCACAATGTGTCTGAGTGTGAGCGTTGAACTGCGGCATGGTATGTCCTGGGCCGATCACTTTGCAGCACAGCCGAGCCCAGCACGCACGCATACGTTTATACGGCCCTTTAACCTGAATGGGTTTAAGTATATTGAAATTCATTCGTCTGAGCGGCATGTCACCACGTGACGCCTGTATCGTACACACTGCTTCTCACCTGAATAGGGAAGCGCATCATATTACCACTGAGTGTTGACTAGAGTTGTCACTGCATTGTTTGAGGAACGATATAACCTTAGGAACGTTTAAATACCTTTATCAATGAGCAAACGACCATATCGATGAATTGTTATGATATGAATTGAGCGAAATATACACAGTAAAGTGTTGTTGGATCGTTGGCAAAACTGTTATAGTAGGATAGTGTAATGTCCTTTATGTCACACCTTTCTTTTTGTTATTCCGTCCCAGTGAGTACATACTGTAAATGATATTAAGTATATCAAAATAAAATATAATAATAAAGTATATCAAAGTAATTTTTCCTTTCTGTTTTTTTTTTGTCAGTAGGTCATGACGATAAACCCGCTAATATCCAGGTTAGAAATTATCTTCAGTAACCCATGGTTCTCGTATAAGGCGACAAACTGGATCGGGTAGGTCTGGCTCGCTGACTTGGTTGACACATGTCATCGTATCTCAGATCGTAGATCGATGCTCATATTGTTGATCACTGGATTGTCTGGCCCAGACTCGATTATTTACTGACCGCCGTCGTATAAGTGGAATATTACTGCAGAGTGCGGCGTAAGGCAACAAACAAAAAATCCGGCATCCCCACAGCGCTGTATGTTGCACAAACGAGCATAAAATCTGAAAAACTAACGCAGACATATGGTTACAGACATTAGATTTTGTGTAATCTTTATATGCTCAACAGCAAACATGACTAAGTGAGTTTGGTTTTACGCTGCTTTAAGCAATATTCCAGCAATATCACGGCGGGGGACACCAGAAATGGGCTTCACACATTGTACCCATGTGGGACCCGGGTCTTCGGCGTGACGAGCGAACGCTTTAACCACTAGGCTACCCCACCGCCCCCCAACGTGACTGAATACGCACATGTCGTTACATAGCTACAACAATATCGAACTGGAATTTAAACTCCATAGTCTGACCTATGATATCGAACGGGGGAGCTGTTTGTAGCGCAACCTTTGATACAAATAGCAGTTCAGGCATGCCTGGGGTGTCAGGTAACACGAGAAGAGAGTCCGATCTGTAACGAATCTCTGACATATTTCTGGAAACCAACGAGCAAGAATATGGAAGATGATACTATGTGCGAAAACTGTGATTCGAGCTCATGTTCATTAGACCTTGACACGCTTTATAGGAGCGCAACTAGGCACAACGATCTACAGCGTCTTAGGGTTAGCTCCCGGTCTTGATAGTAATTGATATGAATGAGGCCTTGTGAATTATGAAGTAGCTTGAAAAGTCACCTAAAGCCTCATAATCATATTTATTTCTATAATCTGTCCAACATCCGTGTAGGTATATGCTTTGTTGTTTAATGCAACATGCCAGCTACATCGCGTCGATCTGTAAATAATTGAGTCTGGACCAGACAATCCAGTGATCAACAGAATGAACTTCTACGCAGTTGGGATACTATGCCGTGTCAATTAGGTCAGCCACCCTGACCACCCGATCCCGTTAGTCGCCTCTTACAACAAACCAGACCAATTCTAACCCGTATCTTCACAGGCATGTGCCCGAACCAAGATAGTACAGAAGGGTTACTCATCGTGTCACAACGTGCAAGTCAGAACTTGGATACACAGCATTTACCTCAAATGGCATGTGAATTCAGTATTCAGCTGTGACTGTGAGTGTCACAATGTGCAAAAAATTGACTAGTTATACGACACCTCAGCTAAACATCATGCCAATTCAATATTCAGCTATAAGTGTGTCATAATGTGCAAAAAACAAAATTTGATTTTTTACAATCCAACAGATAAGTCAATTCCACTCTCACTTAAAAGTGTGTCACCATGTGACATCAATGTCAGGTCAATAATTCAACTCCAACCCGGAAGTCACAAAGCGAAAGTAGCGACAACTGAGAGGAGCTTGGGGTTTTCCGTACAGTAATATCACTGCGACGCAAAACTGTCATGGAGTCCGATTACAAGATCGTCAGGGAGCTGGGAAAGGGAGCGTTTGGGACAGTTTACCTCATCAAACACAAGAGAGAAGCGGAATGGGTAATGCATAGTTGTAGCTCACTGTCCCACGTTCACCTTTGTGATTCACGAAGCCTACTGTAGACAGGGTGTAAATACTCGTACTGGATAGGAGGTTATCTATCGTTATAAGCATTCATTCTGTTCACTGTATATGTCATATTAAGTTAGTTGCCTGTTGCCTCCTTGAAGACACTGACATCATTACAAACGGTTTTTGTGCATGTTGGAGAGCTGTACGATAGTGTATCTGTTGTAGTTAACTGAGGCATGGAAACCAGAGTGTTTGTTGTGTAGCACTGAAATCGAGACCCTCTAAAAGTGTTAGGTCAGCCCACCAGATTCAGTAAACATTGACGTGCTACCGTCTTGCTGTACGACTCCACGTTCCCAAAGTATCGAACCGGACACGACTCGGTTACTTCCCCATCAAACAGTAGTAAACAAGAGGCATATAGCTGGAATATTGTTCCTGCTCGATGAAGCTGCTGCCTCTTCGAATCCACCATAAACGTTCCAGCGAATATGCAGTCTCCCCAACACTGCAGCCTTCTACATTAATCAGAGTTGTAAAAAATTGTCATTTTCCACCACGCCCTCTGCATATTCTGGATAGATCTAGAAGTCAAAGCCAAACACGATGTTGAATGAAGGGATGAAGTCACTCATGATACTGCGTTTGAGCCAATTCTGGACACCCACATACAATGTGGGACAGTCTCGTTATATTCATTGCATAGTCTGTATTTCCTATTTCGAAATACATTTGACGTATGGTGACTACCCAACACTGCAGCCCTCTGCATTACCCAGTGCTGTGCTCCCGGCGGAGAACCCAACGTTCTCCTCATCTGCACAAAGAGATCGTGAGGTGCCAAACCAAGGGCATGTGCTAAAGCACATCATTACTGCTATCATTATTATTTCTATTCGTTTTGAATGGTGTCTGGACCGGGCAATCCAGTGGTTGACACCATAAGTATCGATGAGGGCAATTGGTTACTGTGACAGGCATCAATCCAGTGGTTGACACCATAAGTATCGATGAAGGCAATTGGTTACTGTGACAGGCATCAATCCAGTGGTTGACACCATAAGTATCGATGAAGGCAATTGGTTGCTGTGACAGGCATCAATCAAGTCACCGAGCCTTGGCCCTTATTCTCGAAACGTTCGTAGTCCTAAGAATTCTTAACTTTGATCGTAGCCAATGTGTTAAGAATGGGCTTAAGAAGTTCGTAGGGCTACGAACGTTTCGAGAATAGCAAGCCTGACCACCAGACAAGGACAGGTTGCTGAAGATCAGTTCTAACCCGGCTCTTCATACCTATGTTCTGCCTTGGTGAATGTACGCCTCATCAATATTTCGAAACCTTGCTTATCAATTTCTTAAAAACGAAACTTTCATATGTATGATGGCCATTTGAGAAATAGATTGTTACAAGCTTCCTTGTCATCTGTGTTATCACACACAACTTAATGAGTATTCTTTTATTTGAGGCTGGAGTCGTCTGTACTTATATATAGCGCGAAACGACCGGGGTGGTGACATTGCAAAATCAACCAGTTTGTCAGTGTTTGTGTAGTATGGGGGGCGATGGGGTAGCATAGTGGTTAAAACGTTTGCTCGTCACGCTAAAGACCCGGGTTCGATTCCCTACATCGGTACAATGTGTGGAGCCCATTTCTGGTGTCTCTCGCCGTTATATTGCTGGAATATTGCTAAAAGCAGCGTAAAACTAAACTCGCTCGCTCGTGTATTATCGTATTTCGTTGATGTCCGTGGATCACTTGTTACCATGCTATCCACATCGCTTTACCTGCCCAGGGCAAGGTTTACAGGTATACCAAATTTATTGACCGATCCGGGTTAGAATTGATCTTCAGTAGCCCATTCTTGTCGTACGAGGCGACAAATGGGATCGGGTGGTCAGGTTCGCTGACATGGTTGACACATGTCATTGTATCCCAGTTCCGTAGATCGATGCTCATGCTGTTGATAACTGGATTGTCTGGTCTAGACTTGATTATTTACAGATCTGTAAATCTGTAATATTGCTTATTGCTGGAATATTAACTCACTCACCAATTAATTGTTGATTTTATTGCTTTTCATACACCAGTTCGCCTTGAAAACTGTGGATTTGTCAAGAGCCGACGCCAAAGAGAGGGCCAGTGCCGAGAGGGAGGCCAATCTGATGCGAGAGCTGAACCATGATCACGTGGTACGGTACGTGGCTTCCACCTTTAACGGGTCCACCCTCTTCATCTTCACTGAGTACTGCGAGGGCGGGGATCTGTCACACTTCCTGGAAGACACCAGTGGGAAACTGCCTGAAGACTTGATCGTGTGTTGGGTGTATCAAACCGCGGAGGCTTTGAAGGTGAAATAAACTTTAAACAACGAAGTTTAGTAACTCATTTGAACCAGTTTACAGAAACTTCTAGACAATATTCCACTTATACTGTTTCTGGAAGGTTATTACACAAACACACATATATCTTACGATGCACATTCTGAAAACCCTTTTATATCGGATTTAGGTACATCTGTGCATATCGAGGCAGACCATGAGGATCTTAGTTAGTAAAAGCACATTGCCAAAAACAGTATTTACGGTTTTAGTGCAATCAGGGGATTGCATGTGTACGGGACCCACTGTCTCTCATAAACGTCTTAAATGCTGAGGACACACATCAAGCTGAAAAATATTGTAATCGGTCATATTCCGTGAGAGCAGAGTAAACTTAGGGTCATTAAACCTTTCGTGTGCACCCCCCTCATATCAACAATACAATTCTCGAATCTAAATCCCTGGACTGAATTATGTTTTTTTTATAATTTTATTACCAATGATTTTTTCCATTATTGGGTATTAAACTTCAGACATGTCCTACAGTAAGAGTGATATATGTGTCTATGTTGCAGTACCTCCACCACAGGAAGATCCTGCACAGAGACCTAAAACCCCAGAACATCTACCTGAGTGGGGAGGGGGACATCAAACTGGGGGACCTCGGTATTGCAAGGTGAATATAAACTGGTTATTGAGACAAGGTCTACTCTTCTAGGAAATCCACACTATCACACCGTTTCATGACTTGCTGTTATATAAGTTCCAAAATAGGAATCAGTAGAGCTGACTGTTCTCTTGCAGGATTCTGGACAAAGGCGCTGACATGGCGTCCACAATGGCCGGAACTCCCTGCTACATGAGTCCTGAGATATTTCAGATGAAGGGCTACAACCACAAGGTATAGTCACTGCCATAACTTTCCCATCATAGTAAACAAAATAACCTCACGGACAGGGAATGCTTGTCAAGGATATCTGATTCTAAACCACCTGTCTTTCTTAAGAGGTTAAAGAGTTCTGACGTTGTCTTCGGTCTTTCCGTACATTGTATGAACATTGTTCATAAAGAACTCCAAAACTAGGAATCGGAAATGAAAGATTGATCATGGATCGAAGTAAAATGGAAACAGAGGTGCCCGGCCACTGCCACTTCAGAACAAATACAGATAGATATCACGATATCAAATACAGATAGATATCACGATATCAAATACAGATAGATATCACGATATCAAATACAGATATCACGATATCAAATACAGATAGATATCACGATATCAAATACAGATAGATATCACGATATCAAATACAGATAGATATCACGATATCAAATACAGATAGATATCACGATATCAAATAGATTGTGACAGTGTAAAATATTTCGGACTTCTGTGTACATTCAACCATGTAATGCTGAATCTAGCACGAAATGTTATTTAATGTTATGTAATGTAATGTTATGTAATGTACGTGTTTTGAATGGGTGCTCGATGGCTACGGTTTGTCCAAAATGACCTGTTCAAGCTTTGTATGCTACCAATAAATTAATTCCGTGAAAGTCGCCCTGCTGTCCATGTTTATTCCGTTGTATATATGATAGCTTAGGTTAATACCTAAGGTTAATGCCCAATATTATTTACCTCAATAACTTAGTATACCCAGCATATATACCTTGATTACATAGGTTGACACCAACCACTATGTACCTTAATAGCTTAGAATTAGGTTAAGTATCTTGAAAGCTTAGATTGTAAACATGGTTTACCCTGATGGCTCAGGTCAATAACCACCTTGATAGCTTAGATTGTAAACATGGTTTACCCTGATGGCTCAGGTCAATAACCACCTTGATAGCTTAGACTGTAACATGGTTTACCCTGATGGCTCAGGTCAATAACCACCTTGATAGCTTAGACTGTAACATGGTTTACCCTGATGGCTCAGGTCAATAACCACCTTGATAGCTTAGGCTGTAACATGGTTTACCCTGATGGCTCAGGTCAATAACCATCTTGATAGCTTAGGCTGTAAACATGGTTTACCCTGATGGCTCTGGTCAATAACCACCTTGATAGCTTAGACTGTAACATGGTTTACCCTAATGGCTCAGGTCAATAACCACCTTGATAGCTTAGACTGTAACATGGTTTACCCTGATGGCTCTGGTCAATAACCACCTTGATAGCTTAGACTGTAACATGGTTTACCCTGATGGCTCAGGTCAATAACCACCTTGATAGCTTAGATTGTAAACATGGTTTACCCTGATGGCTCAGGTCAATAACCACCTTGATAGCTTAGACTGTAACATGGTTTACCCTGATGGCTCTGGTCAATAACCACCTTGATAGCTTAGACTGTAACATGGTTTTCCTTGATGGCTCAGGTCAATAACCACCTTGATAGCTTAGGCTGTAACATGGTTTACCCTGATGGCTCAGGTCAATAACCATCTTGATAGCTTAGGTTGTAAACATGGTTTACCCTGATGGCTCTGGTCAATAACCACCTTGATAGCTTAGACTGTAACATGGTTTACCCTAATGGCTCAGGTCAATAACCACCTTGATAGCTTAGACTGTAACATGGTTTACCCTGAACGCTCTGGTCAATAACCACCTTGATAGCTTAGACTGTAACATGGTTTACCCTGATGGCTCAGGTCAATAACCACCTTGATAGCTTAGGCTGTAACATGGTTTACCCTGATGGCTCAGGTCAATAACCATCTTGATAGCTTAGGTTGTAAACATGGTTTACCCTGATGGCTCTGGTCAATAACCACCTTGATAGCTTAGACTGTAACATGGTTTACCCTAATGGCTCAGGTCAATAACCACCTTGATAGCTTAGACTGTAACATGGTTTACCCTGATGGCTCTGGTCAATAACCACCTTGATAGCTTAGACTGTAACATGGTTTACCCTGATGGCTCTGGTCAATAACCACCTTGATAGCTTAGATTGTAAACATGGTTTACCCTGATGGCTCAGGTCAATAACCACCTTGATAGCTTAGACTGTAACATGGTTTACCCTGATGGCTCAGGTCAATAACCACCTTGATAGCTTAGACTGTAACATGGTTTACCCTGATGGCTCAGGTCAATAACCACCTTGATAGCTTAGGCTGTAACATGGTTTACCCTCATGGCTCAGGTCAATAACCATCTTGATAGCTTAGGTTGTAAACATGGTTGACCCTGATGGCTCAGGTCAATAACCACCTTGATAGCTTAGACTGTAACATGGTTTACCCTGATGGCTCAGGTCAATAACCACCTTGATATCTTTGACTGTAACATGGTTTACCCTGATGGCTCAGGTCAATAACCACCTTGATAGCTTAGACTGTAACATGGTTTACCCTGATGGCTCTGGTCAATAACCACCTTGATAGCTTAGACTGTAACATGGTTTACCCTGATGGCTCTGGTCAATAACCACCTTGATAGCTTAGACTGTAACATGGTTTACCCTGATGGCCCTGGTCAATAACCACCTTGATAGCTTAGACTGTAACATGGTTTACCCTGATGGCTCAGGTCAATAACCACCTTGATATCTTTGACTGTAACATGGTTTACCCTGATGGCTCTGGTCAATAACCACCTTGATAGCTTAGACTGTAACATGGTTTACCCTGATGGCTCTGGTCAATAACCACCTTGATAGCTTAGACTGTAACATGGTTGACCCTGATGGCTCAGGTCAATAACCACCTTGATAGCTTAGACTGTAACATGGTTTACCCCGATGGCTCTGGTCAATAACCACCTTGATAGCTTAGACTGTAACATGGTTTACCCTGATGGCTCAGGTCAATAACCACCTTGATAGCTTATGTTGTATACAGGTTTACCCTGATGGCTCAGGTCAATAACCACCTTGATAGCTTAGACTGTAACATGGTTTACCCTGATGGCTCTGGTCAATAACCACCTTGATAGCTTAGGTTTAAAGTAAACATTGATAGCTTGGGTTAATACTAAATATGGTTTAACTTGATAGCTCAGGTCAGTAACGACCATGGTGTACCTTGATAGCTTGGGTTAATACTAAATATGGTTTACCTTGATAGCTTGGGTTAATACTAAATATGGGTTACCTTGATAGCTCAGGTCAGTAACCACCATGATGTACCTTGAAAGCTTGGGTTAATACTAAATATGGTTTACCTTGATAGCTTGGGTTAATACTAAATATGGTTTACCTTGATAGCTCAGGTCAGTAACCACCATGGCGTACCTTGATAGCTTGGATTAATACTAAATATGGTTTACCTTGATAGCTCAGGTCAGTAACCACCATGGTTTACCTTGATAGCTCGGGTTGATACTAAATATGGTTTACCTTGATAGCTCAGGTCAGTAACCACTATGGTGTACCTTGATAGCTTGGGTTAATACTAAATATGGTTTACCTTGATAGCTCAGGTCAGTAACCACCATGGTGTACCTTGATAGCTTGGGTTAATACTAAATATGGTTTACCTTGATAGCTCAGGTCAGTAACCACCATGGTGTACCTTGATAGCTTGGGTTAATACTAAATATGGTTTACCTTGATAGCTTGGGTTAATACTAAATATGGTTTACCTTGATAGCTCAGGTCAGTAACCACCATGGCGTACCTTGATAGCTTGGGTTAATACTAAATATGGTTTACCTTGATAGCTCAGGTCAGTAACCACCATGATGTACCTTGATAGCTTGTGTTAATACCCACCCGTGAAGAGGCGACTAACGGGATCGCGTGGTCAGGCTCGCTAAGTGGGTTGACACATGTCATTGTATGCCAATTGTATAGATCGAAGCTCATTATGTTGATCCCTGGATTGGGTGGTCCAGACTCGATTATTTACAGTCCGCCGCCATATAGCTGAAATATTGCTCAGTGCGGCGTAAAATTCAACTCACTAACTTGGTTAATACTCACCATGGTGATAGCTTAGGTTAAAAGTAAACATGGTGTACCTCGATAACTTATGTTAATACCCACCATAATCACTCGATGTTCAGGGTGTTGATCACTCGATTGTCTGTCGATTATTTTCAGACATCAGTCATATAGCTGGAATATTGCTGATTGCGACCTTAAACAACCAATAAACCAACATACAATACAATTATGTTAATACCCACCATTGTGTTCCACCGCGCTTGTTTCAGACTGACATTTGGAGTTTCGGCTGTGTGGTGTATGAGATGGCGGCCGGAGAGCGAGCGTTCGACGCCCCCATCTTCCAATTCCTCATGTTCAAGGTGGTTGCTGGGGTGGTAAGCTCAAACTGCCTGGTAGTAAAAGTCAACAACCCAAGATCGAAAAAGTATAACAATTTGTTCTCATGGTTTAATACACTTTGCTCTAAACATGCCTGATGTAGTGATGTCTTGAAGAAATGGTGTTGTGAGATTCTCAATTTGTCACCATGCCGACTCTTCCTGTCGTAGGTCCCTCCAATCCACAGCGACTACAGTGACGCTTTGCGCCGGTTAGTAAAGTCGATGATGGCCAAAGACCCAGATCAACGCCCCAGTGCTGCTGATCTGCTAGAACGTAGCCCAGTCAAAGAATTCGGACAAAGTCCCCAAAGGGTATGATATATATCCTGCATCATAGGATTTATTATATACCCATGTAAACTTAGGACAGTAATACAGGGGTCCAATACGGATGATGTGGTCAATAGAGGATACTTAACTCGTTTCCGTGTAATACCAGTTTTATTGAACGAGTTAATGACTTGGTATCAAACGAGCGAAAGCGAGTTTAATAAAAATGGTATTTCACGGAAGCGAGTTCAGTATTCTGTTTCGCTCGTTTGATACTAAATCTTTCACGAGTTAATAAAAATGGTATTTCACGAAGCGAGTTTAGTATTCTGTTTATTACTCTCCAACATAAATTGATAAAAACTGCCTACAGTGTGATGACTCTCTCATCAATTTTCCGCGAGTCAAGCAAGATCTAATACCATTGCCATTCGTCACCACTCGCCCCTTTCCGTAACCTCCAAGAAGACTCGTCCCCCACTCGATACTTGTTATGTGCGAAAATACGACAAACCAATCAGAACGCGCGTAAATGAGCGCGGTGCTTTGATAAAAATAATCCCGAGTACTTAAATCGTTTATGGCATTATGTCATTTATTAAAAAGTAATAAAAAATATATATCGTCATATTGAAAGTACAAAGAACGTAGCTAAAAGGATTTTGCTGCCTATTTTGAAGTTTTTAATAAGAATCATGCGATTGACGGTGAGAGATTCAAATACACGCACGTGCGTTTGTTGACATCACTGCTCTCTTGGGTCCAACTGAGTGTATTTCTGACGATCTTGCGGGCTTGTTATGGAGATTGTACGTGCGCTTCGACCAATTTTAGGAAATGTAATTATGATCGCTACGAGTTTCAAAACAATAATATCGTATTTGTATGTAACTAATCAACCTTAATCTTTAACATTGGGGTTTTATTTCATAGCTCTGGGGATATTTTAGTCTGAGTGTTTTTTGGTCCTTCATATTTTTTTCAGCGAATTCATTTGAAATTCCACCAGGGGTGTGACAGCAAGGTAACACGAATGTTCAGTTTGAGAAATATTTTAAAGTCATTTTTGAGTATCTGCTTTGGGATTTAATGTAGCTGAGATTTTTTAAATTTGTTTTTGTATATTCAATAAAACAATTCCCATTTGTGATAATTAAACCCTATTAAGAAAATTAGCATAATTGGAAATATAAGGTGAACAGTTGGTAATCATTACATTAGAATATGTCTAACAAATATGTTTTTCTCCTTCTTTTAGTTGTATCAAAGAGGTTTAATTATTTAAAATAAATAAGTAAAAAGAACCCCAGAACAACAACCTAGCAATACAATGTACATGTGCTTCGGTGATATTGAGAAACTTTGGAATCAAACAGGGATAGAGTTATCGTTCTTTTTAAAAGTAGTTCTGATGTTCATGCGCCAATATGAAAGCCTTCCAGATGGGCACGAGTCGCTATTCGGCTTGTCCCAGAAAAACACGAGTTGGTCACAAATGATACCATTGCGACAGATGCATTAGCATTGTGACGTCATAACTGTAACCATTATGACGTCAAAAATCTAGCAGTATTACACTAGCTAGTGTAATATTGCCGTAAAAATATTACACTGCAATATCTTCCACGGACGAGTAATAATTCTGTTTATTACCTTCAACATAAATTAATAGAAACTGCGGTTCTCAGCTGTCAGTGTGATGACTCTCAGCCTTCCGCGAGTCAAACAAGGTCTATATACCATTGCGACAGCGGCATTAGCATTGTGACGTCATAACTGTGAACCCTTATGACGTCATACGTCTAGCGGTATTACACTAGTGTAATATTGCCGTAAAAATCTTCCACGAGCGAGTAATAAATGGAGAATACTAAACGATGTCCCGTGTACCATATTTATGAAACGAGTGAATGCTTTGGTATCTAACGAGCGAAAGCGAGTTAGGTACCAATACCATACACGAGTTTCATAAATATGGTAATATACGGGACAAAGTTTAGTATTTTATTTATTACTCACCCAACATTAGCAAAATAATATCGAGCAAAGTACTTCTTTCCTAAGAATTCAACGAGTGTGATGACTCTCAGCTTTCCGCGAGTCAAGCAAGGTCTAATACTATTGTGACAGAGGTATTAGCATTGTGACATCATAACTGTGAACCAGTTTTACGTCATACGTAAGGCACCACGCGATGTTATTACACAATGTGTAAACATTTTAAAATTATTAAACAGTGATATCTTCAACGGGTGAGTAATAAAATTCCGTATAGCACCCCAGTTTCCGTATTGAACCCCTGCCGGTTATACTGATTTGTTTGTTTAAGTAACAGGTTAATGCAAGATAAGAGGGTATATAATACTAGTAAATATAGAGCGTCATACTAGTGCATTTGGATGATTTGTATTGAATTCGAAGATGTCATGGGAGTAGAGAAACAACTGGTTCTTCGAACTCATTGAACTCGAAGATGTCATGTGAGCAGGGAAACAACATCTTCTTGTTCAATACAAAACATCCAAATGCACTAGTATGACTTTCTATATATGTATGATATAGCCATCAATATACTCATACATCCGCAGTATCCTTACATTGTTTAAACCGTGTGGATCTAGGAACATGGATCTAGAATCAGTAGGAACTGGGTAATTTGTCATCTAATCAAACCAATAATCTTTTCAGCCCAAGGAAATTATGAAAACCAGAGGATTTCGGACGAAGTGGGGTACATCCGAGTCAACAGTGGACACTGTGAAGTTGTTCAAAGAGATGGTGTTGAACCCAGCCCCACCTTTCAAAGATGGCGATATTCGTATTCCCGTAGATTCTCTCCAAGTGCACAGAGAAAGACTGGGTCTCAAGGGGGCTGCCTCGGCAGTACCGACCAGCGGAAGCGGAGGAGCTGGTATATATGGGTCAATTATGGCTCCGAAACAGAAGGCCAAGGAGAAAGTTGCCGATAAGAAGATAGAAGTGACCCTGAAACCCGAAAGGTCGAGGACCGAGATGTCGGAAGGAAGAGCCGCCATCATGGAGGCAGTGATGCGAGGCTTGATGGGGAAGATGGTGGAGACCCAGGACGTGAGTATCAACGCAAGCACCTGTCGATGTAGCTGGACAATTACCACCATGGCCCACATATCATATATAATATATTCACTAAATTAAGTAAAACGATGTTATGAGTAAAGAAATGAGGGTGAGCGGGATCGGTGTGTTATGCATAGGACAATTCTAATCCATTTTGTATCACTAGAAAGTGAAATATAACATCTTATCATACAATGGATAGTGTTCTCAGCAGGATAAAGCCAACGGATATTTTCGGTATCCGTTGGGGTCATATACGGATATCGATGCGAATTAGAGAGGTCATATGCAAATTTCAGGGACTACTTTCACAGTGTAAACAAACATGGCGTCAAACGTCGGCGGTCGTGTCCGGATTGACGGTCGTTGTTACGGTACTGTCAATGCTTTGATCCCAGAAAATTCATGCCTGGTTATGATAGATGGAATAGATTATAAAGCGAAGATAGAAATTCATAGGCTTACGAAGATACCAACATCAGTTCCCCGGCCGAGTCGGACTGTCAGTGTTAGCAAGAGAACGGCATAGGTGCACAATGTCACGCGAACATTAAAGCGTATTTTGTTGTTCGAAAGGTTAATTGAAGGTTTCTGAAGTTCCACACGAGTTTGTTGTTATTTTTCAAACGTAAGCTAAGGTTTGTTGACAACAATACGTGCTTTAGCGTAAAGCTTACTGGGAACTAGATGACCTACCGCAGTCAACTGCGTGATCAGGAGAAAATTTACGTAATTGTGACGTAACGTATTTCTCCGCACATATTTGTGACGTCATATACATTCCACAAAGTTTAGTTTCATGATTTGTAGCATTTCAAATCACATTTTTTTAAATTATAAAGCGAAAATGACATTGTATGATAAATAGGTTATCACACTCGTGTGTTTGGGGATGGTTAATATCCTGCATTAGGAATAAACACTCTGTATTTAGCTCGCCAAGGCTCGGTAAATACAATGATTATTCCAATGCAGGATATTAACCATCCCAAAACACACTCGCGTGATAACCTATATTTATTACTCGCCCGTGGAAGATACTGCAGTGTAATATTTTTACGGCAATATTACACTAGTGTAATACCGCTAGACATATGACGTCATAATGGTTACAGTTTTGACGTCACAATGCAAATGCCTCTGTCGCAATGGTATTAGGCTTTGCTTGACTCGTGGAAAATTGACATGAAACTCATCACCATGTAGGCAGTTTCTATCAATTTATGTTGGAGACGAATAAACAGAATACTAAACTCGCTTCCGTGAAATACCATTTTATTAAACTCGTGAAACATTTAGCATCAAACTCGCTTTCGCTCGTTTGATACCAAATCATTAACTCGTTTAATAAAAATGGTATTACACTGAATGTCGTTTAGCATCCTCTATTTATCGAGATAGTACCGTGTGATTTGAGCCACTCCCTGGTTTGTGGAGAGCCTTGATAACGCTAATTCTTGTTACAGAGAACACTTCGAGAATCATACTCGAGCACTTCTTCCTCTTCCGACTCAGACTTCGACTCTACACTAGGAGCAAGTCACGGAACAACCACCAAGAAAGGTCTTACTTTATATGAAACTATAACATGAGATTTAGCTGTATTTGCGATATATGACAGGTGTTCTGTGGCAACGATCTTGTTTAGGTTTTAGTTTCAAATTCTTTCGTTTTACATAAGGTTATACTTTTTCTTAATTCCGTTTTGAAAATGTTTTTGTGAACTTTCCATCTCCACGGGCTTGAATGTTTTACGTTACCACGCGTAACTTTTACATTTGACAGCATGTTGCATCAACCACAGTTTGGGTGTTCCGTAATTACCTGATCCAAGTGAATCAACAGTTATTGGAGCGAGTCATGACCGGGACACACCCATCCGTCCCGCCACGTCACGTGACCGGGATAATTATATATCGAAACAATGTAATCTTGCCGGGATTCTTTTTCTGTCACGATTCTCAACAGGGATTGAACTTAAAATATTTGGTAAAACTTTGTCATTTATTGCCTGTTAATTAAAGGTATTTAATATAATTCCCCTGCTTCCATTCACGCTTTCAGCGATAGAGGCTCAATTCCTCATGAGACAGATCCAGGTGTTGCAGAAGTGAGTATTATTACCCAGTATATGTAATACGTGTGTACGTTGTAAGCGTGTAAGCTGATATTTGAGTACGGGGCCTGGATGCACGAGTCTTTGTTAAGGTAGTTACACACACAGTGGTGCTAAGATCGTCTTGTGGAACAGGGCCCAGAACATTCGATAAAGTTACAAATCAAATAATTATATAGGCACCATCCTTCCAGTGACAAAATGGACCACATACGTGAGATGGTTTGCTCAAACAATGGGGGCCAGTGGGTAGCCTAGTGGTTAAAGCGTTCGCTCGTCACGCCGAAGATCCGGGTTCGATTTCCCTATATGGGTTCAGTGTGTGAAGCCAGTTTCTGGTGCCGTGATACTGCTGCAATATTGCTACAAGCGCGAAAGCTAAACTCACTCACTCCTTAAACAATGTCATCTGCGACATACGTTTGTTAGCTGATAGAGCTTAGCCGCTGATAGTGTTTCTGTGACTGTTGTTTCCAGATGATACTTTGTACATTTGTGACTAGCTAAGACAAGCGCACCTGTTCCAAATAATATTTACAGAAAAACATAGAGAAAGTTCAAATCGAAATTTTGTAAACGGTTCACTTCATCCAGTTATCAGTTGGTCGTTATACAGGGCGTAGGAACGGGGGCTAAGGCCCCCAACATTTTCCAAGACGAAACCTTATCTACCTTACCAAAAGTACAATTTCATTTTGACTTTCAATACTTTTCAGAAAATTAGCCTCTGAAAACCGTTCCTACGCCCCTGGTATATCAGAAAATAACTACGTCCCGTACTTATTGTAGTAAACGACTATAGAAATGGGATTACAAATTGCTTTCAGAGTTGGCTTATATATTAACACATGCCCAATATGACGCTCGGATTACAAACCATGCCTGAAGTGGAAGAAAAGGATCCTTTTATATAGTGCTAAGTCCCCTTCAGTGACTTTGTATAAAGTGCCAAGCCCTATTCAGTGGCAGTATATACCGTGATGTCCGTTGTTATGCCTAACAAGTCACTGTTTTGTCGGCTGTGATAGCTACATGTGAAACACATGTGATTCATGTGGTCTCACCCTAGGCAAGTGAGTCTGTTCAAACATGCCTCTGTTCGCCCAGCAGAAAATGGTAACCCGGTGGTATAAGTCATATGACTATAACCTTCTAGCGCCTCACAGGCAGCTTCGGTTATCCGGGGTAATAATGTGCTGTGCACGCGCTTGGAGCAGACACTTAGTGCCTGGAGTATTTAGCGCTATAAAAATACACTCATTATTATTATTTTACAGGCATGTGTTAGTGTTTTTTATGTGATTCGTCTTGTTCTTCAGACACTGTGCCGAAGGACTGGGGACAGATACCTTACAGGACGCTTACTCAATCCTGGAGTCGGTGACGGACGCCGGCCAGCTAAAGGTCAGTGTACTTATGGTACTTTGTGCTGCCATGTAGTCTTTGCGTTAAACGTTTTCAATATACTCCATATACTGAATTTGGTTTTACGCCGCTCATAGCAATATTTGAGCAATATCACGGCGGGGACACCAGGAATGGGCATAACGCATTGTATCCAAGTGGGGAATCGAACACGGGTCTTCGGCGTGACGAGCAAACGCTTTACCGCCAGGCTACCCCAACGCTCTGATTAGTCTTGAAGGTTACGTACTAATCTGACATAACATTTCCTTCCGCTCAAATAAACGCATGAGCCTCTTTTAAATATTGTGGGAGAAAATAAGTCTTCCTTGTGCTTGCAGGCCCGCCTCGTGACGCTGATAGGGGAAGATATGTTCCGACAATACGGCGAGAAGATTATGTACTTGCGTCTTTTCCAAGTCGGTTTAGACAAAGTCCGGTCTCAGATGGAATAGTAGCTCAACACTAAATTATAAACTTTCAAGCTGGCGACAGTTGAAATTAAAATATGAGGAACGTAAGAACTCGGGGCATCCTTACACAAAGCAGATCGTAAGCCACTAAGGTAACCTTAGTGCGATGTTAAAGAATGGGAGTTAGGGTTAAATTTAGTAAAGGTTGCTTCGTAAAAGGAGCCCCATCTGTATAAGTGATCACTCGTGACGGAAAGCTGCGAGCGGTGTCCGTGACTACTCGGGCCATCCCGAGATATGTGGCACTGACACTTGGAACATTTGGAATACTCTTATTATATCGGTTGTCAGATTTCACGCTACAAACAGAATTCGTCCCCAACTATTGTATAAATATTGACATTTTTATGCCAGTATAAACATTACGAAGTAGTCATATGTTGACCCTTCCAAATTAGGTTCAGTTTTGCAGGTTAATTGGGGTTAAACGTCGCTTTCAAGACTGTTGCATCGCGTGTATGGCTGCTTGTACCAGTGGGAATGTCGATTTATTGTGTCAGCCCAGGAGATACAACATGCCGTAGTTTGACAAAGATAGCATTGTCATAGCGCTACGAAAGCTTTGCGAATCGGGACCCTGGACATGACGTATAGAACACGTAAATAATTTGAACAAGTGTGCATTACCTGTGAAAAGTTGGACTTTGTTTCCGAAAAATGGAATAAAGAACAGCACTATATATCATCATATTATTGTTGAACACATGTATATATTGAATACGTGCTCTAGTGATATCGTGAGCTCAATTGTTCAAATGCCTGTTATTTTCTGTCGATGTGATAAAAGGATGTCTGTATAATAAGTATTGTACAATACTATTATCATTATATCATTGGTTTCCAGTATATACTGAATGCGTGTTCCTGTCATAGCTTATGCTTTAAGTGTATGAAGCTCTCTTTTAATGTAATAAAATAGTTTCTGTATAAGTATTGTATATTTGTTCGAGTTGAGTTTATAGTAGACTGTCATTGGCTCATGGGGCCTCATGTAAAATATAACAATTTTTATCTCATGACGCATAATTCCTGCATTGTTGTGAGAGTGAACTGCATGGATTCAACGACGCTCTGAACAAAATTAGGCGTGAGTATGGTTTTACGCCTCTTCTAGAAATATTCCAGCAACATCATGGCGGGGGAAACCTGGAATGGGCTTCACACATTGTACCCACTGGGTGACGAGTGAATGTTATCCTTCCGCCCGACAAAAATTAGGTACCACATGCATATATGGCGGCTTTTCAGCCTGATGTTGGACAAATGTCTAAAGCAAAGCAGCTCAGGCTGACGAAGTTCGCATTTACGGTCCGTTTCTTTGTCCCTGCTCGTACTACTATTGAGTTTTGACAGGTAAATCGCTCTGGACTACACCTTGTCTTATGCAAAGAGCGACTAGGGTATCTTCAACTGTTTGATATATGGCTTGCGGACAAGCTCAGCTGACACTACAACTGCCTTTCTACGGTAACTGGGGTATCATTGGGTGTGGACAGCACCCACAACTCATTCTTACACTTCACCATGAATGCAGAGGGTTATACTTTCCCCACTACTCGGAACAATTGGCCAGCAAAATACACCCCCTATATCTACTGACCACATTCTTCACAAGGAAAGTCTATAGCATTAGCAGGGCATTCTCAGAATGGAGCTCACGTGACCGCGGGCAGTTGTAGTGTTTAACCCATGTCGAGGCACCTTGGTCGTCTAAGTATAATATGTCTACATTAAATCGAAGTGAATATCGAATATACATGGTCCCGATTGTAGATCATAGTGCCGAAAAGAAACTAGTTTCATTTATAACAATTTCAACTCTCTGTATAAACTAAATTTCAATAGACTGAGTTCAAATACACGTGTCACATTCATAATCCCAGTATAAACCACTAAGTATAATTGTAGATGTTTTGAATTTATCGAATCCAGACATCAGTTGCATGGAATCTGTTATACTGAATCATACAAAAATGTTCTACAATTCCGTTTCTACCAGACACTAACACATAACTTCAGATTCTGTTCGGTAATATACTGGCTAAGTGGCCTTTACTTCAATACTTCAATAATATTTCGTAAAGTTATGTTGAGTGTAGTAGTACAAGTAGACTGAAGCAATAAACATGAGTATTTCCTGATATCAAATACAGAATTCAGATTGCTAAGGACTTGATAACAAGTAATCTTTCAGAATGAAGTGTGTTAGAAAGTGTATCTATATATAATTTATGTTTATTGGTTTAACCATTGATTACCAGGGCACATATGCAGTGTTGTGCACAACCTATTGTTGGATGGTGTATTTTATTTATATTCCTGTTTACATGGTTATATATTTCATTAAAATGTTTTTTAAGTTGACAAATATTTTGCATACCAGTCTTGAAGTTAAACAATAAGCACGGTGGAAAACTGATAGCATGTATGTATTCATGCTTAGGTGTATGAAATGCTTTATAAAAATAAAGGACAATGAAATTGTTATTGTTAATAAACATCAAACAGTTAGTACTTCAATTTTGACACTTCAAACGAATGAGCGTAACATTCACCACACAATATATTACTTGTGGTCGTTTGTATAATGGGTTTGACTTCGCTGAATACACTTATTTACACTGACATGTGGAAAAAATGAGAACACCAAACTGCTCAAGGCTAACTCAGCTGAGCATCGAAACGCGGAAGCAGTTATAAAGCTAGTCTAATTGACGGGTAGTTAATATATCATTATGCATTTGTTACATCCATATATAAAGAACATGTGGATCATAAACCTTATGCTGTCCCAACGTGCTTCTTTAATGCATCACCATTTAAGAATCTATGACGCACTGCATGGTCTCTGACGCATTTACAAACTACAAGAAAATTGTATTCTGGAAATTGGACTTATAGTATACAATCTGTATATATTTTGTTCAATTGTGCAAATCGTTTGAATCGGCGGTTATGATTTTACACATTTTTTGGTTTGCATTATCCTTGCCGCGTGAGCACTGGGTATAGGTAGGATAGGCTGGGAAACAAACCCGGTGTTCTCTCGAGCAGTAAAGTTCGGCGAACCCTACAGCTGACTACTTATACTTACTTATTTGTGGTAAAAACTACCATACTTTTCTTCTAACAATACGCGTCAGAACCGAAATCTGTGCACTGTCAGTATTCATTATTAAATTCCATCAGTGAAACGAAAGATTATCAGCAGCTAAGATACTAGACTAAGTTAATAAACGTAAGCACTTTCCTAATTAATTATACAATTTTGTACAGTTTGTATTGTCATTCGGAATCAGCACCTATTTTAAACGATGTACACAGTCACCGTGGCTCACTGTACTCAAGTCTCGAAGTGAACATAAATACATATGTACGTCACATGTTGACACGTAAAATGGCTGCAAACATGACCTCCTACACGCCAGTCTGTTAGATACACTAAACACTCGGATACCACATACGACACTATACATATACACGTAATCCCTAAGCTATATAGTTTAAGGCATATATGTATAGAATTCAATAACCACAGGCATGTCGGCTGAAAGAAAAATGGCTTCAACACTGTTCTATATACTGTTGCAAAAAGTGTTAAATGTCCCTCATGCTGTTAATCACTGGATTGTCTGGTCCAGACTCGATTATTTACAGACCGCCGCCATATAGCCGGAATACTGCTTAGTGCGGCGTTAAACAACAAACCATCCAACCAACCATCTTATGTATGTGGATATCACATGGTTCGAAATTCCACGTTGTAAACAAATTATGGCGATACATGGATGTACAAATGAGTGGCGTCGCGACTCACAACCCTATTGAATACTTTTAAAAGCGGCCTTATTTCCCAATTCACTCACTAACGAAATATACTGCATTTGCATGGGGATTTGTAAATATGATATACATTATATGACAACAAACAAATTGTTTAATTATATGTTTCCGCACTTACCATATTGTTTAAAGTTTCCTCAATGTTCACAGCAGAAGAAAATGCTATTGAAAAAAACTGTTTCACGACGCATAATTCAGACCAAAAGAATCGTTCATCTACAGAAGAAACAACAATACAGCGTATTTAAGCAAACACTTACCGGTTATTCAGAAGAATTTGACACAATCTGGTTCAATTGTTGAACAAACGCCCTTCTTCTTCCATACATGTCGTCTGGAACTAACGCGCATTAAAAACTCGTGCAGCGGAAGTGAGCCTCGATTGGTCGAATTTGTAACCATGACACCGCGCGTCAAGGCCGCAAACACCGGGGTGAAATCTGCAACTTTTAGGACCAGATTTGACATCTGTTAAGGATAAAATGGAAAGCGACTGTAACGATATGTGGCTTAGTGGCTGAGGCGCCCGACTCGCCAATTAGAAGACTTTTCCACCTCAGTACAAAATAAATCCAGATGTTTTATGATGATAAGTTTATGATATTTAAACCAATTTTAAATAGGTTTTAGTGCATGAAATTTTCGGGTTCATGTAATGAACAGCATAGGCTACAGTTGTCGGCCAGTGTTACGTCAGTGCATAATCAGCACTTATATTTCAGCTACTTCTCTTGACCGCCTTAAACTACGAGTCTGAACCAGACAAAACCAGTGGTTGATATAATGAAAAGGCTCCCCGTCGGGATAAGATGACATGCTTTTTCAAACTTACAGAAAATGACCATCCGATCTGTAAATCACCTGTGTAAACAGGAAATTCAGGGTTTGGCGAAACACGAGTCTGAAGTGATTAAGAACCCGAGCGAAAACTTCTCAAGATGACGAACACATCCTTGAAGATTTACAAATAATAATAACCCGTGAAGATCCGGGTTTGGCCACACTTTTTTATTACTTGGTTTACGGATTTTTTACAGCAGTATTCCGGTCGGTAGGTGGTAAAAAAAGAAAGAAGAATGCTATTCCAGATTTTTTTCCCCGTAAGGGGCTTTCACCACAAGTATGCTGCTTCAAAAATAGAATATGCCATCAGCCATTCAGATGTTTTCATTTCCTACCATAGTAGGATTTTATAAAAACAACAACAGCATTTTCACTCGATAACGTTAATTCGGCGATTTTATTTGTTGCAACATTTAAAATTTTGTTTTGCTAAAATTACGGTCGGCGGATCCCTAAACCAAGTAATAAAAAACGTGTGGCCTTAGAATGGGGTAAGATCCGGGTTACCCATGTTTGTCGTAAAATGCGACTAACGGGATCGGATGGTCCGGTTCACTGCCTTGGTTGACACAAGGCATCATACCCAAATAGCGTAGATCGATGCTTGTGATGTTGATCACTGGTTCGTCTGTTTCAGACGCAATTATTACCAGACAGCGTCATACTGGTGGAATATACTGCTGAGCGCGGCGTTAAACAAAAAACAAACAAACAAATTGTAGCAACAGCAGAACGATAACCGGATGTCCAAACTGGAAATAGAACGCTGAGATCAAGCTCGCTGCGGAAATACACAGTTTGAACATCCGTTTAGTAAAATCGGTGACCGTAATGCTGCTAAAACTCGATCACTCCTAAATAACAATCCTCCATGCATTCTTACTCATTTTCACCCTTTTTAACTCATCAAGTGCATAAACGTAAGTCACGGTAACATCATTTTGTGATCGATTTCCCTATGCTGCTAAAATATATTTAAAATATTTATTTCATCTTCTTGTGTTGAACCCGTGTTGTGCGATGTATCAGGCTCAGATAAGCCTTATTCTTCTCGAATGTATTAATCAAACCCTTTTATAGTTTTCAGATTGGTTCCCGATCTCAGGAAATGCCTCGCAGTTCATTATTGAAATACGGATTGAACCTGATCTCAGGGAATACCTCGGGATTCATTATTGCAATACGGAACAAATGTTGCTGATATTTTCAGTCAACATTTCTCAGTCGCGAAGGTTTAGATCAGTTAAAATCTTTTTAAGCGAAGATCGAAGATTCGAAAGTAATCTGTAATATGTTTGTTCACTGACCAGATCCAGGGCCAGGTACACCAAACGCTCCTAATGAAGTTCTTAGCAATTCTTCTCAGCTTCAAAATTACTATTTTACATTACCAACAGACCGGCCGCCATAATCATTTACCGTTATTTCAATTCTACCCATCACTCAAATCTCATTAAATTAGATCTTTTAACCCGATATAATACCTTCCTTCATACAGAACCCGTGAAGATCCGGGTGAGAATTGGTCGTCAGCTACCCATGTTTGTTGTAAGAGGCGATTAACGGGGTCGGGTGGTCTGGCTCGTAGACACAATCATGTCATCGTATCCCAACTGCGTAGATCGATGCTCATGCTGTTGATCACTGGATTGTCTGATCCAGATTCGATTATTTACAGACCGCCGCCAAAAAGCTGGGCCTAGATTTTCGAAGTTCTCTTAGCGCTAAGATAGTTAACATTAACTTACGACTATCTTAGCGCTAATAGAGCTTCGAAAATCTAGGCCCTGGAATATTGCTGAGTGCGGCGTTAAACAACAAACCAACAAACCTTCATACAGATCTGATAAAGCTTCCTCTTGAAGTGTGCAATTTCGTTTTCAACGAAAAGAAAACCAACGAAGATAGCAGATTTTCCTTCGACAGTATACCCCTTTGGTTGTAGGCACCATGGCGCTCAGAAACGACAGGGCGTACCAAATATCAACAAACATATTCATTATTTCCATTTGTTATCATTTGTTTCAGTTCGAGTTCAAAATACAAAAATCAGATATGATCCTTAAATGTTCCACGCCTCGACGTTGACTGACCTTTATTGATAGTTCGTCTTTAGATGCCTCCTCAGATCTGCACCAAGCGAAATATTATATCCTAAATTATTCACGACAGCAATGATTCATTTCATGACGCCCATATACAGAATGATTCCGCATACTTTATCTAGATACTTGAATTATACTTGTCCACTGTCCTCGGAATATTAAGACTGCACCTAGCTTGGGTATTTCGAAAATTGATCCTGAGGGAAAGCATCAAACCATATTTTGGTCGGTGATTAGATAATCGATTGCCTATATTATTTATCAACTATATTATTTATCATACAATTTAATGGTTGATGCGCTGGATAACCGAGGATGTAATTACAAATCCAGAAGCAAAATGTGGAATGGGCGGACATCTCTTGGAGTTCTATTGTCGCCGTATTGTTTTAATATTCATAGTGCGGAAAACGTAGAATAAACCTTCACTGTTTCAAGCATGTTACAGTATTAGATAATACAAGGTGTGAAGCCTATTTCTGGTGTCCCCCGTCGTGATATTGCTGCGATATTGCTAAACGCGATGTAAAACCATACTCACTCACGTACTCATTCATTCTCTTTACGATAAAGGGGCGATGGGGTAGCCTAGTGGTTAAAGCGTTCGCTCGTCACGCCGAAGACCCGGGTTCGATTCCCCACATGGGTACAATGTGTGAATCCTGGTGTCCCCCGCCGTGATATTGCTGGAATATTGCTAAAAGCGGCGTAAAACCATACTTACTCACTCACTCACTCTTACGATAAAAGCTTGATTACTAACCTATAGAACCGTACGTAAAATCATCAGCAGGTGCCCCGATCACCTGGCAACCAGGACGCGGAAGTTGAGATGGGAAGTAACTCGTGTACTACATCCGGAATACTAACATTCCTCTATTTTCATAACATGGGGAATTTCGTTGGATGTTTTTTTGCGCCTTAAAGTTCTGTTGGGAAAACACGTTCGATCACGTCGATTATGGACCCCTCAACGAACATTATTAGGAGCAACTTCCAGCTGACATGATGCGAGTGCATCTATATTAACACTGCATCTGCAAGAACCATACTCATCGTATGCATTAGAACCAAAATCAACTCTTTTAATGAACGCCGTTCGGATGTGTTTTTTAAACAAAACTATCAGCTGATGTAGTTTAAAAGGAAATCTTCAGAGTTTTCTGTGGCCAATGAGTAACAGGCCTTTCCGTAGTGATGACTTCGTACAGTGTCACTTGCAAACTCGGAGAGGGGAGTTTTGCTAAAGTGTTTCAGCTGAGTTCACTGGACCGAGATGAGGGCCAAGATGTAAGTAAACATTTGGAGCCACTATATGTTTGTCAGTATATTATTTTGGAGGATCCATAAGCAAAGGATTAGGGATAACCTGCCCAAAACACAGGGCTTGTAACGCTAAAAACTGCCATCAAGGTATATACTGTCACTGAGGGGGTCTTAGTAATAAAAGGATTCATTGACTGTATATTCCTTGATGGCAGTTTTTAACTTTTTAGCACTACAAGTCCTGTGCCCCAAAACAACTTACCCTATTATCGAGTGAATTGTTACTAATTATTTTTTTCTTGATACGTCTATGTCGTAAATACTACTATCAACTGGGTGGCAAGTGGATTCTATTATTGCACCAAAAATTTAATTGCAGTTGGCTCTTAACACATATACTAGGCCCATGGAGATTATGGGTAAGAGATATTGTTCGGAACAACCTGTTCTTGTCATGATGAATTGGTTGGTTAGGCTTGGTTGATGCACCTCAGTATCTCCCTTGATGCATTGATTGATGCTGGTGATGTTAATCATTGGATTGTCTGGTCCAGATTTACATATTTTTACAGATATAGCTGGAATATTTTCATGAGTGGCATAACAAAAGAAATGAAAAACTATATGTATGTTAATTTTCTCATTTTCCACATTTAATTTGTGGGGCCTTGAAGCACTACCTATTTCAAATTTAAGCCAAGACAATAATAAAAGATTCCCTTGGGAAGTTTTTATCCACTTCCTTCTAACCAAATTTGCTTTGGATCTTCATCAGATTTGTGATTTCCATGCTGGAATATTGCTGAGTGAGGCATAAAACTAAATTCAGCTCATCAGATTTGTTTTTTGTTGTTTAACATTGCATTCAGCAATATTCCAGTAAAATGATGGTGGTCTGTAAATAACTGAGTCTTGAACTTACCTATGTGAACAACCCATGGTTAGAGTAAGGTTAGAATTGGTCTTCACCAACCCATGCTTGTTGTAAGAGGTGACTAATGGGATCGCCAATCACTGGGTGCTAAGTCTCGGACTTAGTACATGCATGTCATCAGACGATCCTAATTCTGTAGATTAATGTTTATGATGCCAATCACTGGATTGTCTGGTTTAGACTTGATCATGTATAGATCACGGTCTGACATCTGTTACATTGGTGAGTATGACATTCAACAAAGAGAAAGACTTCTCTGTGCAATTACTTATGATTGATGATTGATTATGTATTAACGCTTACACTCAGCAATATTCCAGCTATATGGCGGCTGTCTGTAAATAATCAAGTCTGGACCATATAATCCATGCTATTGGGATACGATGACATGTGTCAACCAATTCAGCGAGCCTGACCACCCAATCCCCTCTTTCAGCAAGCATGGGTTACTGGAGACCAATTATAATCCGGATCTTCACAGGTCCACTGATTATTTCCGATGATTGATAGTGAAATCCAAACTGACTCGTAAAGCTAGTCTGTACCATCCATGGTTTTACAGTATGCCCTGAAAGTGATCGACAAAGATCGCTTCTCCAATGATGAACGAGACAAGTGTATGCAGGAAGCCAAGCTGATGAGGAAGCTGAGACACGAGAATGTCGTCGCCTGTTTTGATGCCTTTGAGTACGAGAACCACTTGATCCTGGTCACAGAGTACTGCCCTCGGGCTTACATGTACTGTTACCTTGGTGACTGCAGGGATGCCAAACCTCAACAACCAGTGTCAGAGAACAGGATTTCTATGTGGGTGTTGCAGATTGCCAAGGCTTTACAGGTGAGTTATCGTGATGTGAGTGAGTGAGTTTAGTTTAGCATTGCTTTTAGCAATATTCCACCAGTATCACGGTGGAGGACACAGAAATGGACTTCACACCTTTAACCCCTGTGGGAATCGAACCTGGATCTTCGCTTAATTGAATTCTGAAATGTGATCAATATCACAAGGGACTTAAGCACCTGACAAGAATATCAATTGCTAATAATATCAAAACCAATTGTATTAAAACAATCAGATATTACGGTGCCCTTTTTGTTTTGAGATGTATTATTGTTGCTAATGATTGTTTACTTATCTCTATATAGTAGAGGACATGCATGGTTCTTGGTGGGAATTGGCAATATAAATCTATCCAAAGGCTCCTCCAAATAATGATGTTAAAATGTTAAACATACTAGTGCTGTTGGTAATGAATAGCTGCACATTCCTATATATAAGGCATTAGTGTATGATTCTTAGTAAGAAGTGACAACAGGCACGTTGATACTTTGTGGTATGCACAGGTTTTCACTGTATGCAGGTAGAGATTTTTAAGAAGCACAATGATGTTGGTCAGCACATAGTGGTAGTGGTTATTGCTGGTGCCTTGGAGCACCTTGACTAACCCTAGCTGGGCTAAAGGTGAGACTTTCTCTCACAACAAGATAACAGTTTTTTAAATTTCCATTTGGAACTGCCTGTTTATGTTCTGTTTCAAGATATACAGCTCTGAGTGCTGTTTTCTCATGCAGACCACCATGAAGATCTGGGGTTAGAATTGGTTCTCATCAGCCCATGCTACACTCTTGTGTAGTGGTCACAAGATTTCTGAGTATCGCGCTGGGATTCGAACCACAGACTTTCTGATCTCAAGTCAGAGGCCTTCTCCACATGACCAAACAGGAAGCATTGTGATGTGGTAAGGATGTCATCTATGGGATGACTCCATGCCCTGCTACATACTCCCCCCGTCAACAGAAGGCACGTCCAGGGCCGCATAGTACTCAAGTACTTATTGAGTAATTATTTTGTTGACAGGGTAAGCATGTCACCCGGTGGATGACTCCATGCCCTGCTACATACTCCCGGGCCAACAGAAGGCACGCCCAGGGCTGCATAATACTCAAGTACTTATTGAGTAATTATTTTGTTGACAGGGTAAGCATGTCACCGGTGGGATGGCTCCATGCCCTGCTACATACTCCCCCCGTCAACAGAAGGCACGTCCAGGGCTGCATAATACTCAAGTACTTATTGAGTAATTATTTTGTTGACAGGGTAAGCATGTCACCGGTGGGATGACTCCATTGCCCTGCTTCTTTCACTGCTTTGCTTGATGCAAGTCACTATATCCGAAAGTGTCCGTCACTAAATTATCTGGTCCACACCTGATGATTTACAGAACACCTCAGTAGAGCTGGAATACTGGAATGGGGCATTAAACAAACAAAAACACTAAAATTCCGCCATCTTATGAAGAATGTTTTTGTTTTAGTATCTGCATGAGAGGAAGATTCTTCACCGAGACCTGAAGACAAAGAACATCTTTCTGATGGAAGATTTGACTGTGAAAATAGGAGACCTTGGAATAGCAAAGTGAGGAAGTAAAATGGACACAAATTTACAAAAATGAGATTAAAACATATGAGAGGGATTCCAATAACTTGAACAACGACAGGTTCCTAAGTCACCAAAAAGATTTGTTCTGTTTACATGATTGTGTAACAAATATCTTTTTGATATGTTTTTTTTTTGATGAACAAGTGGATTGATTGAACAAGAAGTCAAAGGATCGGTTTCTTCTGTTCATCTATGCACTATTTTAGCCAATGTCCCATATCCTTTTAGAAGTTGGTAGAGTATTTTGTTTTATCTGAGGCCAGATCCTTTTGAAGTTGGCAGGGTAGTTTATTTCATCAGGGTCGTTGTGGTGTAGCTTAAATTTTCTTCTTAATATAGATGGTTAATCCTGAAAATTAGAGTTTGATGTTTTCTAAAGTGAGGATCAGATAGACACACTGTTCCAGCATTCATGCTATTGATCACTGGTTTGACTGACCCAGATGTCATTATAATTAAAGTGTTTTTGACTCAAAATATATCAGAAAACAACATTCATTCATTTGTTGTTACTTATACACAAATAAATAATTGGAATATTCTTGAAAAATTGGTAAATCCTTAGATCCATATACCCACTTATTGTTTAAAGTAATATACGTTAAAACTGATAAAGAAGTGTATTAAAAGTAATGTAACCTAGTTGATCTATCTGCAGGATTTCTGCAGGTTTCTATTGATACAGTGGTATTTGTGCTTGAAAAGTCCACTGAGTCAAGTCCTTGGTATCAAGAAGACACAGTATTGAACAAATGTTGTGTATTTTTGGTGAAATCGTTAGAATTCCTCAACTGTCCATGCTGTTTTTTGATTTTTGAATCAGGATTAACAAGTGCCATTGTACTTAGTCCGCGTTGATGTCACATGTTTGCTCTTCAACAGTTTTGATAATCAAACAGGACATAAATTTTTGTCGTTTTTAGCTTCATTTGAATTGAATCTTGAAATGTGACTGGAGACTTCAGCACCTGACTTATCAACTGTGTTTAAACAATCAGATATTCTTTCAAGCTTATATACTTGCAGCATGTGGTGCCCTTTTCATTTGAAGAAGGGGGTGGTGAGGTAACCTAGTGGTTAAAGTGTTGGCTCGTTACGCTGAAGACCCGGGTTCGATTCCCCACATGGGTACAGTGTGTGAAGCCCATTTCTGGTGTCCCCCGCCGTGATGTTGCTGGAATATTGCTAAAAGCAGCATAAAGCCATACTCACTCATTCACTCATTTGACGAAGCATGCTATGTTGATAATGATTGTTTTATGTAACCCTATGTAAAGACCATCTGTCTTGGTAGGACATACCCTTGAAGATCCGTGTTAGAAGACACAATATTGAACGACAGTCTAAGTGAACTTAGGCTCAGTATGATTCATTACACTACTATACTGAGTCTAACAAACCCTAGTAGAAGGTCGCGTCAGCTAACCTTTTGAATTAACCAATCAGAACACAGCTTTCCAAATCACGAAAGTTAACATTGGCACTTACCGTTTGAACTTTTACCACAAAAACGTTCGAACTTGAACAATTCCGAATGTTATTTTCCGCACGATTGCTTCTGAGTGATACACATGGAGGACGCCATTATTCACAACTGTGAGTAAACAGTCGCTGAAAATATTTCGGTCAATATTCCAGGAAGTCATCTTGCTGAAATATAAGTTAATAGTAACCATGTCATCAGAAACCCCTAAGCATATATACTTCAGGTCAAAGGTCTGTATATTTTGTTTCAACTATTTTTATTCAGTTCAAGAGTATAATGTCAGATATCTAAATGTCAAATACATTTTCACGTGTTATACCAAAAGATATATTGAGACTGGAACTATTGAAGCATACCCACCAGTGGTCTCCATTTTTGCTCAAATTGTTTTCTTCATTGTTTTTTTGCAGTATATCTTTCTGTTTTCATTATCTCTTTGAGAGATTTCTTGAATTTCCAAAATACAGGAATGTTATTTTCATGCTCATATTACATATGTATTTCTTGGCTAGGAAAATGATATGAATTATAAGATAATCTGAGTATTAGGAACTAAAAACGATTGTGGTGTTAGTTAGGACAAAGCTTGGTATTTCGTCTTTCCAAAAAGCTTCAAAGTGAGACCAGATTTTTTTTGTATGCTGACAGCAATAATACACGTTTTATATTTTCTCTTTCTTCTGTATATAACAAACAACCATCATCATCAACAATTTTCATATATAGCAACTTATGTTTGGTGTAAATTTTCTTGTGAATAAATTTGTATTGAAATTCGATCAGTTTAACATCATTAGTACATTTTCTAAATTTAGTGAATGTAGATTTCCAGTTCATATCTTCTGGAAATTGGGTTTTCCGTTTTGTACAGACGAGAGGTAGATTGTCTTTCTTTATCAAAGTATCGTAAAAGTAACTACAAGACTTAATCTACCTACAACCTTTAGAATATTTTAACATATTTCTTTAGGGTTCTGGAATATTGATATTTTCTTCAATGAAATCTCCATTTGATATAAATTTTCTCCATAGGAGAGGAATATTTAATAACATTTTGTTGTAGTGTAGTACTGTGCCATTCTAGTCATATTTGTGTTTTAATTGCACGAGACATTATACCTTTGGAATCACTTACATATGTAATGGTACAAAGTCCTTTTGAAAACCATGACTTAATAATGAAATTTGGATGAGTAAATTGGTGGTTAAGCCATATTGGTTCCGCTAAAATATCATCTACCTTGTTTCCCCTCACATTTATACAATCTATAACAAATATCTGCACTTTATGCAGATTTTGTTTGTTGAGAAATCAGTGTCAGCGACCAGGAAAGAGAATATCCATTTTGTAAGTCCTGCCGAACCATATAATAGTACTGTAGCTGTTGTCTGATTGGTTAAATCCGTTCGTCTGTCTGGCGATATATTGGACGGTCATAGGTCGCTCAAAGGTTAGCTGACGTGACCTTCTACTAGGGTTTGTTAGACTCAGTATAGCAACGTAGCAAATAATACAGAGCCTAACTTTACTTAGACTGTATTGAACGAATGTTTATTTGCAGACAGCTGGACTTTACACTGGCCCAGGCTGATACCTTCCTGGGAACACCTCTATACATGAGTCCCGAGATATTCCAGTTCCAGCCCTACAGTTATAAGGTGAGGTCTGTCCAGGTCTGATGCGGTAGTAGAAGACAATGTCTGATCCATGAGGTATCTCAGAGCTGCGACTTGTAATCAATCAGTTGTAATCATAAACCTCTCCACAAAACTCATGTGGGCAATCACGGGAGTAGGCTCAAGAAAGGATTTGAGATGAGTTCTAGTCATCTGCGGGAAGCTTGAGCACTATGTTGTGTCATTTAAAGGCACTATATCACACCACATTTCTCTAAAAATAAATAATGCATTTCTCTCAATAATACTATCAGCCCTCAGGGAGGCTACCATATAATTTATTACAAAAATATTTTGATACAATATTAAATTAAAAAGTGGGAATAAATTAATGCAGTATTGCATTAATTGACTACCGACCCAACATTATTTCAAGAGATCCCCATAGAGTATTTCCCTTGGAGTGCTCTTTATGAATATCCTACACACAATTTGTGATTGAAACCAGTTCGGCAAACACCGTGTGCGACAGTTTTCAATGTTTACATTCCATATATGGCAAGTGTTCTGTTTGGAAGCCGTTCATCTCGAAGTTTCAATTATCGATTTCAGGCAAGTTGTATGCGATAATAAGTCTAAATTGAGTGCATATGCCCCAATGTATATAATATAGGTCAAAATATTGTCAAAACTATGTGACATTGTGCCTTTCATGTATCACAGTGAGTTGCACAGAATCATCACATGCGTATACCCTGCGATCATGAGTTGGAATCCTGTATTCTGTAACAGAAGGCTAAACAAAAGAAACACATCCTTCTTTCAAATGTTGTCTTGCATGTGTGTTTTATCTCTGTGGCCAACACTGATACGAAAACAAAGGCAGAAATATTCATAATTTATGGCTAGTGGGGTGATGATTTTAATGGGTGTGTGTGTATCACTAATTTTGTACACATGCACTAGGGAGGTTGTCATTGATTTTGTACATGACATTGGGGATGGGGGGTGGGGTGTCACATAAAGTTTGGGGGGCTCATACATATTGAACATGCTTCTCCATAAAAAGCATCATCACCCCCTAGCCATAAATTATGAATGGTCCCTTAGCTTCTCTGAACCGAACAAGTGCTTGCTAGTTTTATGAAAGTGGTATGAGTCAACCTTGGCACTTCAGGTTTTCCCCAAAATACATTGAGATACTTGGATGTAAGCAATAATAGAAAGTAAGGTTATATTGAAACCACCATAAATCCCTTTATTAAAAACAGATATTAAAGTACAACACTGATGAAGAAACAAAATCAAGATTCTGTGCAAGAAGTGCAAGAAAGTTGTTGTGTTTGTAGGCTGACATCTGGAGCATGGGCTGCTGCGTGTACGAGATGATGACGTTACGCTTAGCCTTCGAGTCACCATCACAGCAGAAGATGGTGCAGAGGATCATCAAGGGCAAGGTCAGATATCTCGTATTTCTGCCATCTTCCATCCAATGGTCTGTTTTCCATTTCCTGTTTCAATGAAACAAAATCATTTCTATTGGTGAGCTTTGCAATTGGCATAAATGATGATTTATTGTTTATTATTATTATATTATATGCCACATTTCTATTGAACTACTTCAAGATCACTCTCAGGTGCTTCAAAAGTTGTTTTTCCCTCGATCAATAGATGTCAATCCCAAACGGCATATTGTATTATCAATCTAAACTCCCTGGGGATCATACAACTCTTGCAGCCACTAGCTAGGTGCACCGAGTTGATGTGGATTTCCCATCCTTACGAGGTACTCGTTCACAGCTTGGTGGACTGGGACACAAAGTCACAGTACTTTGTCCACATTACTGCACGTTGCTGTACCCACAACTACGTGTTTGCACCTATTCATGTGGCCACCATATGGTCATCTACCAACGGATTCGTGGGTTCTTTTAAGTGCACAGGGTTGTGTACTGTACACTAGGGGTTGTGACAACACTGAAAGGATCTGCACACAAAGTTGAATCCAAGGTTTTTACACCTGGTCACAGGTGGGCTTGATCCCGACACCTCAAGCTCGCTGGATCACTTGTCTGGCATCTTAGACAGTTAGCCCACCACTCCTCATAATTTACCCATCATTTACTTTTTATATAACTTTTTTCATGATGAAACAAAGCCTCCTTTATAAGCTACCTGTCCCATAGAAACAATACTTTTGTGTAATATAAACAGTGGATGCAGTGGCAAATAGAGACTTGAAAGGCTTTCGGAGAAAGACTATGCTTGATGTCAGTGTAGTTTTTACAATTAGTGGTGGTAGAATATATCTACAGAGGTTGGTAAATGTAACAATGGTTCTGGTGTATTGGGAGAGCGGAAGGTCGCGGGTTCGATCCCCGACCACGTCATACCAAAAGACGTTAAAATATGGTACTTGTTGGTCCCTGCCTGGCGCTCGGCATTAATGGGAACAACAAGGACTGGTCGGCTCAGAGTCAGTATAATGTGTCTGAGTGGGGTATTCTTGCTTCACTGCGGCATGGTATCTCAGTGAGCTAGCACTATAAAACTAGCTTAAGTCTGGGCTAGTACAAGCAGCCGCACATACACATACACACGCATGCACGTCATATGAGTGAAATATTCTCAAGTACGACGTAAAACCCAATTTCACCTCACCTCACCTCTGGTGTATTGGACACTTGTCATCCATCTTGCGCAGGCGCCGACTGTTCCAGCTATGTACAGCAAGAACCTAGGGAGGCTGGCTAACGACATGTTGAACAAGGACCCACAGCTCAGGCCTCATGCTGTGGACATCGTCAAACAACTACAGGTGGGTCTTAATACACTGCTTCCCTTAAGACTGCCAGTTTATTGTAAATTATGATAAATAAAACCATTTCTGATGTCTTTTCAGTTTTATAAAGCATCTAAATTTTGAAATGTTTTCAAATAATTCCATAAAGTTTTGATTATTGTGTCAAACACAATATGTTTTAATGTTTTTCCTCATTTACTTTCAGAAATTATAGATAGACAGAAAAAGAGAGAAATAATACATTGTTGCCACACAGTTGATGAGACTGCACCATTTGCTATAGAGTTTAGGGTAGCTTACTCTTATGAAATCTTTTTCTATTTTGAAATCTTATTTTATGTAAGAATGTAATCAATGATCTGTCTCTCCAGTCAAACCAAGAGAGACCCAGCTCAGGGGATATGAAGATCTCGCCACGGAGCAGACGCCGTCTGTCAACATCTCGAAGTGACAGCCGAGTAGGCATGCCCGATCTTACGCCATCACTACGCTCAGACCGACACGCCATTGTCGACTCCCTCATGACGTTCTTCAGGCAGAACACGGCAACAGGCTTAGGGAACGGATTTGAGATCGGCGTTCTGTCGTCCACAAAATCTGCACTGTCAAGGACTGTTAAAACAATATGGACGCGTAATCCTAGTCAGGAGGAGACAACTCAGTTTGTGAGAAAATTCGGGACAGGATTGCAAAATGGGGATAATCCTCATAGTGATGATATGGTGGACAATATTGGATACGGAGAGACGTCTGGCGTTCATGACACTGTGAAGAAGAGCCCAAGAAAACGTGATAAGACGTCATCGCAGAGATCCATGCTCAGAGACTATTACCAAGCTGTTGAAATGTACGATGATAATTATTATGACATCCAGCCTGACCCTGATGACGTCATTCAGTGGGCGAGACAGAATCTGGCATCTTGTAACGTATCAGCTGAACCTCCTTCCAAAGATTCCATTGATGAGGTATATAGCAGCACTCATTTTCTAGTACATAAAAACTTATGAATTATTAGGTCTGCCCCAAATGATCGATAATCAGAAATATTGTTGTCGAAAAGTTATTGGACTCTTCATAACGAGGGGGTGTGATGATGATTTTTAAGGAGAACCATGTACAATGTGAGTGACCCCCCTGCGTGTCATGTACAAGATCAGTGACACTTCCCCCCCCTTCCTCTCTCCACCCTCGTATATGTAGCAAAAATTGATTAAAACACCCACATGTGTACAAAATTGATGTCCCCCACTACCTCCCCAGAACAAAATGTGCCCACCCCTCAAAAAAAAAATCAAAAAAATCATCATCACCTCTACCTATAAATTATAAAAGGTCATTAAAAGGTGATCGATATGAAAATTGTGTCATTGACAATATCCTATATAATGTATTGTGTTGAGAAAGAGCGTTATTTTATTCACACATTACACAGAATTAGGCCTTTATTCCTCGGCTGCTTGTGACTTATGTTCAGGATGTTGTTTTTGATAGTAATCCATGCATTAAAATGGCATCACCACTTATCAGTGATCTTAAATATGTTGATTTCTTTCAGACATTTTGGGCAGTTTTGCTCAAAGTTACTTTTCTGATAATAGTCAATCGATATATAGTTAATGATTATCTCTATGATCTATATCAATAACCAGACCTATAATTATTACATATTTCTTGGGTATACAACTTGCTACAGCAATGGTCAAGTGAGGAAACTATATGCTGCCATATTTTACTTGACATATTCTGCCTGTGGGGACTGAAACCTAGGTTATTTGTGTGGAGAGAGAACAATTTGTTTCCAGTGTGTTTTCGTTAACCCTGAAAAGCTGAAAGGACCCAGAACCATAACAAGTTGTGGGTCCGGATCAGAATGTGTAGGCCCTATATTTTAGCTACAATTTAATTCCCAGCAAAAACAAAAATGTGAGTTCACATCAGCGTTGTTTCAGCGTTGAGAATAGCAGATTGATCCTCAGCGTTGAAAATAGATTGAAAATAGGTTGTATATGAAAGTTTTTTGGCGTAGATATCCGGCGATGGAATCAGCGTTGAAGTTTGACCGATTATCAGCGTTGAAAAAGGTTGATCCTCAGCGTTGAAAATAGGTTGTATATGAAAGTTTTTGGCGTAGATATCCGGCGATGGAATCAGCGTTGAAGTTTGACCGATTATCAGCGTTGAGAATAGGTTGATCCTCAGCGTTGAAAATAGATTGAAAATAGGTTGTATATGAAAGTTTTTGGCGTAGATATCCGGGCGTCGAATCAATGTTGAAGTCTGACATATTATTAGCGTTGAAAATGGGTTGTTCGTGGTTGTGTCTGGGAGGTATTACGGCTTTCCTGTAAATAGACTCGCATTTCATCTTTAAACTACAATAAAGTAGCACCAAACTCCTGCATCCAGCTAAAATACCCAAAAGCTACCTGCAATAAACAGTGTTCAAACAGAAAATTGCAGTAAAATATTTACCTGATAAAATACTTGGTTAAAATTCCACATTCAATATAATGTTCATTTTAAGTTTTATGTCAGTTGGACATTATAATTCCAGTAAGAAGAAAAGATCATTCCAAATTAAGAAAAACTATTTACTGTTGTATTGTTACCTTGAAAGGTGAAAATTGTCGAGAAGACATTTTGTCTGAATTTCAGCTCTTAGACAGACCTCTGAATAAACACAATGCAATTACTTTCACCATGAAAGGGATCCAAGATGACCAGGAACTATACCTGAAGACAGCACATAAAACAAATCACTTTTCATGAAATCTTTATGAACACACACGCACACAGAAAGCGTGGTTTAATGCATAATGTAAAACATCACACATGACATAGTCTGTAGGTGATCTCTGTTGTGCTAATAACACAATATCATCTGCATATAGCATCAAAGTGACATTTCGCCACCAATTTCAATACCACAGTTCAGATTTTTCAACACAATTACAACTCCAAAACAAAATTATCAGCTCCTCTTCTTTCTGCCACTCCTGCCTGGCGGTCAGGTGGATACTTCAGAAACGTTCCTAACTCTTTCTTGAAATTTGCTTGGATGCATTCCCATCTCATTCCCTTGAGATAGGACACATTCTGAAATTTTATATTTAAATACATGAATAAGTTATATGGAAGATATATTGTCTTAAATGATTCAAGTATTTGTTTAATCAATCACTTGAAAGGTTCATTTCACTGCTGTAACTTGGCATGTGAACATATGAACAAGCATCAATACAAAATATGACGAAAAGTGTAAACAATTTATATATTTTCAACCCGAGAGGAATGGAAGTTTTCTTAAACATTTTCAAAGAAAATCCTCAATTGCAAGTTGATTATTTAATTAGACTATGAATTACGGTAGGATGAATTAGAGCGATGCTTTACTGTCATATATTATTTGCTATGGTCATGATGAAAATGCTGCACTTGGTAATTAACTTACCAGAGATGATTGAATACAACCTTGTATTCTTAAAAGAAAACTTGCCGTTTGCCCATCAACATTCATTCTTGACATCAAATTGTTTGACATTGTCCTGCAAAACAATGGAAGATTGTTGTTATTCTGTCAGATTTAGTTTTCTTTAGAGATTCTCGGAAATGATTATTTCAAATTAATAGGAGTTGAACTGATGTAGCAATTTTGCTACCAGGAGTCATAAATTGTAACAAAAGCCATTTTACATTAAATGATAAGAAAACAAAATGGGTGGTGGTTCACAGGTCAAAGAACAAGTCTATTGTGGGAGGTCTCCCAACACCATTTGTTCCCAAACACAAGGAAGTATGGATCATGGAGTTCTGAAAACAATAATGAGCTCTCATAAGTATACAATATATTCTCTATTATCTACTCTCTCTCTCTCTCTTTGTCATTTGTACACTCATAAAACTCAGATAAATAACTTTTTTATAATTCATATATGTTTACACTTAATCTCTTATAGGAGCGGCTTAGAAAATCTCTCATATAATGAATTATGTGTGCGTATTATCTGCGACGTCATAACTATGCTTCTCTGAATCATGAACAATAAAATAATGAGATTAAACTCTACATTGTCAGAAATAATCTATCATACCATGAATAATAAGACATTGAATAACATCTCTTACAACTCCAATCTACACTCAAAAAGACTTAAATGTACTCGTAAACAAACATGGCTGGCTAACGCAAATTCTTGGAAACAGTGCATCTCTGACTCTCAATTCCAAGAAATGGAAGTCCTACTCTATTTGACCAAAGGGGTGACAGGTGGCCAAAACATATTAAATGTAGGTCATACACTGAAAATAACTCTGATTTAAAACACTACAAATATACACCTTCTCTCTAATATACTCGATAGATAATCTTAACAAGGGAACATGTACATAAAATGCTGATATCTAACAACACCTGTACTTTATATAATGGACTCTTCCAAATCTCAGTATGTTTCACTGCACACATATTAGATTGCAAATAATGAAAAACCTACCCTTTGACAATAATAAAAACATCATATTCAAATTCTACAGCTGACCAAATACCTGAAGAGTGTGTTTCCCAGCAATAAACATCTCTATATATCTATAAATGTATGACTTCTGTCCTCGCTGCTATCTTGCATCCAGCTGTTTCTGGTGAGGAAAACAATATGGCCAAGCAAGGGAGTGCTCATTAAACTAAACATCTCGGGAGAAATCATTGTCAGTTTTTTCTCTTAAATGATCAACCTTAATATATAAATGAAAATAAAGACCAACTATTATCACCAAAAAAGACCAAACATTATCACAAATATTCAAAACAGGTGGTAATGAAAGAGCATTATCATCTTTCTCTTAAACTTTGTGGTGATATACTGGAAACAAGTGAAATGTTAAAAAGCGTGTTACCTTAGCCTTGCTCCTTTTATGTGATCCACAAAATTGCTGCCACCCAGTCTTGAAGATGAGATTTCTGCAAATTCCATTAAAATAATCTTATTTCATAATTAAATGTTCCTTACATTAAAATTACTTCTTTTGTATGTAAGATTTTAACCTTTAAGAGACATGAATTATCATATCCCTTCCAAACAAGTGTAAGAATGAAAGTCTGTGGGTGCAGTTTTGTTAATTGTCCCATCAAAGAATCATTAGTGAAGTTACACTTTTTGTAAATAAATAAAAGTTCAAATAAATTATATACAATTTCATCCTTAACAAAGACTTTCACAAGACATTTTAAAGTGAAAATTTTCGTTGCATTTCCTTACGCCATTCTCCACCACCCCCTCCCCCCAATAATATAATATATATGTTGATAGGGTTCAGGGCATGCTCAATGCATCATTTACTGATAGATCTATTCAAACGAACAAATGTTCATAATAATGGGATGCAATATAAAATGTTGATTAATCCTATCCGATTTTGTATAGCTGCCCTTAGGGACCGTTCATAATGTATGGCTTTGGGGTGATGTTGATTTTTATGTACAATGTGAATTACACACCCCCCTAAAAGTGTAAGTGTATGAGTATGTACAGAATAAGAGGCGGCCCACCCTGCATGTCATGTACATTATCTATGGATGCCCTCTCCCCTTCCCATAATTTCTAAACATAGTGCGTGTGTACAAAAATGCTGACCCATTAGCTCCCTGAACAAAATGGGTGACACCCCACCCCACCCTCCAACCCTTACAATCAAACACCACCACCCGCAGCCATATATTTAATTATGAGCGGTTCCTTATATTGATGTACTTCATTGATTATTTGAAAATGTATATTTGCAAAATTCAAATCAGGTGATAGATGCGAAAGGAAATCTTATTCGATTATATAATAAATTATATATGCATGCAAATATATTGAAAAATAACAAAACAAAATTTTGAGAAACATGTACTGTGACATACCGGTAACCTTGTGAGATAAAACATGAGCCCTAATTGAGGAGTTTCTTGCTACTGCTAGATTTAAGCGGCATTCCCTCGTTTTCATTATACATGAAGGACATACTTACCAAATAAACACCAGCATGCGTGAAGATGGTGAAAATAGAGCGATATTGCGTTGAACCCGCCAAAGTGAACTGACAGCGATCAGCTGCCTTCTTCTTGTAGCGATAATTAATGGCATGTCGGATATGGCCAAGCGAGGCGATCGAAGGTCAACATCTGGCTTGTGTTTGAAACAAATTGTCGGAATTATACAATTTTCACAGTTTTGTGGGAAAATATCGAATGTAATGCAATTTGGATAACTGATGACTTTATACCTAAAACTGCGATTTCACGTAATATTTCCGTCCGTGGATCGATGCACAATCAAATAATATATAAGATTATATCTGTCACTAGCTTTCGATCTTGATCTTTTATGAAAATAATGTTCGAAATGATAGTTGCTAAGTTGGATACCTATTACCAATATGAATTATGTATCAAATTTGCCAAGGAAACAATTAGTTGACATTTTGTTTGGTTCCTTACGTTGAAACAACGTTGACAACTAAGCGAATCTCGACTAACTTTCTTTGGTAGCATGATAAGCGTTGAATCAACATTGTGCGTTTATGAAAGGTTGATCAACCAAACAACCAAAATTCAAGCGTTGATTCAGCGTTGATTCAGCGTTATTGTGCCAGCTGGGAATTTATTTAAGATTATATTTATTCCCAGTTTATGAAAAGACCTAATCTCATCATATTCTGCAAACTAGTAGAAATTGATGTCAGGTTTGTAATACAGGAACTAAAGATCTTAGTAACATACTTGCAACATTCATATGAATATGGTATTCTGAATCTTGTTCTTTCATTTAGCCCAAGTCAAGACAACCACCAGATGCAAAACTAAAAACAAGGAAGAAGAAAAATTTCTTGAAAGGTACGTCTACTTCATTTACTGAAAGATGCTGATTTGGAAATCACTTTAGTCAATAATTCTTTTCTTTCATTTATTTGAAAGAACATACTTCTTCCCCTATCAAAATGTGGAGCAATACACTGAGGAACTCACTCAAGAACTCTAGAAAAAACTCATGCACTCACACACTAAAAAAACAAACTCATGAATGAACGAACCATATCAGGTGATATGGGATCTTACAGTGAGTGAGTTGGGTGCAGTGCAGCTTATATTTGAACCGTACAATGGTGCAGTATTTCAGTTGTATGATGGCATGTAAGTTGTATATTGGCATGTCAGTTGTATGTTGACATATCAGTTGTATGTTGGCATATCAGTTGTGTGTTGGCATGTCAGTTGTATGTTGGCATGTCAGTTGTATGATGGCATGTCAGTTGTATGATGGCATGTCAGTTGTATGTTGGCATGTCAGTTGTATGTTGGCATGTCAGTTGTATGTTGGCATATCAGTTGTGTGTTGGCATGTCAGTTGTATGTTGGCATGTCAGTTGTATGATGGCATGTCAGTTGTATGATGGCATGTCAGTTGTATGTTGGCATATCAGTTGTGTGTTGGCATGTAAGTTGTATGTTGGCATATCAGTTGTGTTTTGGCATGTCAGTTGTATGTTGGCATGTCAGTTGTATGTTGGCATGTCAGTTGTTTGATGTCATGTCAGTTGTATGATGGCATGTCAGTTGTATGTTGGCATATCAGTTGTGTGTTGGCATGTCAGTTGTATGTTGGCATATCAGTTGTGTGTTGGCATGTCAGTTGTATGTTGGCATGTCAGTTGTATGTTGGCATATCAGTTGTGTGTTGGCATGTCAGTTGTATGTTGGCATGTCAGTTGTATGTTGGCATGTCAGTTGTTTGATGTCATGTCAGTTGTATGTTGGCATGTCAGTTGTATGTTGGCATGTAAGTTGTATGATGGCATGTAAGTTGTATGATGGCATGTCAGTTGTATGTTGGCATGTCAGTTGTATGATGGCATATCAGTTGTATGTTGGCATGTCAGTTGTATGATGGCATGTCAGTTGTATGTTGGCATATCAGTTGTATGATGGCATGTCAGTTGTATGTTGGCATGTCAGTTGTATGTTGGCACGTCAGTTGTATGTTGGCATGTCAGTTGTATGTTGGCATGTCAGTTGTATGTTGGCATGTCAGTTGTGTGTTGGCATGTCAGTTGTATGTTGGCATATCAGTTGTATGTTGGCATATCAGTTGTGTGTTGGCATGTCAGTTGTATGTTGACATATCAGTTGTATGTTGGCATATCAGTTGTATGTTGGCATGTCAGTTGTATGTTGACATATCAGTTGTATGTTGGCATATCAGTTGTGTGTTGGCATATCAGTTGTGTGTTGGCATGTCAGTTGTATGTTGGCATGTCAGTTGTATGATGGCATGTCAGTTGTATGATGGCATGTCAGTTGTATGATGGCATGTCAGTTGTATATTGGCATGTCAGTTGTATGTTGACATATCAGTTGTATGTTGGCATATCAGTTGTATGATGGCATGTCAGTTGTATGTTGGCATGTCAGTTGTGTGTTGGCATGTCAGTTGTATGTTGGCATGTCAGTTGTATGATGGCATATCAGTTGTATGTTGGCATATCAGTTGTGTGTTGGCATGTAAGTTGTATATTGGCATGTCAGTTGTATGTTGACATATCAGTTGTATGTTGGCATATCAGTTGTGTGTTGGCATGTCAGTTGTATGTTGGCATGTCAGTTGTATGATGGCATGTCAGTTGTATGATGGCATGTCAGTTGTATGTTGGCATGTCAGTTGTATGTTGGCATGTCAGTTGTATGTTGGCATATCAGTTGTGTGTTGGCATGTCAGTTGTATGTTGGCATGTCAGTTGTATGATGGCATGTCAGTCAGTTGTATGATGGCATGTCAGTTGTATGTTGGCATATCAGTTGTGTGTTGGCATGTCAGTTGTATGTTGGCATATCAGTTGTGTGTTGGCATGTCAGTTGTATGTTGGCATGTCAGTTGTATGTTGGCATGTCAGTTGTTTGATGTCATGTCAGTTGTATGTTGACATATCAGTTGTATGTTGGCATGTCAGTTGTATGTTGGCATATCAGTTGTATGATGGCATGTCAGTTGTATGTTGGCATGTCAGTTGTGTGTTGGCATATCAGTTGTATGATGGCATGTCAGTTGTATGTTGGCATGTCAGTTGTATGTTGACATATCAGTTGTATGATGGCATGTCAGTTGTATATTGGCATGTCAGTTGTATGTTGACATATCAGTTGTATGTTGGCATATCAGTTGTATGATGGCATGTCAGTTGTATGTTGGCATGTCAGTTGTATGATGGCATGTCAGTTGTATGTTGGCATATCAGTTGTGTGTTGGCATGTAAGTTGTATATTGGCATGTCAGTTGTATGTTGACATATCAGTTGTATGTTGGCATATCAGTTGTGTGTTGGCATGTCAGTTGTATGATGTCATATCAGTTGTATGATGGCATGTCAGTTGTGTGTTGGCATATCAGTTGTGTGTTGGCATATCAGTTGTGTGTTGGCATGTCAGTTGTGTGTTGGCATGTCAGTTGTGTGTTGGCATATCAGTTGTATGATGGCATGTCAGTGGGATATTGGCATGTCAGTTGTATGATGGCATGTCAGGTGTTTGATGTCATGTCAGTTGTATGTTGGCATGTCAGTTGTATGATGGCATGTCAGTTGTATGTTGGCATGTAAGTTGTATGATGGGATGTCAGTGGGATATTGGCATGTCAGTTGTATGATGGCATGTCAGGTGTTTGATGTCATGTCAGTTGTATGTTGGCATGTCAGTTGTATGATGGCATGTCAGTTGTATGTTGGCATGTAAGTTGTATGATGGCATGTCAGTGGGATATTGGCATGTCAGTTGTATGATGGCATGTCAGGTGTTTGATGTCATGTCAGGTGTATGTTGGCATGTCAGTTGTATGATGGCATGTCAGTTGTATGTTGGCATGTAAGTTGTATGATGGCATGTCAGTTGTATGTTGGCATGTCAGTTGTATGATGGCATGTCAGTTGTATGTTGGCATGTCAGTTGTATGTTGGCATGTCAGTTGTATGTTGGCATGTCAGTTGTATGATGGCATGTCAGTTGTATGATGGCATGTCAGTTGTATGATGGCATGTCAGTTGTATGTTGGCATGTCAGTTGTATGATGGCATGTCAGTTGTATGATGGCATATCAGTTGTATGTTGGCATGTCAGTTGTGTGTTGGCATATCAGTTGTATGTTGGCATATCAGTTGTGTGTTGGCATGTCAGTTGTATGTTGGCATGTCAGTTGTGTGTTGGCATGTCAGTTGTGTGTTGGCATATCAGTTGTATGATGGCATGTCAGTGGGATATTGGCATGTCAGTTGTATGTTGGCATGTCAGGTGTTTGATGTCATGTCAGTTGTATGTTGGCATGTCAGTTGTATGATGGCATGTAAGTTGTATGATGGCATGTCAGTGGGATATTGGCATGTCAGTTGTATGATGGCATGTCAGGTGTTTGATGTCATGTCAGTTGTATGTTGGCATGTCAGTTGTATCTTGGCATGTCAGTTGTATGTTGGCATGTAAGTTGTATGATGGCATGTAAGTTGTATGATGGCATGTAAGTTGTATGTTGGCATGTCAGTTGTATGTTGGCATGTCAGTTGTATGATGGCATGTCAGTTGTATGATGGCATGTCAGTTGTATGTTGGCATGTAAGTTGTATAATGGCATGTAAGTTGTATGATGGCATGTAAGTTGTATGTTGGCATGTAAGTTGTATGATGGCATGTAAGTTGTATGATGGCATGTAAGTTGTATGTTGGCATGTCAGTTGTATGTTGGCATGTCAGTTGTATGATGGCATGTCAGTTGTATGATGGCATGTCAGTTGTATGATGGCATGTCAGTTGTATGATGGCATGTAAGTTGTATATTGGCATGTCAGTTGTATGATGGCATGTCAGTTGTGTGTTGGCATGTCAGTTGTATGATGGCATGTCAGTTGTATGTTGGCATGTCAGTTGTATGATGGCATGTCAGTTGTATGATGGCATGTAAGTTGTATGATGGCATGTAAGTTGTATGATGGAGAAAAACCAGGGGTGATACAGATCACAGACAATTGCTGTTTTGTTCAAACAATCTAGTAAGGCTGTGTATGAAAGTCCCTAAAAATATTTATCAAGGCCGATAACTACAAGTGCCACTAAAAACCCACCAGTCCAATTGACATTGTTAAAAAGTAGTTTTCAAATAAACAAAATTGAAGAAAATGTATGTTTGATGAGCTTTATTTAAATGCACAGCTTCCACAAGCTGGTAACTTGAACTCAAAAATACTCATCTAGGGTCACTGAGGGTGAAGTCTAGAGATATTATTGGTCAAATACTCACCTGTCTGTCGGTCAGGAAAACATAATTTTGTCACGCCTCACTCCCTCTTAACGTCGACCCATCTTGGGTGTTCACGTGGATGCTTATTTCGAACACTGAGTATGGTAAAGTGCGGAGAAACCTGGAAATAAAATCAAGATGGTTCTTGGATTTGAACCCACAATAACAGATTTGTGGCACAGTTAAGAGAAGTAATGAATTACTCCACCTTAGATGACTGATTGAACACCTTTTGAGCCTGGAAGGTATTTCAAGTTTCTTTTGTGTCCGGAATAAGAGTATCCTTGTGACTGGAGGCTATACTCCTTGGAACCTGAAGAAGATCTAGGTTAGAATATGCCTCCAGTAACCCATGCTTGTCATTAAAGGCGACTAACGGGGTCAGGTGGTCAGGCTTGCTGACTTGGTTGACACATGTCATCGGTTCCTACTTACACAGATCGGTGGTCATGATGTTGATCACTGGATTGTCTAATGCAGACTTGATGATTTACAGACCACAGGAATAGCTTGAATATTGCAGAGTGGGGCGTAAACAACAAAGAGTGTATCCACTTATCACTGATTCAGGCAGGGAAGGATGTTGCAGACTGCATCAGTGTGGGGCAACCAAACCAGGATCTTTCGTGTGACGACCAGCTACAGGAAGCATCCATGGAAGTCCTGATTAGAATATTTCTCCTGAAAACAATGTATGCCGTACAAGGAAGCAAAACAGACTGGATGGCCGGGCTCATTTAGCTGCAATATTGCTGAGTGCGGTGTTAAACAACAAACAAACCAACTAAACTATAATCCTTGGAACGTGTCACAAATGTCTCCTGTTGTTTCAGCTGCCTCCGAGAAGAAGAAAACGTCCACATCAGGGAAGGACCAGTCTGCCCAGAGTCAGGTAAATCCTTTCACTCCACTCATAAAATCTTTGAATGGCATTTGACAGATAAACATAGGGGGGGAACATTTATGGATGTCAGAGTCTATATTATGAGGAATACAGCATTTTGGAGAATATTCTTACTTCTCCCTGATTCATTCACCTGATGAATATTGTCAGAAATATTGTGTTATGATGTAGAAGTTGGTATCCTTAAATGTCAGTCTAAGTAAACCTAGGCTCAGTATTATTCGTTACACTGCTATACTGAGTCTTACAAACCCTAGAAGAAACCTTTGAGCGACCTATGACCGTCCAATCAAACGCGAGATGGCTGAATGGATTTAACCAATCAGACAATGACTACTTGTTAGGGTTCAGCGGGACTTACAAAACGTTTTTTGGATTTTCCCTGGTCGCTGACTCCAGAGACCACACAATAGACCATCTATTATATGGTCTCTGCTGACACTGATCTATGAACTAATGAAAATCTGTATAAAACACAGATATTTCACCTGCAGTATATACGCTTAGGGCTTTCTTATGACATGATTACTATTAGCTTATATTTCCACAAGATGACATCCTTGAATATTGACAAAAACACTATGTTCAGCGACTGTTTACTCATTGCGTCCTCCGTGTGTATCACTTGGAAGCGATCGTGTGGAAAATAGCATTCGGAATCGTTTGAGTTTTTTAGGTAAAGGTTCAAACAGTATGTGCGAATGTTAACGTTAGCGAATTGGTAAGCTGTGTTTTGATTGGTCAGTCCAAAAGGTTAGCTGATGTGAGCTTCTACTAGGGTTGGTTAGACTCAGTATAGTAGTGTAATGAAACATACTGAGCCTAAGTTTACTTAGACTGCTTAAATATTCTGCTACCTTCCTACTCCGTTCATATGTGTAAGTCCAATTTTCACAGTTGATCGTACAAAGAAGGAGGTATAGAAAATGCACTGTTATACTTAATGCACTGTTATTCTTCATCCACTGTACACTGTTATTCTTCATCCACTGTACACTGTTATTCTTCATCCACTGTACATTGTTATTCTTCATCCACTGTACACTGTTATTCTTCATCCACTGTACACTGTTGTTCTTCATCCACTGTACACTGTTATTCTTTCATCCACTGTACACTGTTATTCTTCATCCACTGTACACTGTTATTCTTCATCCACTGTACACTGTTATTCTTCATCCACTGTACACTGTTATTCTTCATCCACTGTACACTGTTGTTCTTCATCCACTGTACACTGTTATTCTTCATCCACTGTACACTGTTATTCTTCATCCACTGTACACTGTTATTCTTCATCCACTGTACACTGTTATTCTTCATCCACTGTACACTGTTATTCTTCATCCACTGTATTCTTCATCCACTTCTTCATGTTATACTTCATCCACTGTACACTGTTATTCTTCATCCTCTGTACACTGTTATTCTTCATCCACTGTACACTGTTATTCTTCATCCACTGTTATTCTTCATCCACTGTACACTGTTATACTTCATCCTCTGTACACTGTTATTCTTCATCCACTGTACACTGTTATTCTTCATCCACTGTACACTGTTATTCTTCATCCACTGTACACTGTTATTCTTCATCCACTGTACACTGTTATTCTTCATCCACTGTACACTGTTATTCTTCATCCACTGTACACTGTTATTCTTCATCCACTGTTATTCTTCATCCACTGTTATTCTTCATCCACTGTACACTGTCTTCATCCACTGTTATTCTTCATCCACTGTACACTGTTATTCTTCATCCACTGTACACTGTTATTCTTCATCCACTGTACACTGTTATACTTCATCCTCTGTACACTGTTATTCTTCATCCACTGTACACTGTTGTTCTTCATCCACTCTACACTGTTATTTATTCCCCGTCATGAAGTGGGAGGGGGATAAAGGTTTGAGCTCCGTCCATTACCCCCAATGGGAACAGATTTTCTCAGTAACTGTTATAGATGGGGAAACCAAATGTGGTATGTGTTTTTTTAGGACATGAAAGTTATGGTGGAGTTAAAATCAGAAACCGTGTTACAATTTTTAATGGAGTCATGGCCCTTGTCATGCATTTCTTAGAATAATAATAGCTTCGTGCGTGGTGTGACTTATCTTCACAATCTATATCCTTGAAATGGTTTAATTGTGGTGATGGATGCTTCTCTATATGATTTATCTTGCACATCCATAACACCTCATCCCACAGTCTGTCGCGGGGATAATGATGACCATGTCTTCCTATTCTTCATCCACTGTACACTACATTCTACATCCTCAGTGAACTCATTCTTCATCAACTGTCCACTGTCAATCATCTTCTGGACATTGTTCTTGTAGAAGCCACCAGTGAAGACAATGCCCGCTGACAGTTCAAAGACTGTCACTCTCTTTACTCGGAGTCAGAAAGTGGTCTTCAGGAAGGAAGAGTTCCTGGCAGGGGATGCTGACCCCATGGAGAGAGAGCTGTCTAAGAGTCTGGGTGGGGACACAGAAATGGTGAATATCGGGAGGTGAGTTACCCCATGTAGAGAGAACTGTCACAGAGTGTGGGTATGGACACGGAAATCTTGAGTATCGGGAGGTGAATACCCTATGAAGAGAGATCTGTCTTAAAGTGTGGGTGGGGACTTAGATATGGTTAATATTGGGACGTGAGCGACTCTAAGGTATTCTGACACCATAGAGTGAGCGAGTGAGTGAGTTTAGTTTTATGAGGCACTTAGCAATTTTCCAGCTATATGGCAGTGAGCTGTAAATAATCGAGTCTGAACCAGACAATCCAGCGATCAACAACATGAGCATCAATCTATGCAGTTGGGAACCGATGACATGTGTCAACCAAGTCAGCGAGCCTGACCACCTGATCCCGTTAGGCGCCTCATACGATAAGCATGGGTTACTTAAGATCAATTCTAACCTGGAATTTTATGGGTGACACCACAGAGGGAGAGGGTCGTACAATAGTGAGTCAGGGACATGATTATGATGAATACTGTGATGGAGAGAGAGAGCTATGGTTAAGATACGGAGGTGAATGACTAGAGATTTAGTTCAGTCTAGTGAGTGTGTCCGATGGGAGAGACCACTGAAGGAGGGCACTGTGATGGTGTGTGCTTATGCACTTAGCACCTGGTGTTAATGACATACGGTTATTCATTGATGAGCCCTGTCAACGCTGTTACCCGCTGATAGTACAGGGCACACGAGCACACCAAGGTTGTTTTGGCTTAGAGCAACTGAGTGTCAGACAGCATGTTAGTGATAGAACACATGAACTGTCGACCATACAATCCAAGGGAGGTAATTCATGTAACATCTGTTGCCTTATCATACTTGGTTGTTTGTTATGTAACTGTAATGTTTCTGTAATATTTACCTATATGATGGCGGTTTGTAAATAGTCAAGCCTAGACCAGACAATCAAGTTATTGACAAAACGGGCATTCATACAATTGTAATTTATTAACATGCATTACAATATAAGTTGTTCACTCAGGTCTTGAGGGTACATCAACCCATGGGCCCCGAAGGACCAGTGCACAACGTATTTATCTTACCGAACACCTTAATGTTAATTTTGAATTGTTTGAAGCACAGGTACAAATATTTTTGTATCCATCGCTAGATTTTGCTGTCAAGAAAAACAGATTTAGAGTTATCTCCCTTCCGTTGATTTGCATTCGCAAAACATCGGTACTTTCCGTACATCATACATGATTCAATGTTATTTGAGATAAAGAATAACTACCATGAAGTACCAAATGAGCTGCCATTGACAGCGGGGCACATTGAAATGTTACTCGCTTGTAAGTGGGGTATACTGAAAATAATAGAAGAACGCACAGCCTATCAGAAAGCAACATTTATGTGTGAGGTAAGATAATAGGTATTGGATATCATGATTGATATCAGGATGAATCCAACAAATTGATCATCAAAATTCTTCAGATATTTTCCTTTGTCATTTTCTCAAAGTTATGTCCAGAAGTGAATCTGGACCAGACAATCCAATGAATGATATCATAGGCATTGACAGATGCAGGTGGGATTTGATGACATGTGTTGCCTCTTGCGTTGAGTTGAGCTGAGATGAGTTGAATTTTACGTGACTCAGAAATATTCCAGCTATATGGCGGTCGCCTCGTACGACAGTCATGGGTTGCTGGAGACCAATTCTAGCCTGGATCTTCACGGTTCAGATGCCACTTGGATTTCAGGGCAGAATAGGTTGCCAGTTCCTGATGTTTGTTGTTACAGCTGACAAAAGAGGATCGGATGGCCAAAATGTGTGACCTGCCTGATTTTGTGTCATTGCAACCTTGAGGGTTGTCATGTTACGAGATAAAAACTGGATTATCGGTCATAGAGTCGATTAGTTATCCTTGACATATATACAACTGCTCTCACATTCATGACACTTTGAGACCTGGATCTCCTTGTCCATGTTGGTAATTATTTCAGCTCTGTATTGTGTGTATTAATGTTGTCAGATTGTGCAAGTCAGACCTTGGTGACGACATGTTCAAACGAGCACAGCAGCTGGTGGAAATAGTGAAGGATGAACGTCTGCTCCAGGTAAGATTGAGTGGTTGCCATAGTTACTCATCACGTCGCGTTTTAATACATGTATTGGAATATTGCTCCCCAAAAAGCTGTAACTTCATGTTGTTGGTTTTTTTTAACATTTCTATCATTAGATCTCTAAATTCCACCTGTACACACATTTGATGAATTCCATAATGATATCCAAAGATTTCCTGACTTCTTAGATTAAGCTGACTAACCACCTCCAAAAACCTTTGTATTAATCATTTATAACAACAGATCATTTCTCATGACATCCTTTATGGATTATTTTTTAATGATCTAAACTACTTCGGGAGGTTTGGTAGCCTAGTGGTTAAAATGTTTACTCGTGACGGCAAATACCCAGGTTCGATTCCCTACATGGGTACAATATGTGAAGCCCATTTCTGGTGTCCCCCACCATGATATTGCTGGAATATTGCTAAAAGTGGCATAAAACCTCACTCACTCACTCACTCTCTCCCTCACTAAACCACTGTCTGCTCTCCACAGGTACAACTACAGGATCTGCTTGGCTGGAGAAACTACAAGAAATTTGGAGCCTTTCTGATTAGTGAAGGTCGGACGTCATAGACAATATACACTGATACAAATTCATGTTTTGACATTGTTGCTATGGATATGACCTTTGCAAAGTGATTATGAAAAGTAATGTACATTGAAGGGTGATTTTCAGTGTTGAACAAACAGAAGCTCAGTTCCTAACTATTCCCATGGCCAGATTTGTCCAATAAAATCATGAACTGGATGAAAGGATTATCATCATCCAATCATGTTGCCATGGAGATCTGTCTTAGTTGATATACAAAACTCTGCTTTAATTCAAGGAAACCTATTCCTACTGGCATTATGGAGAGAAGATTTGTCCCAGAAAATTCAATTGGAAGAAAGGATTATCATCATTCAATCATGTTGCCATGGAGATGTGTGTCAGTTGTGAAATACAAAATGCAACTTAATTTTTTAGAAACCTATTCCTGCAGACATTATGGAGAGAAGATTTGTCCAATAAAATCATGAATTGGACGAAAGGATTATCATCATCAAGATCATGTTGCCATGGAGATGTGTGTCACATGTGAGATACTTTATTTCCTCTAATAAGCGCCGGGTCTCTAATACCCGCCGGGGGTAAAGCAGTTCAATTCATCACAATCATGGATGTAAAACATTCTAGAATATGACAGTGAGTAGTCTCAGATATAGCACATGTTGTATCAACTGTATGCCAAACTTGCAGTGCTATGATATCATGAACTTGATGATGTCACAATACTATGCCATCGGTGCACTGCAAGTCTAATCGCAGTATTGTGTTCAGAGTTATACATTTTTCATTGAAAACTAATGAAGGGTGATTTTTGATGATAAATAGAATCTCACCCTCGTGTCCTCGATAACGAATATATCAACACTTGTTGATAAAAGTAAAAATATCCTCGGCAAGCAGCTTTATCAACTCATGGTGATACATTTCATATCAAAAGACACTTGGGTTAGATTCTCTATTTCTCTCTCTTGGCAGGGACAGAGGGGTAGCCTAATGGTTAAAGCGTCCGCTCATCATGACGAGGACACAGGTTCGATTCCCCACATGGGTACCGGTACAATGTATGAAGCCCATTTCTGCTCTATCCACAATGTGATTTGCTGGAATATTGCTAAAAGAGGCTTAAAACCATACTCACTCATTGACTCTTAGCTTTTCATGGATGCAATGTAAGTGGATAGAATATAAATAACTGATCTACCTCACAATCAAAGGATGAACTGATTAGCATTCCAGAAGTTGGTGAGTAAATAAGATAACATACAACTCTATGGACAACAAGTTCGGTTTTTTTATGCCAGTTTTGTGTAGATTATTACACTGTTTGTGTTGTCAAGGTGGAATTAATAAATGAGAAAATGATTTCCATAAAGTTGAACTTTTAAAATTTTTTTTAATGAAATGTCATGATTGATATTTGCAAGTCAGTTGTTGACAAGTTACTCCGCAGATAATCTCTTATAACATATATTGAATAACTTTGAATTATTAAGTGCACAAACAGCTAACTTGACCTGCAAATATGTTTTCAACCATTGTTAGTTGTTAATTTTTATGAAAATTATTGTAGAATAGAATGAGTCTGGAATCATATTTTTAATAAAAGCAGAATTGACTGGAATTCAACTTCTTTCAGTCTTTCAATGTGACTTTTGATGCAGAGGCTGGTCACTTTAAGTGATGAACAGATGAGAATGACTTGGATATACAACTAAGAATTACATGTACAGAGATTAACAAAAAAAACATTCCTACATCGGTGAAAAACTGGTGATGGGGATGAAGTCTAGGGATGAGACCTTTACCGTGGTGAAAGAGGAAAAGTTGAAATCCAAAAGTCAAACTCTCTCTTTAAAACTGCCACTTAAAGATAATTATTTTTTAATGTTGGCCTTTAATATGTGTTGTTCCGGACAATGAGTGTGATTTTACAATGAAGATTTTATTTAGCCTCCAACACGTAGGCTCTATAGGTTGAAAATATTAACATGTTGGTAATTAAAATGAATTTGTGTTCACTTTGCTTGGCTTTGGTGAAAGCTTTGGGTGCTACAGGATATTTATGATTATATTTTTTCATGTTGTAAAAACAAATATTTAAATTGTAAATAAATGTACATTAGATTGAGGGTCAAATTTTTTAAGATGAGATAAATGCAAGATCATTATACGTAAAGCAATACTGATGCTGTCAATCAGTGGATTGCCTGGTCCCGGACTGGATATTTACAGACATCTTCCATAGAGCTGGAATATTACAAGGTGACATCAAGTACCATCTTTTACAATATTTTGGTATACCACATCTGAGGTTTGAACCACTGACTTTCTGCTGTCTGGGCTGACTCAAATATTTTGTGTTTTATTTGTGACAGTAAAGCTATACAGTGAGTCCTCGATATACCACATCTGGATGGGTTTTAACCACTGACGTTTTACTTTCTGGCCTGATTCTTAAAGATTTTGTGCACATGAAGGTCTGGGCTAGAACTGTCCTTCAGTAACCCATTCTTGTTGTAAGAGGCAACTAACGGGATTGGGTGGTCAGGCTCCCAGATACATGTCATCGTATCCCAACTGAGTAGATTGATGATCATGATATTGATCACTGGATTGTCTGGTCCAGACTTGATTATTTATAGACCGAGCAATATAGTCGGGCTAGCTACGCCTGAAATTTACTAGCCCACGAAATAATTCACTAGCCCGAAATTTGAATGTGGACACAGGTTTCATCATTAAGCTTCTAATATGATGAACATTTTTGTCAGGCCATAATCTTACATGAATTGAAAGTGTATTATAACTCAACAAGTCGGAGAGAGTGATATATTTACCAAATGACCCCATGAAAATGCACTAGCGAGTCGGACCAGTGACTGTGGAGATTTACTGGCCCAACTGGAATTTTACTAGCCACAGGCTAGCGGGGTAGTTGCTATTTTGCACACTGAACCCCATGTCAAATCCTTGATTGTGTTCAGCACTGAGCATAGTAAAGATGACTCGCTGTATACTGAAAGAAACTACTTCACCACATGAAATGTCCAGCTCTTAGTTTCTGCATGACACTGCCATGGTTTTCACTAGATGGACTGTTTCGTGTTTACCGTAGGATATTAATTCTGTCCATGTCAGTGTCCGTGGGGTAGCATAGTGGTTCAGGTGTTCGCTCGCCTCGCCGAAGACCCGGGTTCGATTCCCTACATGGGTACAATGTGTGAAACCCATTTCTGGTCTCCCTGGCCATGATGTTGCTGGAATATTGCTAAAAGTGGAGTAAAACTCACTCACTGTCCATGTCATCTGTATTGATTAGAGTGAGGTATTAGAGAAAACTGTACAGTTGAGAATGTGAAATATTTTGTTTTTTATTTCAACCCTGTGACTTTATGTTTCGTTTTACTTTGTATATTTTACCCTTGAAGATCCGGGTTAAAATTGGTACTCAGTAACCCATGCTTGTTGTAAGAGGCGGCTAAGGGGATCGGGTGGTCAGGCTTGCTGACTTGGTTGACACATGTTATTGTATCACAATTGTGTAGATCTATGCTCATGTTGTTTGTCACTGGATTGTCTGGTCCAGACTCGATTATGTACAGACCACAGCCATATAGCTGGAATATTGCTGAGTGCGGCATAAAACAACAAACTGTGTGTATTTTAAACTTCTTTGATGAGCATGATTTGTATTACCCTCACGTGTTCATCGTACATGTATTTTGACCCACTATTAACATGTTTTGAAATGCTGAATGTGATTTTTAACAAATTGTCCAGAAACATTTGCTCAAACAAAATATATTTCAAATATTGTTTGTTTCATGTTTTATAGGACATTGACCCATTTTGTATTTACTTAAGATGGTGCAAAGTTTTCTTTTTTCTTGAAACACATAAACATCAACAAACCGTGTATGAGCTAGATTTTTTAAGTTCATTTTGCTTAATTCATGTTTATGCTCATTAAGAAAAATGATTATATATTTTATCAATGTATGCAAAATTGTTTTAATTGTGTGTGAAATATGCTAATTTGTTCATCGGCTTTATTTGACACCACTATGATGGTGTAGCCTAGTCTTTAAAGTGTTCGCTTGTGGTGCCAAAGACCGCAGTTCCATTCCCTACATGGATACAATGTATGAAACCCATTTCTGGTGTCCCCCGTCCTGATATTGCTGGAATACTTCTAAAAGCGACATAAAATCATCCTCACTCACTGATTTCACACCCTAACATCCACACCCATACCCACTCTTTGTCAGGGATAAAACAGTAGTGAAGATCCGGGTTAGAATTGATCTTCAGTAACCCATGCTTGTCATAAGAGGCGACTAAGAGATCGGGTGTTCAGGCTCGCTGACTTGGTTGACATATGTCATGGTATCCCAATTCCGTAGATCGGTGCTCATGGTGTTGATCACTGGATTTTCTTGTCCAGACTTTAATATTTACAGAGCTCTGCCATATAGATGGAACATTGCTGAGTGTGGCGTAAAACTAAATTCACTCTTTCAAACGTAGTGAAGAAACTTAGTTGAAATATCTGTGATGGTAACATTGTTTCGATGATAGTTGCAGGGCAAATGTATGAACTTTCCTGCTGTATACTGTGAACAATAAATATCCAAAAATGTGAATATTATTTAACACATGTTATATTTGGGATAACACTTTCTCAGTAAAGTACTGATTCTTGTACTTTTGTGGGTTAGTCCCATCCAGGATTCCAACCCACACGCCAAGTGTCAGGCACCTAATTGCCAGCACACAAAGTCAGACATCTAACCCACTCAGCCATCGCAGTGTGTGCTCGGGATTAGAAGCCTGATTCTGAGAGTGTGGGTTCGAATCACGGATGGGACTCAGCCCAATGAAAGTACTATAATATGTACCTTAGTGGGAAACTGTAATCTCAAATATAGCATGTGTTACATTTGACCTCTTTTCACAAATGCCATTGTGTATTCAATGAATATATCCACCTACAAGTTGGTCTGTATGCTTATGTCATTTTATGGTATGTTCAATGATGTCTTGACATACCATGTGGCCTTTGGTATTAATATAAACACACTCATCAAAATACCATGGAAATCGATAGTTAGAATTTGGACACCTGGCTTTCACTTCTGTAACTGCCTGTGCTGCACTTTGGCTGCAAGTTAACACTTTGTACTGTAAATATAATCCGTATTCCATACTGAAATAAAATATGTTTATAGGGGAGCGCATTGTTTATATTCAGTGTAATGTTGGCAACAATAAAACAATGATATGTTCTCTTGCTTGATTAGAAATATTTCAAGAATTGTGACTAAAGGGAATGTTGGTGTGATGGCCCCCTGGTTAAGCATTCGCCCATAATGTTTAATTTTCTGCGTAGGTGCTAGATTGAATCCCATTTCTGGTAAAAGCAGCTTAAGTTCACTCTCTACACAGACAGATAAAAACTTCACTAATAAGGCATACATTATTACCCAGTTAACCCAAGCTGCCTATGAGACGCGAGATGGTTCATAGTAATATGGCTTACACCGGGTGCCCATCTTCTGGTGGGTGAACAGCTACAATGTATCACCCGTGCTTTGTTGAAGTGATAAAAAATTCTCAAGCTGCCGAAGACGGTCACCCATCCATCTGCTTCATGAACAAGATCACACAATACCGCGAATGCATTTTTCCTATCATCTCAAGTAGAGGATTTTCCACATAAAACAAACACAACTGTATACTAGCTGTTGCAAAGATCAAAAATGATGTTTGATACTTCATCAACTTCATCTGGTAGGGGCGTTGGGGGTAGTCACTCACTCACTCACTCATCTGGTAAAGTTGACGACGACATTCACTGCTGTCCTTGACGCAGTGTGTAGGCTCTATGTTGGACTCTACAAAATGTTGGACATGTGTTGCCCAGTCAAGTTTAAAAGTCACATGCAACGTAAAACCTTTGCAGATTCTGATACCTTTCGGTATGGACTTACAGTAACAAATTATCAAAAATGCAAATTCAACTTATAAAGTTGAAAGATAGCGCGATGAAACCCCCCCGCAAAATCGGGGTTCAAACGATTCACTAAATTCACCCCAGCTGGGGTGAAAAGTGGTTTCAACAGCTGTGCTGCGCTGCGCTGCGCTCATAATCGGACCGCATTGTTTCAGTCTTTGAATGAACTGAAATCTCAGAAGCTCCAATTATGAAACTTGGCCTCCAGGTGTCATTCATGTGCTGATGAGTTTCCACACACTGATAAACCTCTAAAACTTGAATCCAGAGTTGTTCCTTCCATAAGAAACTCCCACACTAGAAGACTGTTGAAAACTATCACAGGCTTGATACAGAAAAAGTGTTGTTCATCCTCATGGACCAATACCAAAAAA